CAAAAAGTTGCTTCAGTTGAAAACTGAAGCAAAAAGTTGCTTCAGTTAAAAACTGAAGCAAAAAGTTGCTTCAGTTAAAAACTGAAGCAAAAAGTTGCTTCAGTTAAAAACTGAAGCAAAAAGTTGCTTCAGTACAACTTTTGACATTTTACCATGCCATAACTCCGGAAAGGGTTGTCCGTTTTGAACAATTTTCTAGACATTTGATAGAGTTTTAAGAGGCCTTTTAAATGTACTTAAATTTATATTTTTAAAATTTAGACATTATTTCGAGAATATCGAAAAAACTAAAAAAATCATCATTTTTTGAACTCAGACTCAAATATCTCTTCTGAGACTCAAGTGTCCATCTAAAAAATATTTTTTCCGAACTCCCCGTAGCTGATTACCTATTATAGGATCAAATCCGAAAATTGTCTGACAACTTTGAAAAATGTTCCCTTTTGTCGGTTGGCGATCTGAACACTTTCTCCCATAAATTTTTGTCCAAATTATACTTCGCCACCCGTTGCGAAACGTGGTATCACTCATAACTCCAGAACGAAAAGTCGGATTTGCATGAACTTTTTTTGTTCGACGCGGAATTCAGTGTAGATTTAACCTTCGGGAAGGGTCGAATTCGCCCGGGTTCGGGATCATGTCGAAATGTCGAAAAAACACTTTCCACATTTCGCCAATATCGAAATTTGACCAACTTAAGTCGACTTTTCGAACTTCTCTATAGTTTTCCTCTATGGTCCCATATATCCCCTTTCAAACAAAAAAAAGTTTGTCCAGATCCGACTTTCGAGTCGAGCCCTATTTTTTCTTTCCCGGGGTACCCAAAAAAGTACAAAATTATTCAAAAAAATTTTGGCAAATTTTAGGCCTTTGGGGGGCCATAACTTTCGAACGGCTGGTCCGTTTTTCAAAATTTTTCCGTTATTCGATAGAGAATTCTCTACTCTATCACAGTAGTCAAAATCATTTTTTTCGAATTTCGTCTTCATGTCGAAAGTTCGAAAAAACGGACAATTTTACAAAAAGTGAAAAAAAGTGGGTAGTACCCTTTTCGACCGAAAATATTTTGGGTTAGGGAAATCGAATTCGAAAAAGTGCTCCGGTTAATCGGTGCAGAATTAAACGGGCTACATTTCTTCTCCCAGCATTTTATTTTTCCCATTTCGTTTTTGGACATTCATCCTCAGTTTCGTGTTTCGCAATTTCGACATTTCGACATTCTCGAAATAGTCGAAATTCTGTGTCAACAGCAAAGTTGGTCCGTAGGAGATCATTGTTCTGTAAAAAAATTTTTAGCCCGATCGACCGATCCGAAAAAAAGCTATTTTAGAAAATACATAATATATAAAATTTCAAATAAAATTTGTAGTAGTTTCAGCTTCAATTTAAAAAAATGTAAAAAAATACATAATATATAAAATTTCAAAACGAAATTAGTATTAGTTAGTTTAAATTAGTACCCATTTTACTTAATATATAATAATTCAATTAGTTGCGAAAATTAAAAGCAAATACTTAATATAAAAAATTTAAATCCTTAATTAGTATAAGGTTGAGCAGCTAAATTTACTTTTGTTATTTAATAATTTAAATAAAAATTTTGGTTATAAGAGACTGCTGTTTCGCAGTAGCTGCTGTTACGCATTGCTTCAAAGTAAAACTGAAGCAAAAAGAATTTGCTTCGAATAAAAATGTGAAGCAGTAAAAATTGCTTCAAAGTAAAACTGAAGAAAAAAATAATTTGCTTCAAATTAAAATTTGAATCATTAAAAATTGCTTCAAAGTAAAACTGAAGCAAAAAGAATTTGCTTCGAATAAAAATGTGAAGCATTAAAAATTGCTTCAAAGTAAAACTGAAGCAATTTTGAGCATCTTACATTTTTATGTCAATTTTTCCAAAAAGTCTGAAAAATAAAAAATTTAGTCAAATTTGGACACTTTACCCTGTCATAACTTCCCAACAAATAATCCGTTTTGTAAAATTTTTCCGTTGCTGATAGAGAATTAAAAGCCCTTCAAAATGTACTAAAAAGCATATTTTTAAGATTTCGACTTTATGTCGAAATGTCGACGAAATATCAAAAAATCATGATTTTTTGCACTCAGACTCAAATATCTCTTTCGAGACTCAAGTGTCACCGCTGAAAATATTATTTTCGAACTCTCCGTGTTCGATAACCTAATTAGCATCAAATTCAGAATTTTTATATTAGCACGAAAAAAGTGATCTTTTGTCGCGCTGACGTTTTGTACTCATTCACCCCTACTAAATCCTAATTTGCCCCAACCCCGTTTCGTTGTGTCACGCATAACTCAATAACGGATAGTCGGATTGGCAAAATCTTTTTTTTATTCGATAGGGAATTCGGTGGATTTGTGCCCTTTAGTTGGGGCCGAACTCGTCAGAGTTCGGGATCATGTCGAAATGTCAAAAAAAATTTTTGACATTTTCGTCACAATCGACTTTTGACACGCTTAAGTCGACTTTTCAAACTTCTCCATAATTTTCCTCTATGGCCCCATATATCCCCTTTCAAATAAAAAAAAGTTTGTCCGGATCCGACTTTCGAGTCGAGCCCTATTTTTTCTTTCCCGGGGTACCCAAAAAAATTCAAAATTTTGATCAAAATTTTTGCCAAATTTTGACACTTTGAGGGGCCATAACTTTCGAACGGAAGGTCCAAATTTCAAAGTCTCTCGGTCATTCGATAGAGAATTCTCTTTTCTATCGCAGTAGTCAATTTCGTTTTTTTCGGACTTCGCCTTCATGTCGAAATGTCGAAAAAACGGACAATTTTGCAAAAATCCAAAAAAAGTGGGTAGTACCTCTTTCGACTCAAAATATTTCGGGTTAGGGAAATCGATTTCGAAAAAGTGCTTCGGTTAACCGTTGCAGAATTAAACGGGCTACATTTCATCTCCCGGACCCTTATTTTTCCAATTTCGTTTTGGGACATTCATCCTCAGTTTCGTGTTTCGAAATTTAGCGAAAACCGGTTTACGAAACAGATACGAAATTTCGTCTGGAACAAAAAAGATGTCTTCTGAGCAGCTGATATATCTATAAAAAATTTCAGGAAGATTGACCGATCCAAAAAAAAGTTATTAAAAATTTTAATTTGAGTTAGGTCGATTTTTTTATATATAGATAACATTGAAACTTTATAAACAACTTTAGCATAAGCAATAGGAAATTGTCGTTCAGCCTCTGATAAAGGATTGTTCAAAAAATAATTACGGGAATAAATATCTTCACAATTCATGGGTATATCTACATCCTTATAAATTAATCTATTTTTTGCTTTATCTTTAATATATTCTATATCATTGTTAAAAATACGTTTACAATCCAAAAATACATCACAATATGTCTAAACTTGATAAAAATAATTTTAAAAATTCATTCAGAAAACAACTTGTTCATGTTTATGCCAGTCGTATTTAATTGTCTTATCATTTTCTAATTTAAAAATTTTCTTTAATTTAATTATTAATATAATTAATACCATCCTTAGGACAATAATATTTTCTAATTAATTCTTCAGAATAATTAAATTTCGAAATTGAAAAAATAATAAATATAATATGCAATAAATATAACATTATTGAACACGAAAGTATTAAATTTTACGTAATAATTATTTGAATTAAGAAAGATATAAAATTCCGGAAGAAACGGAAAAAATATAAATTCTGTAAATATTTAATATACCAGAAACAGTCAGTAATTCCGGTAGCTTTCCGGAAATTTAAAAATATTTAAATAGTCAGTTAATATATTCCTGATTAATACCGGAAACATTCAATTCACATCTTTCTCCGGAAATATTTAAATCATACTTTTCCTGAAACAGTTAATTCACCTTCTAAAATACCGGAAACTTTTTTATAATATTCCAGGAATATTCCGGAAGCTTTTAATTCACATTCTTTTCCGGAAATGTTTAATTCACCTACATTTCAGAAATATTTATTCAAATACATTTCCGGAAATATTTCACCAACTAAAATTCCGGAAACAGTTAAAAATTCCGGAATCTTATCTATAATATTTCGTAAATATTCAGGTACATTCTGATACTCTTACAAACGGTGGCCGAACGTTTCGTCACTGAACTTTTCGTCACTGAACCTTCCGTCACCAAACCTTTCGTCACTGAACCTTCCGTCACCAAACCTTTCGTCACTGAACCTTTCGTCACTATTCACCATAAAAAAGAGAATGCACATCTGGATGGACAAATTTAACAAAATAGATTTATGGAAATTAAGTTGAATAAAAGAAAGTCATATGAATGAAGATGAAATATAATAAACAAAATTAATAACTTTTTGATAAAAAACAAATACATAATAATAAGGATGTTAAGTGAAATAATTTATTTTGATTTACTATTTTTACTATTTTTATTTTTACTAAAAAATATTTTCATAAATTTTTTTACTCATATTGGCTAAAATGGACGTAGGTTCATCATCAGATGAGGGGCGAATTTTTTCTTCATCTTCCGAGGAGATGGAGGATTTACTCGAATTTATTGAAGTAAAATCTGAAAGAGGTTCATCTCTCTTAACTCGTGACGGCTTTGAATACCAGTTTGAACGTTATTCTGCCGTGGATAATCAAGTTGAATATTGGAAATGCCCAAAAGTATGGATTATGTTTGGTTTTTATTTAAGTATTTGTTAGAGACCTCCGTACTGTCCGGGCCGTATCCATGTCGCGTCAGCATGGCATGAAGGAGACGGGAACCGTTTTAAAATCGGATGGATAAAAAATGCTAACCATTCACATAATGCTGAGCCTTACAAAAAAGAGGTATTTGCACATCGAGATGCACTTTTTCCGATACAGGTTCGATTCCTGGCTAAACTTTTGCTTAACTTCGTTATCTTAGTTGTGGAATCTAAGCGAACGTCTTCATATTGGTCTATCCAGAACCAACAATTCGTTGGAGGGATGGCACAATGCATGGGGCTCCTTACTTGAACAAAATCCGTTGTTAAGTAAATTTGTAAAGCGAATGATCAAAGAATTTGCAAGATGGGAACAAATAATTGCTGACTATAATAATGCACCGGCAAACGGTATCCGAGGAAAGGGACTTAAGCGGAAGTCGGTTTGTGTCATTCAAGATCAAAATTTGCAACAAATATTTGCTGAATTTGCTCAGCGAGCTAATGACCCAATTGGGTACCTACGTACTGTCTCCTATCATTTAGCAACACAGTAAATATAACTAAATTACCGATTATGATCAATTTGTCATTTTTGACAACTTCTTATTTGATTTTTAAAAATAAAGTCTTGGTGACGAAAGGTTCAGTGACGAAAGGTTTGGTGACGGAAGGTTCAGTGACGAAAGGTTTTGACGAAAGGTTCGGTGACGAAAAGTTCAGTGACGAAACGTTAGGGAACCTTACAAACAATATTCTTTCTCAAATACAATATTCCGGAAAAGTGTCCCTTTTTAATAAAAATTTTTTTGGAATTATTCTAAATTAACACATTTTATAAAATACATATTTAAATTAAATAAAATATTTACGACTATTACTACATATAAATTGATAATTTAATTAGTAAATTTTTCAAATTATTTTTATGCGAAAATAATTTTTAAATTATTTATATTTTTAGTCGACAATCTGAGCAGTAAGCAATGAATCATAATTTGGATTTAAGTAAATTTTTACACAAAAATACAAAAAATTAAAAAAATTCTGGGGAAAAGGATAGGCTAATAAAATATAATAAAAGAATATGTAGTACAAATAAATAAATTATTAAATAATTCAAATTAAATACAATTTTGGATGAATTAAATAAAATTTTTGGCGAATGACAGCTAAAATTATCCAAATCAACATTTCCATTAGTTCTTACCCATTCTTTATGGAAACGAGTTTGTGGCCAATTTTGGTATAATGAAGCATTTAATCTGTGTAATCCTTTATCTATTAAAGTCCTCCTCCTCATTTCTTCATGCCAACAAAGAATGGCTCCAAAATCGAATTCTGGCATCATTTTATTGACAAATAAATATTTTGAATTATAAAAATTTGGAGCCTTTAATTTAATAAGTTTTAATTTTGGAAAATAATTAGAACCAAGTCTTCTATTCCAAAAATGCAGTTATAATGACGCATAATTCCGCTATAGCATTTTGAAGTTCCCGAATCACTAAACCTAAAAATGATATTAATTTTTCATCTGTATTTTTATAAGATTGGAAATTAAGGTAAAATTATATCCTTATAGCTTTTTAGGCCAATTTTGGCTATAAACCCCTCTAAATTAAAAAAATATCCCTCAGTTTAGGGTTGTCGATATCTTCCTAACCCACTCTACTAACATATTAAGTATATTAATGACCTAGTTACATACGGCACATCAATCTTATCATCAATACATTTATGAGTAAAAGCATTTGGGGCTTTTAACTGGTCTGATGTTATAAGTGTTTGTATAAAAAGCTCATCTGCTCCGTAATCCCTAAATTTACATTTGTTTTTAACAAATTTAATTAAAAAATTTAGACCAAGAATCTAACTGAAAAAGCATTCTTTTCAAATTCAGTTTATTAACGAGAAAGTCAACAAATGGGCGAGCTAAACTGGTTTGAACAGAGCCTTTAGCTAGTTGAAGTTTTAGTGGTTTTCCATTTTTATCTAGTTGTTTGTTAAGCGAGTCTGAATTGAAATTAACAAAATATTAATGTAAGGCTGAGCTTGTGCTAATATCATTGTTGATTCTATGTACTTAAGTTCCTTCTCTTTCTAGAGTTCCTTCTCTCCTCGATCGGTTAATCTCCCTTGAAAATTTTTATAAATTTATTAACCATTTTTAAATATATGGACACAATCAAATATCCAATGAAATTTTCTCCTCAATCCTTGTATTCTCTCCCTCTGACCATAATATCGAAAATCTAATCCAAAATCGCAAGCCCCATCAAGCCATTTAAATATTTGAACCATTTCCTCGTTAGTTTTTATTTGAAGGTCGTGATTCTGTAATGTTACTAAATATTCCCATTTTCTTTCTTTTTTAATTAATTCTTTGAAACAGGATAGATGGGCCTTTCCCATGCCGTGGCCTTGAAAAATTTTCTTTTGAATATTTTTGAAATTTTCTGACCAGCACTGGTTACAGAAAATCTTTCTTTCGGAACAATAACATTTTTAAAACAACTGGCCAAGCCCAAAATTTTTTCATAAAAAGAGTCGTTCGCCTTCGAATCAACAGCAAAACAATACCAATTTTGGGGGTGATAATTAGTAGCTAATTCTGCTTCCAAAAACCGATAATCCTTTAAATTATAATTAAATTTTCTTAAAATTTTCTCATAAAACTTTATAAACGATTTTAGCATAAGCAATAGGAAATTGACGTTCAGCCTCTGATAACGGAAATTTCAGAAAATAATTTCTAGAATAAATATTTTGACAATCCATAGGTATATCTACATCTTTATAAATTAATCTATCCTTTGCTTTATCTTTAATATATTCTATATCATTGTTAAAAATACGTTTACAATCCAATCTTTCCTAAAAATTATTTTTATAATTATTTTGAAGCCTACATCTAATTTTAATCACCTCCATAATACGACTGCCAAATCTATCCAGCTTTTCTTTAAAAAATATTTTTATTATTAACTAAATACAATAATGAACAGAACTATAAAGACACTACCTTAGAATAATAATGTTTATTAAAAAATCTCAAAAAGATATACATCGAAGTTATAGTCCATTTTAGAGAGGATAAATTTGGCTACAAAATGAGCCCCTAATTAATTCCATATGAAAATTATTAGAAATTTTATTAGGGTTTAACAAAGACAAGGTAAAGGGCCTTACTGTATGTATCCACTACTGTATGTATCTTTAATTAATTTACCCTCAGAATGAAATTTTTCGCCTCCGGCAAATCCACTCATTTTGATAATTAAATGAACTAATACAAATAATAAATCCATATATTGATCCACAAATTCAGTTTAGACAAAAAATTATTTTAATAAATATTTATGTAAATTTTCTTTATTAAAGAGTAAAAGTTTAGTGTTTATACTTATTATTTTAGAAATTTTTAGATGAAAAGCCAATTTGTTCTATTTTCATAAATTTATGAATCATTGGGTGGCGATGAAAAACATTTTTTATACTTAATGCGTAGTCTGCTCCATACTTTACAACTGAATTACAAATTAATTTCCAACGTTCTATTATTAGAGCGATCTACAGGGGGAAATAACAAACATGACCAAATTAAAATTTGAACGTTCTGATACGTATATATTTTGTCATTCTTCGAGTTAAATGACCATTCATATTTTCCTATTTAAAAAATTAGAGAAAAAGAGAAAAGAAATAGTGTAGTGAATATTTAATTTATTTTTATTGACACGATTTTATTTAATTATTTCATTATGTCGAATTTCATAAAACATAAATTTTTCTTGTTTTCCAGAAAATTTTTTAAATATTTTAATTTTGAATAGAATAAAATGTAAATTTCTTTGTTGTTTGCATCAATGCAACACTTCAACAACTAACAACTACTAACATTTGCGTTTCGACAGCTAACACTCCTCCAAATGAACGAAAATATTGATACTAGATATGATGTTATATTTGAATTTTCTTATAAAAATAAAGATTGTAAACTACAAATTTTGGTCTGTTTGTTAGTAATTAAATTAGAAAATTATTTTTATGATGATTACCCTTCTAGTCAAATCAGAGTGTCTCTTTACAAATCACCAAAGGTGTGGGTATGGTTTCCCAAAAATGGTGTTGGGAGGCTGTTAATGGGTTGTTATAAGATGTGTTTAAGCGACCTGTTAATCTTTGCATTAGGCGGGTCAAATGAGGAATAATACAATTATGTAAGATTTCACAGGCAAAAATTAACAGGTCTTGAACAACTCTAGTCAGTTTTTCGGTTCTGTCAACTGCTCGTGTCCCATTCTTGTCAATTCTTATTTTTAAGATTTTTTTTTCGCAGGGACCCCAATTCTCCGGGATTGCCCTCATTCTGTTGACTACTTTTTGTCTTTCATTTTTCCTCTGCTTCATTCGACAGATTTTAAATCTTGTGACCTCGAGACTATTTTCCTTTCAACTCCATAATTAAAATTCATTTTTTAAGGTTCTTGGGACAATTTTGCAAAAAGAATAGCCTTAAAATGGTATGAACAAAGCAAAACTTTCATTACTATACTTTCTCTTCAGCCCGGTGATTTTCAGTTAAATTTATTTTTAAAATTTTATTTTAGGTGATTATAATTATTCTTTGTATGCTGACAATAAGCCTTTAAAGCGTTTTACTAAACATTCTGGATTTTTGGAAGTTAAGCCTGAAATAAATGGAAATTGTGTTAATTTAGTGGTTAATAAAGATCCGGAAAAAATGGTTTTTCGTGAAAATTTTTTTCAGGAAATTTTTGAATTTTTTAGTTATCACAACTGTTGGAAATTGATAATGGAATTGTTAATATTGAAAAGAAACTGTTGAAATATGAGGTTGTTAAGCAAGAGAATAATGAATGTATTGTCTGTACTCACTTTTAGTAGAGACTGTCCTGTCAGAAAATTTTTTAGTTTTGGACACTATTGCTTTTTTAATGCTTGAATATTAAATACACACGTCTTTAATTAAGAACTACGCTCTAATTGCTCTTCTAAAAGATTACTTTTTCTTGCTTGTTACGCTTTAATTTTTCATTTACACGGTTATTACTCTTCATTCATAGTCGGTTATAATACAAATTACATTGAGGGGCAACCTCCTTTTGGATTTTTAAAATAAATTTCTGTAATTAAGTGATGATTTTGGATGTTACGTCTATCAGGAATGTGGTGGAGGTGCAAAATAGATGAGTAAAAATGATTGAGGAACAGCGGCAACAATTTTCAGAGATTTATTTTTCAGTTTATGTGGAGAATGATAGTTGTTAATAGTGATGATTTTGTATAAAGGAATGCTCAGAGGGTTGAGAAATGTGGTTAGTCTTCTGTTAAAAAGTTTCTAGAAAAGTGGGTACAGATAATACTTAAGTAACTAGTTATTAAAAATTATTTTTTAGTTTGTTGATATCGATCAAATTTTGGATAAATTATTTTCCAACTTTAAAAAGATGCGCTCAAACATTAAAATTTTGAATGTTCAAGTTCTCAAGGATTTGGCAACAGAAGCCGATCGAATATTAGCTTATGCTGAAATTTATTTTTTAATGTCTGAATGGGATTCTTTAATAATCGAAAAACGATTGAAGGTGAATAGTTAAAAAGATGGGGAATTTTAAAAAATAATATGAGAAAGGAAAAGGATGGGAACAGGGTTGTTTTTGGAGAATTTTCGGGTTTCCAGAACCGAGAACCGAAACAACATCAGTTCTGTTCTAACAATCCTAGCTGGGAATATAGCCGGGCCTTTATTTCTTGCGGGTCTAAAAGTGTCTCATATTCGGTATTATTTAATTCGAAGGAGTGGTTTAATGGGGAGAGGCGCCTCCAACCCCAATAGTTTCATTATTTATAAATAAAAAAAATTTTTTTTTAGAAATTTGCTAATGGCGATAATCGTTTAAACTTTGAGAAAGCCTTAAAAGAATTTATATGTTCAAAGCCTGAAATAATTGCTCGATTACAAGAATTTGTCAAACCAATTCAACGACAATGCGAACGTCTTGGTTTAAAAAATAATAGTATAGAAATGAAACAATTACGGAAAATGAAAAGTCACCAATTTTACAACAGATTTTAATTTTAAAAAATGTCGAAAAGATTTTTCATATTGAAAAATATTTATTTTTAGGCATATTAGCAGAGATAATTTTATTATTTTACAGTCGAATTTCACTTTAAGATAACAACTTTTTTGGCCAGAAAATTTTCTTTTTAAGGGGTGTCCTAGGTGATCGGTAGCAGTCAAAAAGCTCCCTTCCCTCCACGTTTTGTCGGATTTAAAAACGTGTGTATTCTATAGTGAGTTTCGACAGTTTTTTGTACACTTTTATTTATTACTTCCCTTTTGGCATTTTTATTATTTTATTAAAATTTTTGTTGAATTATTTATTTTATTGAATAAATATTTTAGTAGATTTCAAGCAGTAAAAGAATAAATTTTGACATAAAAATATTTATAATTCTACAGAAGTTCAGACTCGTTTTTATTTAATATTATTGAACCAACTTTTAGTTTATTTCGTATCAAAAGATTTCTTAAGGTCTTGGGATTAAAACAAAAAAAAAGAATTGTTAAATTTATTGAGTTTGAAGCGAGATATTGTCAAAATATAAGAGGCGGAAAATTTGTGTATTATTTTTTAACTACAAAGGAAAAATTAAGAAAATTAATTTTTCGTGTACATCGTATAATTTTTGAAAACATTTTTCTATAATTTAGCTAAATTTCTAGTTTGTACAATTTTAGTATTTTCTCTATTAATTTTCTACGCCCAATTCGTTCCCTAGGAAACTACAACAATACAAACTACATTTCCCTTTCTAATTGCTTACGTCTAATTTTAATTCGAATTTTATCATTCAATATTTAATTTTAAAATTTAAAATTAAAAATCTTCTTTTCACTTAATGAATTTAAAAATAGGTTTGATAAGAATTAAGTAGATTGTGTCCAAATTAATTTTCTTCCCTTTTGTTCTCATAAATGTCCGCAAATTTTTATCCGCAAATTTTACTTGTTATTTTATTAGCAGGGGTACGGTAATTCCTCAAAAATTTTTAAAAGTATTTTCAAACTGAAATTATAAATATAATTTTTTCATTGTGTAAACATTTAAAAAAATTTGCAGAGTCCGCAACCTCAAATTTAGTGTCCGCAAATTTCGGCAATTACACCAATTGTCACCAACTCTCTAACTATAAACCACAAGAAAGGTGGCTATAAAAATTGTGACGGCGAGTCCTTTTTGCAAATATTAAAACACTTGTTTAGTCATTCTAATTAAAAATAAAAATATATATAAATAATGTTTGTTAAAATATTTTTTAGTTATTCTCTCCTTCCCTCCTCGAAATCTCCCTTGAGTAGCAGCCACAAATTTTCTAATAATTATAAAAATTTGAGCAAGCTACTTATTAAGATAGGTGGATTAAAAAAGGATATTAGAGAGTACCTTGCTAGAGGAATTTTTATTCTATATATTGATGAAAGAGAAGAATAAGGCTGAGCAAGTAAGGCTACCTAACATAAGGCTACCCAGCTTCCTCACTCATTTTTCCTAAAATTATTTGAGGAAATGTATTTCTCATTATTTTTTTATTATTTTAATTATTGTAAAAAATACAGATTAAATTTTTCTATTCAATAAAAATGTCGTTTAAACCAACCAAGGGTCTTTTGGTTAATGACTGGAAGCGAGATGTCATTTACCTTGTCCAGTTCCCACGTACTCATGTTATTCCAAGTCCATCACCTTTTGCACTTAAATTGGAGACGTGGATTAGAATGAATGGGCTTACTTATAGAGTAAGTAATTTTTCTTTAAATTTTTGATTTATACTTCTTTACGGTCATGTTCCAAAAAGTCCGCAAGTTTTATCCGCAATTCATTTTTTGACTTGCGGATAAAATTTGCAAACTTTTTGGAACAGAATGTAATAAAACCATAATTAAAAATAATTTTTGAATTAAATTAGAATGTAAGCAATGAACTAACAAAAGGATCAGCTAAATGCCAAATCCCTTTTATCGAATTAAATGGAAAGCAATATGCAGATACTAAGGAAATAATTGAATATTTAAAAAATTATTTCAAACTTTCAATTGATTCAAATTTAAACATCGTGGAAAGGGCACATTCAAGAGCTTATACGATACTAATTGAAGAGTCGTTATTTCGGTAAGGCTTTATAAAAATTAAAAAAGCATGAATCTCGTTATAATCCATGTAATAAAAGTTAAAAAGATTGTTGAAGTTATTTTAAAGTACATTATAAATAATTCAAGAAGTAGCTGACTTAGGTAAGATTAGTCCCATAATACAAAGCTGTTCAGCCACCAAATCTCTGAAATTTCCCATAGCCTTTGCTCCTTATTCTTTCTATACGGATGGATACTAGGGTTTCATCGGAACCGAAATTCTGACAAGAACCGGAACCGGGTCCAATTTGAGTTCCGGATTCCGGAACCGGAACTACGGTGAAACCCTATTGGATACGGTAATAGAGATATGTGAGGGATATACGTTTACTCGCGGAGGATATGACTCAAATGTTATACGGATATCCGGTGAAACCCTATTTGATACGGTAATACGGACATGTGATGGATATATGTATACTCGCGGAAAGATATGGCTCAAATGTTATACGGATATATTTTCGACCTCACGGATAAAACAGACTTTTGGCATCCAAAATCCGTGTCCCTGACCAAGTCTGATAATAAATAATTTTTCTATTTAAATCTAAAGGTGTGGGCAATACTTTCGAAGTTTTGATATTGACTGGTTATTTACAGAAGAGGGATTTTTGTCCCATGTAAAAGGCCTTAAAAAATTTTTAATAGGAAAATTTGGACCTGCAAAGCTTAAAAATACGGTAGATTAAAAATAAATTTAAAAAACGAAATTAATTTTAGTTAAAAAATATTGTTTATGTCCAAGGTTATGGACGCCATTCAAAACACGAAGTTGATGAGATTGCCAAAAAAGATTTACTTGCCCTTTCGACGTGAGGAGGAAAATTTTTTTCCAATTAAAAAAATTTTTAATTTTATAGTTTACTTGGAGATAAGCCTTTTCTTTTTGGAAGTACTCCTACTACAGTTAATATCTTTTCAAATATTTTATCTAAAAATAATGAGGTCATTTAAGGAATGGCACTATTAAAGTATGGCCCCGAACCCTGACCCAAAGGTCAACCTCGATCCTGAACCCCGAAATGCCCAAGCCGGCAAAACCCAATCTCCGATACATTCGATGCCGAAGGCTCGGGGAGCCATCCTATTTAACGTATTATGATCTAACCTTTATATAAGCACCCCCATTGGGTCTTAAAAATCGTATAATGATGATCCAGTCTGAATTTTTCCTGGATCCAGAATTCTGTTTTCTTGCTGGAAACGCGTTTAACGCTAAATAATATAATTAATAAAAATTAATTTAAAAATTTTTTCTTCAGTTGGACGCAATTCTGTTTGGATTATTAGTACAGTATACAGATACACCCACTTCAGAAGCAATGATGCCTTTTATCGAAAAAAGTGCCCCAAATCTGTTAGAATTTGTTTCATTAATTAAAAAACGTTATTGGCCTGATTGGAATGAAATTATTGAAAAGTTGTTGTTAAATCCTGAAGATAATGAACATAAAAAGGAACAAAAATTAATTTAAAGAAAGATTATTTTTCCTAAGATAAATTATTATTTATAGAAAAAATAAATTTCAAAAATAAATTTCAAAAACTTAATTATTTTTCTAAGTAACTAAGACAATAGAAACTACAATATACATTTTTCTGGGTGTGATAGGAATTTTTTGTTCATATTTTTTAATTTATTAAATTTGTCATCTCTCGACACTAATTAAATTAGGTTAATAAGAATGTAATAGTGTAGAAATTAAAAGTTTTCTTCAAGTTTTCAGCAAAACTAGACTATAAATATAAGAAAATATCACACATTCCTCCTCAAATTTACATATTGTATGAGTAAAATAGGTTGGCAAATCCTGGGAAAGCTTTTGATATCCTAATCTAATATCCGAACTAAAATTCCTGGAAATCCATGATCCGGATATTCGGATCTGCAAATCTTATAAATAACGTAAACATTCTAATCCTTTATTAATAAATTGCAGTAAAATAAAATAATCTCAAACCACATTTTCAGTAAAGGTGTAACAAAATTTGGCGAACCCCCATTTTTTAATATTATTAATTCAGAATTAATTTCGTAATTTTAGTCAAAGAATGCAATAAAATTGTGATCTAGATTGTAGTCATTATACATATTTAAAAGTATTTTCTTCTTTTTGGAGTAATACCAGTTACACTTACACAAGCCACACAATTGTTTTATTTTTTAATTAAATAAAAAATAAATAAATATTTTCCCTCTTTTCAAATTTCGGTTGATTAACCTCAATCATCTTCCTATCCATCGTGAAAAATTTTTATGAGTAATCCCCATTAAAAAACAGGAAATTTAATAGGGAAAGGAGTGCGCAATGTGTTTAAACAATTTTACACAAAAATTCTTTTCATTCTCCCCATTTATTCAATTATTTTTAAAGTGTATCTTTATATTTTTTATTCAATTTTCAACCAATTTTTTCTGTGTCCAATTTTATTTTTTTAGTTATTTTTATTAGAAAAATATTTTTCGGTGTTTTTGAACCTGAGGTTCCCCTCGAATTTAAGAAAGTTATAACTCGCTGAATACCTAACCTAAAATTCTCAAATTTTGAGATCTATTAGGAAACACTCTAAAGAATCTATATCCAAAGTTTCACAGCTTTTGAAAATCTACAAAAAATTCTATATAAATTTTTGTCGAGGAAAAATTTTTTGAAGTGATCAAGGAATAGTATCATGCCATACTTATTTTAGAAAATCGGGAATTAATTTTTATGTCATCACATTCCCTGATATGTATTATAAAAAATATTTTTCAATCTCAGTTATCGAAATCATGATTTTTCGAGATCAATCCGTCTATTATTGTTATACTTTTGGTTCTATAACAATTTATTTCTACTAAAGTATTTTTAATTGACTTAATAGGAATGTCGTTTAAACCAACAAAAGGTCTTTTGGTTAAAGACTGGAAACAAGATGTGATTTACCTTGTCCAAGTCCCCCGTACACATCTTATTCCAAGTCCATCACCTTTTGCACTTAAATTGGAGACGTGGATTAGAATGAATGGGCTTACTTATAGAGTAAGTAATTTTTAATTAAATAAAAGACGTTTTAATGGACTATTTTCTATGGGCATTTCATTCAATCTACCGTATCTCCTCCAAATAATTTTTACATTAATCAGAACATTAACAATGAAATGTCGAAAGGATCATCTAAAGGCCAAATTCCTTTCATTGAATTAAATGGACGACAATTTGCTGATAGTAACCAAATAATGGAACATTTAAAAAATTATTTTAAACTTTCAATTGACTCGAAATTGAACAGCATGGAAAGAGCACATTTAAGAGCTTATACAATACTTATTGAGGAGTCGTTATTTCGGTAAAAAAAATTGAATTAAATGAGGGATTCAATTAAAATATTTTTTACCCTTTTATTACCAGTGCCGGATATGGCTCCAGGACCATTCTAGGTGCTGAAGCCCGATTCAAGAATTTAAAAACATACAGAGCTTGGGCCATATAATATCCAATAACAAGCACTGATTATGAGGAAAACCCCAGCCCAAAAATATTATTTATAGGATGAGATATGGATTTCTAACAATCAGATTTTTGTGAATTTTTGTAAAAAAAATTCAGAAATACTTCAACATAAAGAAAATAGTCAAAATAAAATTTTTAATAAATTTTTAATAAATTTTTAAAACAAAATCCTTAATAAAATTTAAACTATACAGTTGTCTTCAATATTTTCGAAGCACTGATTTTGGTTGGCTCTTTACAGAGAAAGGGCTCTTGCCCCATGCAAAAGGTCTTCAAAAATTACTTGCGCAGAAATTTGGAGCAAAAAAGCTTCAAAAAGCGGTAAATTAAAAAATAAATTTAAAAGAGAAAATTAATTTTAGTTAAAAAATAACGTTTATGCCCAAGGTTATGGACGTCATTCATTAATTGAAATTGAAGAGATTGCCAAAAAAGATTTAATTGCTCTTTCAACGTGAAAATTTTTTTTAATATTTTAAAAATATTTTTAATTTCATAGTCTACTTGGAGATAAGCCTTTCTTTTTTGGAAGTACTCCTACTACAGTTAATATTTTTAAAATTATTATTAGCAGTCTCAAATCCAGGCTAATTTTTATCAAAACTTATTTCCAAATTTTGATAGATTTATCAGACAAAATTATGAAATTTAAATACGATTTAGGGGTTCTTAAGGTCTTAGGATTAAAATAAGAAAATATTGTTGAGTTTGAAGCGAGACACAACTAAGAAGGAAACGTTAAAATTTATCTCACTTTATCATAGTGAATTTAATTTCCTTTGATTTTAATTTTATTTAGTGGCATTTAGATGGTCGGTACCGACAAGTAGTCTAGCCTACATACAATTTAAATTTTCAATTTTCGTGGGGTCTGGTAACACACTGGTACTGTTACTTACTATTCATTAAACAGAGTCATTTTTGAATACCTGTAATTAATAAAACGTTAGTTAAATTAATAAATTTAAAAGGTAACATGCTTAATACATTTTTTGTTTTTGGAAATTAAGGGAAAAATATAATTTTTTAAAAATTAAAAATTATTTTCAGTTAGATGCCGTACTTTTTGGGACATTAACACAATTTACTGACACACCTATAATTTCTGAAACAATAATGCCTTTGATTGAAAAAAGTGCCCCAAATCTGTTAGCGTTTGTTTCATTAATTAAAAAACGTTATTGGCCTGATTGGAATGAAATTACTGAAAAGTTGTTGTTAAATCCTGAAGATTCTGAACATAAAAAGGAACAAAAATAAATAAAGGATTTACCCAACAAATTAATTTTTAATAAAAATTTTAATAAAATTAAAATTTTAATAAAATTAAAATTAAAAAATTCTTTCAAAAACATTTACACAAACAGTCGATTATACGCCCGACTCATTATTTTGCAATATCCTAGGCGAGAGAATATAATGTATTTCACAGGCATATATACATTCAATTGCCAAATTAATTGACTATTATTCACGTGAAAACAGCAAAATTGAGAGGGGGGGAGAGAATTTAAATTTTATTTTTATTTATTTTTATTTAGAGGTGAATGGGGATGTGGGGGGACTTTGAAAATATTTTATTTATTATTTTTTATAGCAGCTAAAATTAATTATTAAATTAGCTATTTTGAAGTTTTTGAGCAATCAAATCTATAACTCGCCTAATAGAGATCGGCCTGGGTCTGGACCAAGGCCTGAGATTTTCTGTATTCTGAGTCCAGGTCCAGGCATTTTTTGACCTTCCTGAGTTTTTCATGGGCCTGGGTTTTTCCTGAACTACAGGCCCAGAATCCAGACCAGGTTAAGAAATCAAACCCAGAGTCCAGGAAAAGGTCTAGGCTTTTCAAAATTTCCGATCCCTACCGCCTACTGCGTTTGACTCTAATGCTTCTAATTCCTGATAGCGCAAATACCATTAAGTATTAAAAGCCATATAATAAGACTTACGGTATTTTCAAAAAGCATAAGACCGATATCCGGACATTTTTTATTCCTGATATCAAAAAATTTCAACCCTATAAATTTTTGTAAGGCCTGAAGCTATGCAGAGGCGGCCAGGCCTTGTAAACTGAAAGATCAGCCGCCTAATCGTTTGCATTATCTAAGGAGTAATAGCTAGAAAATTCAGCTTTATTAAATTTTAATATTTCACAATAATGTTTTTTATTTTTGATTTTATTTTTGCCGCCTTAATGCCCTTTTACTTTTTTGAGTTTTAAAAATATTCACACGCTTTTTAATTTTATAAACGTAATTTTGAAAATAAGGAAATATTGAAATAATCTGGGAAATAAATTATTTTCTCAATTATTTGTTAATCACTCGGATTTTAAGTTCCTTTTTCCCATAATTTTAAAATTTGATAATACAGCACATCGGAGATTTGCACTTTTGTAGTTTAGAAAATTGAGGTTGCGAGAAGATAAAGAATGGAGGACAGGAAAACGGATTTGGTGGAAGTCGGAACCTATCTCTATTAGGCTCTAGGGCACCTATAAGCTCCAGGGCGACGTCTTATTATGCTTTGTTAAATAAAAACTTTAATTTTGTTTAATTAAGCTTTAAAGATTTGAAATTTCAATGTTATTTTCAAATATTCTACTGCCTTTTGGCATTATTATATTTTTAAATTTATTATTTTCAAATGCAGCAACACCAAGTTTTTATCCCAAAAAGGGTAAGGGTTTTTAATTAAAATGGAAGGGATCTAGAAACATTTTCTGTGTTAGGAGATTATCACAGCATTAAATGACCATGAATCTAGTGTAAGGATTATGTATGCGGATTATATGTGCGGATTGCGGATTTGTGCGGAAAATATGCGAATAATGTCATGGGAGATGTTCAAAGGAAGCAACAGTGTTCCCAAGCACTTAAGTAATAGCCTCACATGCCAGTTCCGACGGGAGGCATACTATGTATCGAGCTTAAGAAGCACTGCACTAAAGTGACTTGAGGTACTATTGGATTGCCATCATTGTTTTAGAAAAAATTCAAATACGCTAATTACATTATTTTTAAAGTTTTATATCTTAAATACTATGAATGGCGCTTCTTTTACAATCCACTTGATTATGCAGAAATTATTCTAGAATGGCATTATTCGGATTTATTATTAACAAATAAACTGAGTGTTGTTGATGACAAATATTTGAAAATTAGTGCGGTTACCCAACATTATTTAATTAATATGTATATTAAAATGAATCGTCAAGAAGACCCAAATATTTTGAAAAAGGTTATTTTAGTTTGCTAAAATTGTTGCAAGAATCATGGGATAACGTCCACAAAAGTCCCCAAGAGCTCAAAACTCTCCCCTAAACTCTCTCCTTCTCCCTGAAAGTCTCAAATATGGAAAAAATTTTTTATTTCAGCTTACGATGTTTGGAAGTTTAATAATTAATTATAACATTGGTGCATTATTTGAAATTTGTAGAAACATTAAAATTAGAGATATTTTAATTAATGAAAAAAAGAATAATGATAGAGTCGATTATGAAAATATCTCACCTTTTAGTGTTTCGTGTGGTGCTAAAGAATTGGCTAATATAGCTAATGAAATGGATAATAAGATTCGTGAAGAATCTGATTTTCTGATTTTTATCAAATTGTTAAAGAATCCAAGTTTTTCAGACTTTTTTAGAAAATATAAAGACGATAAGAATGCCTTGAAAAATATAGAGGCCGCACTTTTTATTGTATTTGGTAGTGTACGTTTGTATAGCCTATATGAAGGATTCCCTGAATTTTTTCAAAATATGAGTATGTTTTTTAATAAATTATGAAACGTTTTGAAATGAAAAGATGGGACGGATTATTGATTTCCAAATTATTTTCTTTAAAACAAAAGTTGGGCGGGATCGGGATCCCGGTCGGAATCATTATTCCAAAATCCTGATTTCGACCAATCCCGATACCGCAGTCTGGATCGGGACCGGGATCGAGATCATTATTACTAATCCCGGTCCAGATTTTACGTCTGGATCCCGGTCCCGACCAACTCTATTTAAAGCTAAGAACATTAAAGAAATAAACTTTTATATTGCATATTAATTTACTCTCCCAAATTTCAGTTATAATTGAAAAAGAAGGTCAAGAAAATTTTCCATTAATATATAAACTCTATATAGAGTATTTTGAAACTAAAGATATGCTAACTAAATGGAGAAATAAGCTTCTTATTGAATATATAATATATAGGGAATGGCTTTGTGGGCCTAATAATAAAGGTAAATTAATATAAAATAATAGTTAAAATTATTTTTAATTTTATTAAAGGCCAAAATAATTTGGAAGAAGACAGTTATTGTATTAATTCATACCTAGATGAAGCTTGGAAAGAAATAAATAAATATTATTGGTATGGGGAGGAGGCTTTATTAATAATTATTAATTCTGAAGGAGAAGAGGAAGATATAATTTGGAATATAATTTTTGTTCGTTTTATTAAAGAAATTTTTTCAAATTTTTTATAAAATATTCCAAAAAAAATTTTATTTAATAGAAAATTTATTTGGAGCCGGAGGAGTATTCTACCTCTCAATTAGATGCAACGGCATATCCCTCATTCCTACAAGCATCCTTGGATGCTTTAATGTCGCTTTATAATAAAAAAGGGAGCGAAGAATTTAAAAACGTTGAAGAATGGCACAAATTTTTATTAAATAAAAATAAGGGAAGATCATTCTTTAATAGAGGGCGATGGAATGATTTAATTAAAACAAATCTGAGAAAAAATAATTTATTAAAAAATAATAAAGGAAGGAGGCATATGCATACAGCAAAATTATTAAATTTACTAAAAGAGAATAATGAAGATATAAATCCTGAAATATTAAAAATTCGTGAAACCATACTTTCAGCTACACGTAAAATTATAATTAATAAAAATTCCCAAAATTAATTTATTTCATAAAAAATTTTTTTTATTATTAAGCATCGGATCTAGAGGCAATTACGGATTGCTCTGCCCAAAGCTTGATAGATTTATCCTGCAATGTGGGTGATAATTTAACTGAGGTGGTTAATGTTAAATTATATTCTTCAATAAGTCTAATATCAGTAATAATTAATAATCAGTTATCTTAAGACTAGAGATAGAACTGGGATTGACTTAAGAGAATAGAGATCTCAAAACATATCTATCTCGATAACAAGTATTTTTGAAAGAGATCTCGTATCAGTCCGATCTCTAATTTAGTCATGAAATAATCTTAATATAATAATTTACAGACTGTTTCTGAATCTATCAGTGAAATAAGTGAATCGAGTTCAATTCCAAAAAATGGTCAAAGCTTTGAAAGTCCCTCAACTGACACTTCAATTTTAAATTATCGAGATAATGCAAATGAAATTGAAGAAGTATTAGATACTAATACTACAACAGATGATAATAGCTCTATATTTTTACAAGATATTAGTACCTCAGAAGTGGGTACCTCAGTAAGTATACCGTCAAATTCGCCTTCATTTCTGCAGCATTTGGATTATGAAATGAAAGCTTTTATTAATTTTGAGGGTAAATAAATAAATTTCAAAATTTAAAAAATTAATTTTTTTTAATTTTTAAAGACTTATTTGCTAAAATGACAAATAAAAAAGAAATATCGGAAGATTATTTACTACAAATGTTTTCGCTTTTAATTGAAACAAATGAGCATATTGAAGTTTTGATTTTTCAAAAACACTTTTTAATTTACCTAAATATTGCCATAATAGTAAAAACTATTGAGGAAGGACTGAAACTTGAAATATTCTTCGGGGATAATATTAAAAATTTTAAATTTGTCAATGAGCTATGGATAGAATTTAAAGAGAAAATTTTAAATATGTCTAAAAATGAAGAAATCGGTATAGATGTGGAAGAAAAAAGATTAAATTATATTCTAAAATTAGTTTATCGCTTTTTGTATAACAGTAAAAATTGGGGAAATTTGTCAAATGAATGGACAAAAAGGTTTGTACACATCGGGGAAGGGTCAGGTACCTAAAACCATATACTAGTAACACTATCAATTTAGACCCGAAAATGAAATTATTTTTAGGATTAATATTAAGCTTACGAACATTATATAAACTTAATTTAAGCTTATCAACCTTAAATAAACTTATTTTTAAGGTTAGCAACTCTAAATAAACTTTAAGTTTACCAAATTTAAATAACTTTAAGTTTCCGAACTTTATATAAACTAAACCTAAGCTTAACAACTTTAAATAAACTTTAAGTTTACCAACTTTAAATAAACTTAACTTAAACTTACCAACCTTAAACCAACTTAATTTTAAGCTTACCAACTTAAAATAAACTTTAAGTTTACCAACTTTAAATAAACTTGACTTAAACTTACCAACCTTAAACCAACTTAATTTTAAGCTTACCAACTTTAAATAAACTTTAAGTTTACCAACTTTAAATAAACTTGACTTAAACTTACCAACCTTAAACCAACTTAATTTTAAGCTTACCAACTTTAAATAAACTTTAAGTTTACGAACTTTAAATAAACGACTTAAACGTACCAAACTTAAATGAACTTAATTTTAAGCTTACCAACTTTAAATAAACTTTAAGTTTACCAACTTTAAATAAACTTGACTTAAACTTACCAAACCTAAATCAACTTAATTTTAAGCTTAACAACTTTAAATAAACTTTAAGTTTACGAACTTTGAATAAACTTGACTTAAACTTACCAACCTTAAACCAACTTAATTTTAAGCTTACCAACTTTAAATAAACTTTAAGTTTACGAACTTTAAATAAACTTGACTTAAACTGACCAAACTTAAATGAACTTAATTTTAAGCTTAATAACTTTGAATAAACTTTAAGTTTACGAACTTTAAATAAACTTGACTTAAACTTACCAAACTTAAATGAACTTAATTTTAAGCTTACCAACTTTAAATAAACTTTAAGTTTATCAACTTTAAATGAACTTTAAGTTTACCAACTTTAAATAAACTTTAAGTTTACCAACTTTAAATAAACTTGACTTAAACTTTTTACGAACTTTAAATAGACTTGACTTAAACTGACCAAACTTAATTGAACTTAATTTAAAACTTACCAACTTTGAATAAACTTTAAGTTTACAAACCTTATATAAACTTAACTTAAACTTACCAACCTTGAATGAACTTAATTTCAGACTTACCAACTTTAGATAAACTTTAAGTTTACAAAATTTCATAAACTTAACTTAAAATTATCAACTTTAAATAAACTTATTTTTAAGCTTATCAACTATTAAAAAACCTTAAGTTTACCAACTTTATCCTTTATCTATGCTCATCTTAAATCTAAACTCAACTTTCTTAAGTATGTATAAAAACTTTAATTTACTTAGCTTTCTATACTTTAGTTTAAGCTTAAAAAGAGATTATAGTTTAGGAGTTTATGTTTAATAAATTCTTTAAAGTTATTTACTTTAATAATATTTAAGGAAAACATTAATTAACTTTTCAAAAATGCCCCATATAATCTCACATCTTCGCTTAACATTTCTATCAACTATGTTCGCTAAGAATTCTTGTATCGATACAGAAGATCAAGTGTTAATTGATCGTGAATATTTTCAAAAATATTTTGGAGATAAATGTCTTGAGGAAAATGGACAAATAAAATTTGAATTCTTTGCGAATCTTTACCCTCTAATTGATACATCAGAAAAGGATCTATCAATTAATGAGCAGAATAAATTGATAAATAAATTTATAGGAGAATTTGAAATTAGATTGAAGAGAACACGTATAATGCTTGATCAACAATTTATGGGTAATTTTTGGAATTTGTTAAAAAAATAATTTGGAAATTTATTAAAAATTTTTAGATAATACATTGCGAAGTGAGATGGATAGATTTAATTCAGAAAATAAATTGATAACCAAAGTTTTGAATGATAAATGGAAAATCTCCAATTTGTATGAGATTTTAAATCAGTTTTATATTGAATTTGAAGGTGATGAAAGGGCAAATAAAAATAATAATGATGAGAAGAAGAAAATTATAAAAATTGATGATGGAAAGTATGATGATGGAGAGGTGATTTATATTTAATAATTATTACATAATGAAATTATTAATTTTTTAAAATAAATCCACAAATTAAGTTGAGGAAATATTTGGATAAAATTTATCATTTGGACGATGATGTAAAAGCTAATAGGAAGGGCGCTATTCAATGGATAGAAAAACAAGTAGAAATGTGGCTGAATAAACAATGTAGTTCTGTTGGTATTAAATATAAAGGTACTTTATAAAAATATAGGTATATTTAATTTAATATACCTATAAGCTTTTATTACTCATACGCAATTATTAATAATTAATAATTCATTCTGTGACATGTTTGAGAGGCCTGATAATCAAATTTTAATCTTGTATCAATAAAATAACTAATATTAAATAATTTTTATCACAATTCATATCTTTTTATCCCTATAATTATTATCACTTATCACCTACGCAATAGATCTTGAAATAAATTATTAAATATTAAAGCGGATTATTCAATGATCGTTGGTGGTTCATCCCTATTAGAAACAGCAACATCAGATTCCGATTTGGATATTATATTTTTACTTCCAAATCAGTGTCTTATTCCTAATGAAGTTAAAGAATGTAATGAATGCAAATCTAATTTAAATTCTGGGCGTTTTTGCCAAGAACATGATTTTATATTTGGCGATGGAGTGGATACGTTTAATTCAACAATGAAGAAACTTGAGAATAATATGGAGGATTTGAAGGTTTTAAATAAAAATTTTGTTTATTAATGGCGATTGAATCGAAAGTACAACGACCCATCAACGAACATTTTTCGTAATTATCCCCAACCCGAACCCCTCTCCGAAAAAAATGAAAATCAGTTTCCAACCTAGAAAAACTTTCGTGTGCTTCAGGGAGGAGGTATTACAAATATTTTTTGGACATGTAAAAGCTTTCCTTAACTATTTTAATAATTAGCAAATAATTATTAAATTATAAGGTTAACACAATACCCTATGGAAGAGTACCACTAATTGAAATACAATATAAAAATATAGAAATTGATATAATGTTTGCAATTGATGCTTCTAAAATAAATACCTCGTATGGAGATTTAACTAATTATACAAGTAGAAAAATAATTTTGGATAATTTGAGAAAAATTGATACGATTATTGAAGAGATGATTAATGCAGATGAGAAAAAAGTATTAACCAAAAGTGTTATAATTTTGGCAGGTGAATTAATTTAGACTATCAAAAATCACTTAGAAACTTTCTGATTACTATGAGATCCACACAATATGTGATACACCTCGATTTAAGATACCTATGTTTTTTGAATATGGTTGATCATTCGTTGGGAGTGGAAGCTGCCTAAACGATACACCCTAATTAAACCTACCCTAATTAAACTGATTTAATTAATTTTTCTTTTCAATCCTTTATGATTGTATCTTATAATTCTGTTGATCCTACTTCAATTAATTATTAATAAAATTTAAAGGTTATCGAATTGCATACCGATTAAAATATTTTCTCATTGATGATGGAAAAAGGCCAATTTTTACAAATTTACTTCGAACTATTAAACTATGGGCAAAAAGTGATTTTTAATTTTAAAAATTTTCATAATTTTTAAATTATAAAAAACGAAATTTATTCAAATATGTTTGGATATTTAAGTGGGACTATATTAACTATTATGTGTTCAAAAATTATTTTAATTTATACATCGGAAAATTTATTATTTTTAATTAAAAAATTCTTTTTGACATTTGCAAATTGGTTTGATTTCTTAAAAATTAGTGTTTATCGCTATATGTAGACCGTTATCTTTCAGAAAAATCCCGACCTTTCAGAATCCCATTATAATATTAGTTAAATACCGATACCGCTTTTAGGCCTTGATCCTGACACAGGACAACCTAGGTTACTAAACTACCGTATTACTCGATTAAATCCCCTGGAGATTTTTTTCAAATCCATCCGCGACATGGGTAATTAATCGAGGGAGAGAAATATTTAAGGGATGGGAATTAATCGAGTAAATACGGTTATCTGATTTAATCAGAAGGTTAATTTAATCAGATTTAATCAGATTCCGATACTCCTTGAGAATAATGAAACTGAAACTAATAACACACCAGAATTGAAATATGTCAAACAATTATTTAATTATCTCGTAATGTATTAGACATGATAATTACAGGGATTGGCCAATGCCCGTGCTTGTAGAACCGTTAAACACAAACCAACAATTTAATTCAAAAGAAGACATAGATTTAAGACCCTGGGAGATTACAGATATTGACCCATATAATGGACATGAAGGGGATCAGATGCCTGTAATCTCTCCTTTATATCCCGAGCAAAATACAGCATATAATGTTAATTTAAATACTCGAAAATTAATTACAAAAATTATGAAAGAAGGTTTTTTGAAAAATTTTCAAAAATATTTTTTGAAATTTATTTTTAAGCCTACAATTTACTTGAAAATGAAGGACACAATAATTATTTAAAACTTTTTGAAAATTTTGATTATAAAAAATATTACAATTATTTTATTTTAATTACGTGTTTGGAGATGGAAATACAGAAAGATAATAATTGTATTTCTGTAAAAGCAAAATTAAGAAAAACATTGTTTAAGTGGGCGGAGTTGGCCAAGATAAAAGGCCAAATTGAGCATTATCATGTGATCAGTAGTTTTCAAAGAAAAGAAGAAAGTTGTTTTATTGAAGGGTATTTTCATAAATATTTTCTGGAGTTACTTGAAATTAATAAGCCGGATCGGAAGGATATTTAAACAGAAATCTTTGTTATCGTAATAGATATATTTTTTCGTACGACCCTCCAGTCCATTATTCATAACTAAGAATTATTGTGTTACTAATTTCTTGGGATAAATATATATCTTGATATTGAATGTAAGGGTGATTTAAGAGCACGATAGAGAATTCTATAATTATATTTCCGCAAGTATTAACACAATATTAAAATTTTCACAATTAGGGTTGCCGTTTCATTTGTCCTTTTCGGGCCAAAACTCAATGCCCGATGCGATCTTTCGAACTGAGCCGGCACGCAATCCTAATCCCAATGAATATTGCTTAGTTTATCTGAAATAACTAAATTAAAAAACAGATTATATGGACCATGTACAACTTGGATTGTTGGCATTAAACTAATTAATGATTCTGAAAATGAAGTTACAAACTTTGCAAAAGAAAGCATTGAAATGCTTAATTATTATACAAAAACTTTAAATAAAGGATCAGTAATGGTATTTTCATTTTTTGTGAGTGAATCAGAAATTGATCCAAAGTTAGTTAACAAATTCTAAATTTTAATTTTTAATGTTAGCATATTCTTTATTCTATAAGTCTAATAATATGGCTAATAAAATTTAAAAAATAACAGATTATCTATGAACTGGGATTTCGATTATTATTTTCTTGGTACTCAACAGTGAATTGGGTTGGCGGATCAGCATATTCGGATCCGATTTTCGGTCCGGATATCCGGAAATTTTGGGCCGGCTATTGGATCCGGTTATCCGGAGATTTCCAAGGGTATCAGAAGATTTTTAGTCGGGAAGGAGGCTTAACTTATGAGGAGGCTTTTGATGAGGCTTAACTAAATAGACAAAGTATTAAAGCTTAATTAAATATTTAAAAAATTATTTTATTTTAAAGAATATCCTCATTTATTTATGATAAAACTGCAAATAACGATACTAATAAATTCCAAATAAAAAATGAAAATAGACAACTATATAGACAATATTCACAATTATATTATGGACCTACACAAAATTTGCGAAAAGAAAATCCACTGGATCACAACAAGCTTATACCTCCAAATAGTTGTGATAATTACCTTAATGGTAATTTTGTATTTTTGCCAAAACAGAAAGATTTGGTGATTCATTTTAAATTATTAAATAATTTTTTATTTTCAGGAAAAAGGTAAAGCTACCAAAAATAAAAAAGAAAAATATTCAAAAACAAAAAATAAGAATTCGAGAAAAGGGCGAAGTTGAGGATACTGTATTCTCTCGATTAATTACCTTCGGTCTATTAATTTAGATAAATATCTAGGTGTGTCAATCTTGTAGATAAATTACTAATTTTAGTAAACGGCGTATAAACTAGGTATAAACTAGGGCAATTATCTACCCAGGTATAAACTAGGGTAATTATCTACCCAGGTATAAACTAGGGCAATTATCTACCCAGGTATAAACTAGGGTAATTATCTACCCAGGTATATGTAAACTAGGGTAAGTAATCGAGGAACTGCGGTACATGACGTTAAAAAAATTTTTTTTTATTTTTTAGTAAATTTTTTTGGTTATATTTTATATTTTTATATAATTTATTTAGTATTTTTATTTGAAAATTATGTACATAATATTTTTTATAGATATTTAAAAATTAAATATATTTTTATTTTTTATTCTCAATTATATTCAGGATATTTCCCCGATATTCTCACTTCTTTATATCCTCTGTATTTAATGCCAATTGTTCACAAATTTCGCTCCAATCTGGCCAAAACTGTTCTTTCATCCGTTTCACAAATTCCATAAGATTTGGGGTACTTTTTTCTATAAATTGATTTATCTCTTTTAAATTCCGGGGCACATAAAGTGAAGTTGCTAAAAATCCAAATGCTGTGGCATCTAGCTAAATTAAAATCTTTAATAAGCTTATAAAATTGAATTAAAGAGTTGACCGGCATTAATACATATCAGGATTGCCGCCCGAAACCCGGCATTTTTTGTACCCGAAACCCGATACCAGAAAAGATAGATTTCCAACCCTAAACCCGTACCCGAAGATTTTTTGTACTCGCGACAACACTGCTACATATTAAACAAAAAATTTATTGATATCTTCTTAGACCATAAGTCCATTTAGGACTCATAATTCAAGTTTAATTAGATAGTAAAGGATATATAATTTAAATGATTATTGTGGTGGTATCACAAAAGATTTTGAGCGAAGGTCTAACTAGCACAAATGGAAAAAGCAAAAATATAAGCGAGGGATTTGAAAAGAAATTAAAATTTCAACACACCGTTGAAGGTTGGTTACCAAAAAAGTAGGGCTTTTCTCCCAGAAATGTTGATAGGGCCATCAAATCCTTTTTGGCGATATCTTCAATTTCATTAACTGAATGTCGCCCATAGCCTTGCGCATTAAGCGTTTTCTTTGTCTTTAATTTAAATTTAAAAATTATTTTTTGCCCTCATTAACTAACCGAATATTGAAATTTTTTGGGTATTAAATTTTTTGCTATAAATTTTTTGGCGCCAGTAAAATAAGGTAAATAGCCTGAATCTGTTCCAATCCATGAGGCGTTAATACTAAAATCATACTGGAGGCACCTGTTTTAAATTGTTATATTTTTTAATTAAATAATGATTTTTTGAGTCCTTTGAATAAGGAAAATTTTTTTAAAAATATTTTTAATTTTAAATTAAATCTGAAACATCTTTGGGGTTTCAGCAAAAGTACTAACAGAGGAACTCGAAGATTACTCTTGAAAATTTTTTATGAATTCTCTTTGAATAATCTAATAATTTTAATAATATTGAGGCCTTATTTGGCTATAGCAGCAGCACACTAGAACTTAGATTTTAATTGAACTCTAAAGAAAAAATTTATAAAAATTTTAGAGTTCTTGTGAGACTACTATAATGTAATCCTATAGGTCTTCAGCATCACAATAACCAAAAAATCATGGAATTAAAAATTTTTTCTACCTAAAGAAAGATTCTTCAATAAGCAAACTAAAAGCTCGTAGATTGGCACGTTCAGAGCTGTTAAGATTTCCGTCAATAGGCAACTTAAAGTGTGAACGTAAATGTTCAATAATAAAATTGCTGTCAGCATGTTGACGGCCATTTAGTTCGATAAACGGGACTTGGCCCTTTACAGAAGCATGTTTAAACTGGTTACTCACATTCTGAAAGTAAATTTAAATTGATTTGGAAATTTGAAGTTGATGAAGAATGTTGATAAATTAATCTTATACCATTGCCTCTCAGTTTAATTAATAGGAAACGTTTCTATTAGAACTCAGGGCGTTTTAAATTTTTTAAAAATAGTTCTCTCCTAATACCTTTAGATCATTCAAATAGATGGGTTTTTTCACAAATGGTGCCTGATTTATTTTAAAAAGCGGAAGATAGAAGGCTTAAAAAATGCAAAAATGATGGGAAAATGGAAGAAGATAAAAACGGAAGTAGGCGGATGATGGGAGAGATCCATCCCTGGTAGTTATTACGTAAATGAATCTCTCAATTTAATACTCGTTCCATTACTTTGTTTCTAATCACAATTTATTTAAAAAAATTAAATTTATTTGCCTGATATTTAATATTATTCATTCTAAGCCATGTTTCCAATTTTAATGATGCAGGGGATGAGGAAGGAATTGAATGAGTTCTTGGAAATATAACTAAATAAACTACGTCTTCTTTCCAATTAGGAACAAGCAAATTATGTGTTGCTTTTAACATTAATAAATTTATCTTTTAATTTGAATTATTTACTCCTAATTAAATAGAAAATCATTTTTAATTAAAATTAATTCAAAAATTTGGAGAAGGAATTGTTTTTCGGCTTCAGGACCTACAATAAAGCTACATGATTAAAGTCCGCAACTGGGACCATATTAGGTACTATTCAGTAGTCAGTAAATGAGTGGCTAACAAAAGTTTTAGGCTTCGACAGAAAGAGTAGCACTAGCTTAGCCACCGGGCAGGATTCGAACCTGAGACCTCTTCGTAGTTATTGTTAAGAGTTCGATCATCGCATACAGGAGCTCGTTTCCTTTTTAGTTTTTTCGACTCGTTTCCTTTTTTAGTTTTTTTAGTTTTAAAAGCTCTAGGTCAATCAACCATACACGATCTTAAAGAATCGAGAAAGAGTTTAAGTGCCAAATCGTGTCAATAAATAGTATATCTGGAAGAAAAAAACAAAATTGATCTGATTTTTAAATGAAATTGACTAATAAAATTTTTAAATTAATTTACAATATTTATTATTAGAAAATATCAACTAAATTAAACAAATTGAATAATAAACAATTTTTTATAACAGAAAATTCTAAAATAAATAATTAAAAATATAAATCAGTTTTGACTTCAATTTTTAATTTTTATGATTTAGATAATTAAAAAATAAAAAAATATTTTTTAATAAAATAATAGGAATTTGGACGCCCCCACAGGAAATCAAACAAAAACAAATAAAAATAATTCTTTAAAGGAATGCGCGTTATTTTTACATTTTAGGAGGGTAATTGGAACCGGTTTTTTACTCAAAACTTTTTTTGATAATAATTATATTTCCCCCTAATATTTCTTTTATTAGAAAGACCAACCACACAAATATTTTAATAAATAAAATTAAAGGAAAACATGAGTTGGTGTAAATAAATTAAATAAAATAATAAAATTATTTAGAATACGAAGAGATTCTGATCGAGTTGATATTCGAACTCTAATATACCTCATATTAACGAGAAGATATGATCGGTCATTTTTCTGATCCTTTGATTATTCATTAGATTATTGTGGTACATCTGGATGAGTCGTTTTGATCAGCATCACCTCTCGAGCACGAAAATCAAGATGGATAAAATTATTAAATTAAAAATTATTAATTAAAAATTATTGAATCGAACAAAATTATTGAGATAATTTCAGGAAGAACTGCTACTCACAAAACAAGTTCCACCAATTTCCTTAAAGAAGTACAAAGAATCAAGCAGATGTATAGATATATTAATTTAATAATTACTTATTAATATTCCATTTACTAACTCGAATTTTGAATCATTTTATAATCTTGCCCAACTGAGACAGGATATGAGTATCGTTCGGGATGCTGAGATAGTTAGCAAGAAGAACATGCATTTCAATACTACGAGCATTTTGCCCTCCCGTTCTAATATGCATTTTCAAAATATTTTTCCCTTTTAATCTCTTAGTTATCCATTTATTCATTAAAAAAAATTTTTTTAATCCATTTTCACAAAAAAAACTTTGGCCAATTCCAAACTTTAAAGTTCGCATGAAATCAAGTCAAAAAACTTTTAGCCCACAAGTTTTGGGATCACAACTGTTATTTGCCATAAACATAAAAATAAATATATCCACAAGCTTTGAAGAAAAAATCGGAAGAAAAAAAAGACCGATGTTCTACTCATCTCTCAACAAATATTAAAAAAATCTGAAAGAATTGATTTTGGGGGATTTTAAATTTTTAAGCCATTTGACGTTAAACGGTTGAAGGAAGGAAGAAAAAAAATAAATGGCATATGTTCTTAATAAATAAGAACAATAAAATGTCAGACGTTTTAACAAATATCTAGTTTATTTGAAAATTTTTTTGTTCAAATATTTTTAATATAAAATGCTTTTATTTTAAAAATTAAAGAATACATACATAGATTTTTAAATTACTTAAACCCTCTCCTCTCCCCAAATCAACTCCCTTGTAAATTCTGATTTATGATTTTCATTATTAGAAGCTTTCCTCTTTAATATTTTTAAAGATGTTCTGACCAGAAATTTTTTTATTAATTTTAATCGAGTTTAGGACGTCTCAAATAGGTCCCAAAAATTTTCTATTACATATAGTAGATTACAGAACATGTGGGACACAATTTAGAAATTATTAGATAGCGTATCTACCATACCTTAAGGGAATCCATTTCTCCATGTTCAGGGTATTGGTAAACTTCTGGAAATGCTAGGAGCTGAGCTGTTAGAATTTTTGTAACATTGAAGTCATTGGACTTGAGTTGATGGTTAAACTAGAACAAACATCCTCCTTTAAATTTAATTATTTTCTATTAATCTTATGTATCTACTCAGTGATTTTTTGAATTTTCAAATGAATTATTCAGTCTTAATTATAAAAATAAAAAATTCTTTAATTATTATTTTAGAAAATAATTTAAAATGGTCGACAAGGGTGAAGGTGACAACCGTTATCAAGAATTGAAGGACGGTATCTACCACGGCTACCAGCCCTTACGAGCTCGAAAGACCCTTACATACTCTTATACACCCGAATTTATGCCTGGAGCTTTAAATATGTAAAAAATAAAAATTAGTTTAAATAATTAAAGAAAAATTTTTTAGTGCAGTAGCTCGTGACATTGACTCGATACCTTCTGGACCCAAAGACGCCGGTGACTACCAAATGATTACTGCCCACAAAGTTAATCGTGCACCTAAAGTGAGCTAATTTTTTAGAATTATCTTGAAGTATTAAAAAAATTTTAAGCCAGAAGACCCGTATGCATGGAGCGCTCCAAAAGTGGCAGCACAAGAAGATTAAAAAACAATGATTAAACATTTTATGGAAAAAGTATTATTCGAAAAAGTGTTTTGATGAAATAATTTTAATAAAAATATAGAATAAAGAAAAGAAATTCGGAAAAAAGATTTTTTGATAGATTAAAGATGGACGGCTCTCATTTAAAAGCACAGGGATACGTGTTAATTTTAATTACGAATGATGTTTTCCAATAGAAGGGTTTAGGCTTTTGCACAGCTTTTAAGCTAAATGAAACTTTATCAGTCCAAACAAAGGTTTATGAACCCAAAGAAGGCTTATAAATCGAAGGACGTGAGAGACCGGACTTGGGGACTTTCAAGATTCAAGATCGTTATATCGATAAATCATTGTAGAGAGAGAGATTTTTCAATCCACTCATGGATTAGATAGAGTCGATCTCTTGCCTGTGAAATAAATTTTCCTTAGAGATACTCCCCTGTATAACCAATGTACCTCATAAATTCATTAGCCTCATAACTTGTCACTGGACTCATAGTCTGTGTAGACCTGAATTGGATTTTCCACAGAAGAAATTTTCCTAGAAAAGACTTAAAGGAATCAAGCATTCTGTTCATGGAGCCGTCAAACCCTTGCTGTGCAGTTACAATGAGAGTTAACAGTATCTAACAAAACAAAAACGATCTCAGATAAAATTTCTATCGAGTAATTAAACGAATATTTTCATCACTATCAGAAGATTTATTTTCATTCGTTACAGGCGATCCAATTTCAGGAGTATTATGAGGAGCATTCAAATTCATACTCATTATTTTTTCATAAGATTTCCTTCCTCTTTTATTATTAATTTTCCTGGCATTCCAAAATTTCAATAAATTCTTTTTACATTTATTTGCTAATATCTTTCCTTTCCCGCGTTTCTTGGAATTCTGAAATTAATTTTTAATCTTTGGAGAATGGATTAACTCCTGGTAGGATGCTAGTTTTTTCGTTTCTTATTTAATTCGTGATTTGAATATAAACCCAATTGAAGCTTTTAGAAATCCGAATCACTTCCAATAGTTTACCTACATATTTGGAAAAGATTCCACATAGTATGGTCGGGGAAGGATACCTTAAGTGACTTACAAGGATCGCGGCGGAATAAATCAAATTACGATTTTCGGGAATCGTGTATCGGGTCGGCGCGAATCCTTGGGGTAGTGAAGCCTTGGTTCCCTGGTGTTGTCGACACCAAGTCCATTAATATAAAAAAATAAGATCTTATCTAATCCAATATTATCTATATCCCTACTAAAACCTTAATTAACTACAGTATACCTTAGATATATCCCTCGTTTCCTCATTATTTTTGCTAGTAGAACCAACACAAAATAGGCCCCCAAAACTTAAACTTCTCCTTTTCTTTTTATTATGATTTAATAAAAAATCGGTAGAAGCTGAATCTTGCATAGATGGATCGTCCAAACTTTGAATTTCATTTAAGGATTGATTTGTAGATTTTGATGTATTTGGGGAGGATGAATAGAAAAAATGCGTAGAGGGATGAGTCTCTTCGAATTTTTGTTTATAACGTTCAAATAAAATTAATTCAATTGGTTTCATCATTTTATTATGTCCAATCTTTCGACGAGCTTCCTGTTCTTGTGACTTTATCCATTCCTCAAACAGCTAAATTTAAAATTTTTTTTTAAAAATATTTCATGGTTGTTGCTGTTATTTTGAACTAGGTATATAGTTAAATTTTTTGCGTGAGCCATTCGTGATTTCGCAGATTTCTTAAACTCTTCAGTTCAACTACGATTCTAGTTAACTCCATGATTTTTTAAAATTTTGGAGGAGAGCTTCTGGAAATTTTTTCTGAGAGGACGGCAAATTTTGAAAGCGGCATTTTGAAAGTAGAATGTCATCTCTTGGGCCAAAATGATTTGCTTTTCGGCCTAACTTAAAAGTTAGTGAGTGCCGTCCCTGGTGTAAACCCTAATATCTCTCAGTAAACCAAAGCTACCTCATTTCTAAAATTCTTTATCGCAAATTGCTTCACATTTTCAACCAAAAAATTATTTTTATTAATTTGCCAGTAGACATAAAGAATATTTATAGCATTTTTGATTATATTTTCTTTAATCATCTTCTCAGTTCTAGCTTCATGGATTTCCTCAACCCTCGATTCTCCAATTATTTTTTCGCCCGGAAATAAATTTTTTGGTATATCCGGTAATTTTTTTATTACAGAAACGATTTCATTGAAATTTTCAAAAAGCGGGTTGTTCAAATAAATTGCTATTTTAACCATAACTGATCTATCCCTATTCAATTCTTTTTCCAAATATTCCTCTAATAACTTGGCCCAAAAATAAATATTATTTAAATAACTATCCAAATCAGATTCGTTTAATCTATCAAAAGGTGTATTGCTATTTATTCCGTTATACAAATTATTATTTATTTCGATCATTGTTTTGCTCAGTAATTCATAGTAACGAATACTTTCGAATTTCTGAAAAATAAAATTTATTTAATCTACCTTTGATTTTGAAATATTCTTAAAAATATGTACATTCAGTTTTCTTAGACGATGGATGGTTATCTGCAGCTAAAGCTACCGAAAATTTTGGACTGTAGCTGCAGACAGTCCTACGGATTTAACATTGTTGCTACAGATTTATTTGAGCTAGCGATTTATCTGCATAGTTAGCATTGTTTCTACCAGCATCAGAGCACGTCAGAACTTAATCTCTTACGAGAACCGATATTCTTACGAGAACCAATACCTAGTCGCGGTTCGATCTCTAGTTATACCGAGATTATATCGAGATGTTATATCGAGCTGTGTATTAAATCAAGAATCACTTTAGAGAGAATTATTGTCACTATATGTTGATTAGTCTATTTTATAATTTTAAATTATTGAAGATTTAATACCAAAATATCATCCTTGCATGAATTTATTTCTGGAACAATAGCATCAATAATTTTAATTAAATAATTCTGATCATCCCTAGATTCAATTATTTCTTTAAAAGAATGAATTTTTTTAATATTCATAAATTCTTTAATAATTCCTTCAACTTTCCCTTCCCTTTCAATATTAATTAAAGTATTTTCCTTAATTATTTTTATTTCTTCCAAATCTTTTTCAATATTTATTTTAAACTTTTCAAAGGATTCTGGGCTCTGACTTGCCCACAAATTTGTTTTTGTTTTCATTGTGAATTCGTTCATTTCGCGGCGTAGATGATAGAGCGCGCCAATTAGGTAGTGAGAGGATATAACGATACCTTTTCCCTTGGATTTTGAATTTGAACGAGAATGAGTTCTGTTTGACGTTCCTTTTAAAATTAAAAATATTATTTTGATGGATTTTTGGAGAATATTTATTCTGGATATTTTTTTGGTATAATTATTGCAAGGCCAGCGGATAAATTCATTGCTAGGCCAGTCAGCTTAGCAAACAAAGCATAAAATAAAATCGCAGAGCTATTATGATCAAGCCCCATTGGATTTTTTGTTATTTTCTCAGATTACCTTGACCCTCCTTCCATAAATTTGTTTTTATTTATACTGATATGCGGTTTATTTGGATGTGGTATAGGTATACAAAGATCCGTAAAAATGACTCCATTTCTTCAGTAATCCCCACTATATTTTTATTCTTCATAAGAAATAGAAACCTGAAGATGAGGCTTGAAGAGCTTCCGTATCTTCAATATTCAAAATTCCATTTTCTTCCTCCTCTACAGGTTTCCCTTCTATTTTAGTTTCACTAACAACTTCCTTAATAACCTCCTCATCATCAGATTTATCCCAATCTTTTTTATTTTTATTTTCCAAAGAATTTATTTTCAAAGAATTAAACTTTTTCGGCAAGTCCCATTTTTTTCTCGAAAAATTAAAATTTTTCTCCTCCTCACTCAAATTATTTTCCATATCAAAATCCAAATATTTTCGCATAAGTTCCATCATATGATCAAATAATTCCAATTCATTCAACTCCAACGTAGCCATTTTCAATCTGATTGGAGTGTTAATATAAGGGATATTCTTATGATACCCATCCGAAAGAAATAAAGAAATGTCAGATTTTATTTCTTTAATTTTACTTTCCAAATTTAAATTCTCGCTAATCAGGCACATTTTTAAAAAATAATTTTTTTCTATTATTTTATCCCAAATTATTTTATTTTCCTCTTTAACCTCCAAAAATGAGTTGTATTTTTGTTGGAAGAAATTTAAAAATGAATTTATTTCGTGTTTTAACATCTCTTTTGATGAATATCCATTTTTATTTTTATTTATTGTTGACTCATTTTTTGTTGGAAACAAAGAAAATAATAATAGAAAGAATATTGTCCTCATTTCTAAAATTTTTGAAATATTGTGTCTGATCTCACTATATGAATGATGAAGGTCTTATAATGAGGGTCTTATTGTAGAGTGAAAATTTACAAGGGTAAAGGCTCCTCATAATAGTAGAAGACACCCAGTGTCTGAGGATTTTCAAAAATCCTAGATCTGGATTCTGGATCTGGGTTAGGTTAGTAATCTGGGGAGGATTTTTGATCTGGATCTAGATTCAGAAAATCCAGAGCCAGAAAAAATCAAGGACTGGATTCTGGATCTGGGTCCAGAAAAAATCCAGGACTGGATCTGGACTCTGGATCCAGGGAAAATCCAGACTGGATCCTGATCAAGTGTGAGGATCTAGTGAGGACAGAGAGGATCTAGTGAGGACAGAGAGGATCTAGTGAAGAGATAGATCTCTAGTGAGACACATAATCTGACCATTATGAGTCTTTTATCTTTAAAAATTTTTCTGCAGAACGATAAAAAAAGAGTGAAAGAGAAGCTACTCTGATCAGTAACCTGTAATCTGAATGATCTGTTATCTATTAATAATCGTTACTCAATTCTAAGGGATTAATCGAAAAATAGTCATTTTCAGGATTTTATATCTATAATAAATTTTATTATGATTTACGATTTTTAACTTCAATCGCTTTTAAAATTAATAAAATTTTAAAATTATTTAATTAAAATAATGTCTAATATTATTTACAAATTTTATAAAATTGTTTTTCTTTAAAATTGTTTAAGAGTGCAAGAGAAAATATTTATTTATAAAGTGCTTGTCGGCTTTATCAAATACAAATTGCCAAAATAAAAAAAATAATGTCTGAATAAACACAGACTTGCCCTTTCTAAAATAGGCAATAACAAATATTATTCTCGTGGATGCACTTGCGGCTTTTTTTAATTTTCTTTTATGGGGAAAATTTTGAAATGTGTCAAAATTTGTAAAAAAATCCTGGGCCGGGACTTGTCTTCTAAGCGCGCGGTCTGGACTTTAGTCTTGACTTCTGGAAATACGTGACGGTTTCTGATCACCAACTGTGGTGTTTCAGTCGCTCCCCTTTTAGAATTTTTTTGCTCAGGAAAAAGACTCTCATAACTCATTCTTCTTATTATTCTCCTCCTCACTCTTACGTTTTATTCTCCTCCTCACTCCTTGATTTTTAAACATAAATCATGAATAGAGATCTAAACGAGATTGGGACACTTCCGCCTTATTTCCAAATCGCATTTTCGGTTTTATCAAAAAAAATTCTCCAATTATGAAACCTCATACATACATATGTAAATATTTTTATTTATTTATTAAATTAATTTAAACTTTTTCTTTCACAAAATTTTTTTTATTATTAATTATTTGCACTTTTAATTAATTGTACTTTACCAATTATTAAAAATAAATTTATTTGTATTTTTAAATTTAAAAATATATTTGTTAATCATTATGTCATTTCCTTTAGTTCAGCCTTCTTAAAATAATTTTCACCAATCCTGGCAAGTATTACCACGGCAATTCTAAAATATCAAAGTATAGCTACTAATTAATTTTGTAACAAACGTATCCACTGCTGCATCCTCCCCATTTATTCCCACATTTTTTATAGCAAGAATTGTGATAGCATTTCCATCCTTTACCACAACCTCCCCATTTTCCGGCACAATTTTCATAGCAAGTACCTTTCCAGCAAGACCATCCATCCTTGCAATTCCAACATCCAATGGCTGGGGCTGGGTCATTCTCTACATCATCTTCGTCGTCTTTCTCACCACCGCCCTCTTCTGGTCCTGCATCTGTTCCTTCCTTTGGACCCTTATCTGTCCCTTCCTCTGCCCCTTCTTCTGTACCCCCTCCTGTTCCTTCATCTGTCCCGTTTCCTTCTCCAGTCCCTTCTGCTGTACCTTCTTCCTCCCCACCCTCGCCAATGTTCTCACCACCTACATTTTCAGGCTCTTCCGTTGGTGCTTCTGTTGGCTCTTCAGTAGTTGCTTCAATTTCCTTTGGTGGCGGAAGTTTTCTACCAGATGGGGGACCTTGATATCCATAATAATTATTGGATGGGGGAGCTGGAGTTGCTTTGTTATACCCATTTTCGTAGTTATTAGCGGTTAACAAGGTGGCCAATCCAAAGAGGATGATTATTGAGAAAATCTGAATATTGAGATAAATTTATAACTTGCCGTCAAGTCCGATGTTTCTCTATAAACTAGCTTAAAAGGACATTAATACTTAAAAAAACATTAATACTTTAAAGGACATTAATACTACAAACGAGAACGGAAGTTGATTTTGGGGTACATGGCTTTATTCGATTTCCCTTAAAAGACTATTCGGGAATGGGGACACGTTACTAATAATAGGGTCTAAGAAATTTATTTAGTCCTAGGATTATTCTGATAATAATAATTAAATACCTTTTGCATTATAATAAATGATAAAAATAAGAAAAATTTCGTTAATATAAAAATTAATTAGAATTTAAAGAATATATTTATTTTATTAAATTACTAATTTATATAAAGCCTTAAAGACTTAAACTTTAAGTTAAGTTTAAAATATTTCTATATGATTAATATTATTAAACACCCACCTTCTATTATTTATAAAGTTTAAATAACGCTAAATTATTTCAATATATTTTTTATGACATTTTAAATATATTTTTAAATTAGTAAATAGTCATTCAAAAAGCTTGGAATTTTTAAATTTTTAAGGAAAAAAAAGCTTTTTTTCTAAATTGGATTAGAATAGGATCAAGTTTAAAAAACCATCATAAAATGTAAGACACTTTTTTGAAGAGGTAGGGTTGGCTGATCGACAGAAATCCTTCGATATAGGATTCGGATATCGGGGGCCGGATATCCGGACCTGAAAAGTTCCGGATACTTTTCAGAAATTTTCGGATATGGCAATTAAGCTATACCCGTCTTTTTCTAATTAGGATATCTCGATCCAGCAATTATAGTCACATGCGTTGATTATCATTTAATATAGAGGAAAGATTTAACTTTATTTTTAAACTAAATTTAAACTAAATTAAAATTTTATGCTACAACTTTATTTTTAAAATAATTTTAATCCAAGATTTATCTATTTTATAAATAATCTCTCATCATTTTTCTTTCATTTAGCTTCCTTGTAATATCATTTTTAAACATTTCTTCCTTAAAATAATCCTTTAAACTGAACTATTAGGTGATTGAGCAGGTGTAGGAGGGACTGGACGATTATCCATTTTAAAAATCGGTTTAAGAATTGGATTTGGAATTAAACTAATTATTCCAAAATTTCCTTCTCGTAAAAGTTCATCGCGAATAGAACTTCCAATTGTAGCCAACGTGGCCATTAACCACTTGTATTGACTATAAAATTTAAAATTGTGGGAAGTTGCCATTTCAATTTTAATTTCTGTCAATGCAATATAATACAAATAATGAATAAAGATTAAAAGAGAAATATTCTGTAAATCTTTATAAGCTGAAAAATAAAATTTTTTTATTATTTATTTTATCAAAATTTCTTGTTAAGAGTTTATCCTAAACAAAAATATTTAAGGAGAATTGAGGCGGGTTGATCTGATTTTCTGATCAAATCAAACCTAGTGTTGTAGTATGTTTTATTTTATAAAAGTTTGATAGCAAAGGGACTTATCTAGAGATAAGATCAATCCCAAAATGGAGAACGTCCAAAATGGTTCCTTAGTAAGGGAAGGGTGTATTCAGGGTCCAGAGTTGCTGGATACATGACTTCAATGGATATGGGCTAGGTTAGGAACCGAAAAAAGAACCCCTTGTTTGGTAACTTTAATGTGGACGGTAAAGCAAGGGTCGTATTTCTCTTAAAACACAGAAATATAAAATTTAATCATTAATTATCAGTAAAAGTTTAACCAATCTATTATGGCTACTAAACTATTTTAAATTTTAAACTAAAAAAGACTAACAATTTTTAAAAATCATTTTAAATAATTTTTCCATTTTTTTAATATTTTCATCAAGATGCCACATTAAATTATGGAATTTTTTCATCAAGTATTCAGCATCATTTTCATTAAAATCTTTTGAAATTGAAGGTATTAAACTTTCAAATTCTGTTTTAAACAATTCTTTAAATATATTCCAATTATCAAAATTGTTTTGTTTAAACAATTCTTTTTTGTTTTCTTCAGAATTTGGAATGGGTAAAAGTTTGTTTGACAGATCGTTGAATGCTATTAATATGTTTTTGGCGGCAACATAACTCAGAAAATCTGGGCCTAGATTAATAAAAAATAATTTTTTGGATTAACTTTTTAGAATACAATGAGTAGGTAATAGACGCAATAACTAAGACTAAGTCCAAGACTCAAGACCGAGACTAGACTACAAGACCAAGACCCAAGACTTGGTTCGGATATTTACCTTTTATTAATATTTGTTTTTGAAAAAAGAATTCTGGGTATTCAGAAAGCTGTCTATATTATTGGTGGTCCCCTATCCCGATTTAGTTATTTTCTGGAGGTCCTCCAGAAAAAGTTATTTTCGGAGCAAAACCTTAGTCGTTATGTTATTCAGTAACGCTTTAACTCTCGTATTTTCCCTCAGACTTTTACCGTAAATCCTTTAATAGAACCACAATCTTACTAAAAATTAAGATCCTCTAAAATATTTTTTAATTTCAATTAAATTTTTATAGACCTATTATCTTTTTATCAAGTTCTTGAATTGAAAAATAAGATAACTGAATCAAAGTAAACTTTTTTGATTCTTCATATTTAGCCTCAGCAACTTCAAAATTTTCCCATAATTCTTCATCCGCAAAAATTAATTTATTAAAATTATTTATGGGCAAATCGTGTTTCCGAATATTCGAGAAAAAACTCGTTTGAATAATTAAATTGGCAAATATTCCATTATTATTTTTACTTTCTACATTTTTGAGGGAGAATGAAAAAACTTGGAAAAAAATTTTTTGAGGTTTTTAAAAATTGAAATAAAACAATAAAATTACCAAAAAATAAAATAATGAATAAAATATTTAAAAAATTTTTGAATAATTTTTTGAATTTTAATAATTGAAGCATTAATTTAAAAAATGTGTTTAATAAAATGTAAAGAATAATTAGTAAATTGTAAAAAAATTTTTAATATAGTATAATAAATTAGGTATCTGAAATGTATACTTCAAATTTATAGGGAAATTATCAGAATTTTTTATGGCCAGATAACCTAAAATAATTTTTTTCTTTGGGGGTTCCTTCCTGCCGAAACAGGAAGGAATTCTTCTTATTTTATTAATTCTTCTTATTTTAATAAAAATTTTTCTTAATTCTTTTTATAATTCTTACTATCATAAAACAAAGTTATCTTACTTAAGAGGTGGGGGGGGGGGGGCGGGGGAGGGAGGAACACTCTCTCCATAATTAGAAAAAAAAATTTCTTATACTATTTTATTTAAATTTTTTATATTTATAATATTAATATTGAATTCTTTTTAAATTTTTATTTATAAAAATAAATCTAAATTAATGTCGGAAATCTTAAGAAAGAAAAGGAAATTGTGAAATAATATTTTCCGCTTAATGTTTGCTTAATGTACATCGATTGGGAAAATTAAAAATAAATAAATTAATTTAATAAAATTAATTTATTAATTATTAAAAATAGAAAAAATTTATTGTTGAAAATTCTTGTTCAAATGATTTAATAAACTTTTAAATTTAGTTATCGTTAGTTTAATGATAATATAAATTTTAAAATAGAACCAAATGTGCTTCTATTTGTTAATTACTCGTAGGGTGTAGAGAATGTGCATAAATGAGGGGATATAGTTTGGGATTGGCGGATCCTTAGGGAATCTCCTTGGGAAATTTTTCTTTTGGGTGTTCCTTCCTGTCGAAGCAAAGGTTCTTCCTATTATAAAACAAAGTTACCTCACTAATGGGGGGGGGAGGCATTTTAGATCCGGATCGCTCACACTAGAGTTGTTCTATTATAATATTAGATTAAATAATTCCTGATAATAAATATGTAAAAATTCCAAGGAAAGCACAAACTCTAACGGAATTTACCAACTGAAATTTTATAGAAACCCATAAGACTTGTTTTTAATTTTTTAAATATTTTAGGGGGTCCGTCAATCACTAAAAATATATTTAAACATAAATAAATTCTCCAAATTATATTTCTTTGTCCATCAAAAATTGTTTAATAATATATTCGGCTCGAGCTGGAGCCCATTTAGTTACCTAAATAATTTTTTTAAATAAATTTTCTTTGGAATAAATATTTTTCTCGTTATGTTACCATATGTCCGACTCCTCTAACTGTAAAAATAAATTTATTTTAAAAATTAAATTTAAAATAAAATAGTTACCAGTCAGAAATGTTAAATTTCCATAATATTCAGTCACCCATCCACCAATTTGTCCATCTAAGAGCCATGGACGCTTTGGAGTTTTTAGCTTAAAATTTTAAGATAAGGCTGTATGTTTAATAAAATATGCCTTATATCCGAGTTGTTCCGAAAATCTCTGACCTATAAGAAAATTACAAACAGTGTCAGTATCGCCATAATAAAACAATGTCTTTATATTTGCTTTCAAAATTTTTTTAACAAAAGGTCTCATGTCATCTTTGATTGGAATAAAAGGTTATTTGATTAAAAGATACTCTGATCTAGCTATAAGATACACGCAAGATTGGATGGCATCGATGAATCAGTGAGATTGAGGACAGACATTCTCTAATTCCTTCATCACTCACCATGGTTAACTAACATATTCTATCTAGAACCTCAATACTTTGATTAATGACTAATTACCTTGATACAGAGGTGGGTCAGAATAGTCAGAGGTGTTGGAGATCGTAAAAGCCGCAAATTGGAACTGGCTCAAAAGTCGGAACTCGGAAATCGTAAATCAAAATTTTTCTGAAAACGGAAATCGGAAAAAAACGTCGTAAATCGGGATTCCGAACCATCTCTGCCTTTATAGTGATGAGTGTGAGTGATGACTTATTCTCTCACTTTGCATCACCTCTTTCCTTATAAACAGTTTCTCCACGTCTTCTGGATTTAAGGTTTGTCTTAAAATTTAGGTTTAAGTTTCATGATCTTTAGCTACAAAGGTGTATCTTATAACTTAATTTGCTTTATTAACTATATTGAAGGTCATAAGAATCAGAAACATTTAAGTTGCATTCTTCCCATTTAAATTTTTGATTTTGCGGTATATGTAGTGAGAGTTGAACTACAATAAAAATTTTTTTATTATTAACCCTCCTTTATTAAATTTTAATATATTTTAACCTTCAGAGCTTTGCATATAAGTATTTATAGGTGTATCTATAATGCAAAGGAATAAACTTGTTAAGAATTTAAATTAACCATCAATGCAAGGAGATGAATACCCATAGGAAATTCTCTCAGTTTTTAAATTATTTTCTAGTAATAAACTTTTTGATGCCATTTTTGACAGTATCAAATTATGAAGCAGAGGATAAAATCTTTTATTACTGTTTTGTTTTGAATCGTTTTGATCAGTTTTATCTGAAGATTAGTAAATTTAAAAACTAAAAGTAGAAATAAGTAAGTAGGATTTCAGTAGAAATTAATCGAATACGTGATAATAGAAGGGTTTCAGGAGCTGATTTCGGGAACCAAACCGGATGCCCCCGAAGGTTCTTTACTGATATTGTTTCCAGATATGCCCAAACCTACTCAATTAGGGTAGTGCTATACCAACTTTATTTTAAGGTATTATATGATATTTATGGCGAGATCCGAGATTATTAAATTAAAAATAATATTTTTATGTACCGCATTTTCGATATAAATCATAAGGATTAAGTCTTCCATTATACATAGCATCAAAAATTCTATTAGTCTTAATTTGCGTAGATTAATAAAATAAAAAATAAATTCTGAATGTACTTACATATCTTACACATTCTGTATTATTCTTGATAAAAAACTCGTAAATATTGCAACCATCTTAATTTATATTAAATTTTTGATGAAATATCATAAGAAATTTTAGAAGATCTAACAAGACTTTAATAAAAATGTTCGGAGGATAAGGCTGTTCAATAAAGCGGTTGGACTTCAGCGGTAGAGAAACGTGTCAGATTTTTCAATGATAAAAAGTTTATCAGAGACACTGCCTTCGAAACCTGACTTGAAAAACTTCCTAGAAACAGACCTTATAACTTACCCGACATTTTTTCTTATTGTCCTACGATTGACTGTACATAATAAAAAATACAGCAACTTTTGACAAGCTTATGTTATACCAATTGTATTACATTTTATCATTATAACAGGGTATAGTCCATGATATGCGTTAACATAACCCAAAAAAATTTTTTGAACGTAAAAATCTTACCCACACACCCATTACAACATCTGTGACCATATAACTTCCAAAATTCTTCATCAATTATTCCATGATTGTATGCGTAAATTGGAGCTGTGTTAAAATTCAAAATATCACTTAAATCTGCGTTTCCTATAGCGATCCCCTTCAAATAAATATTTAAAATTTATTTAAATTAATTAAATTGCTTTTAAATTTATTCGGAAGTTTTTCTGTCCATCAATAATTTTCGAAGCAAGCATAGGTATATATACTCCTGCATAGGATTCTCCTGTAATGTAGATTGAATAATTCCGATATGAATTATGTATCTGAAGAAATTGTTTAACTGCCTCGTAATTCATTTTTGCAGTCTAAAAATAAATTTTACTTGAGAGTAAGGGAGCTATCTATAAGATACACCTTAGGGGATAAAAATTTTATTTTATAATCAAGTGTATCTTAAATAGATGGTATCGTTTGTAGTTATCCCATCTAGTAGTGATCCCATCTAGTACTAAATTTAAAAAGCTTCCGGTATATGATCAAGTAATTATCCTGGGTAATAATTTTTAATTCTCTCCTGGATGCGGTTGATAGAGAAGGGGATCAGTATATCGGATGGATCACAATGCATGGATCACAAATACTTAGTGTACAATAAATTAAAATTGATTATGATTTTTGATAAAGACTTAGTGTAGAAAAATACAAGGAAATTATTAAAGAGGGTAATTATGTATTTAAGAGATTCTTAAGAGAAAGTATTAGTTATATCTAAAATTAAATGCACATATCTTTGTATAGATTTAAGCAAAAAATTATTACATTATCGTCACTGTTTTCTATCTTTCCATTAAGTGAATATGAATATCCCACACCAACGGGGGATTCAATGTAGACAACTGAGGCGTATTTATTCCAGGAATAGACATTTTTACGTAGTGATTTTCCATCTTTATTGATGAGATAAGGACCCATTCCATCAAGGAACCCTGTTAAAGACGAACAGCCTGGACCGCCATTGAACCAAAAAATCTTCAAAGTATTTGAGTCTTTAAATTTCAGTAAAAGAAAAATAACCAATTTATCCGATTTATTTTGCGAAGTAACAAACCAATAATGCAACATATCATTTTCTGATGCTGGAAGGTAACCTTAGTTGTGGAAAAATTTTTAATAAAAATTTAAATAAAAATTTCTGTATTTTGTGAATAATGTAAGAAAGAAATGTGATCCTGTTGGGTAAATTTAAAACGAAGAGAGAGAATCCTAAGGGATATCCAAATGGTTAGGGTTTAAAAACAAGGCGAGGGTTTAGGATTTATTAATAGGGAAGGTAAGAAAGTCAAGATATTCAAGTTGGGAGTCGTAGACAGTCGCCTGTCGCTCAACTTTAAGTGTTGAGTGAAAGCTACTAGCTTGAATTATTAGAGATAAAATAATTAAAATTTTTGTAAAATCCGTGCCTGTCCGATGCTAGTCTTTTACATATCTTACAATACTTATTTTTTATTTTAAAGCACTTCCAATTTTTAATAATTATATACCGGAGTAATGCTCAAAGTTAGGCTTGAATGATAACCCTGGAAGTAAATCGCCAATTTTATCCATATCGGCCGTTTGCGCATTTAATTTTAAAATAATTAAAGAAAATAAAAAAATAAATTTAAATAATAAAATCATTTTTTAGAATTAAAAAAAATATTTTTTTAGTCTTTTTAATAAAATTGAGAAATTTATTAAATAAAAATTATAATTTAATTTGGCAATATTTAATAAATTATTAGAAGGGATTTACTCAATTTTTTGGCCATATTTTTATTTTTGTTTACACAACTTTTACTTGGGTATTTTTTAGAAGGTATTTTGGGGTATAATAAAACTTAATAAGTAATTATTTAAAAATCATCCGACTATCCCAAAGAATTTTTCTCTAAAAATTTTCTTCTAAAATTTTCTCTAAAATTTCTTCTAAAAATTTTATTTAATTTGTGTTATGCTTCAGCATCATTAATTCACATGTTTTTATTTTTAAATTAATATTTATTATTATTATTTTTGTGTTTTAATTATATTTTTATTTTGAATAAATTTTTATAAAATATGAAGTTTGAAACACATTCTAAATTTTTGCAAAATTAAATTAATAAAAAATAATTTTATTGCAAAATTTATTTTATAATCAACTAAAATTTTACCAGAAACTTTTGTGAAGGTATGCCGAACTAGCATTTAACAATAACAATGTACAATAGAAATATGACTAAGTTTTTTCAAAATCCAAGATCCAAACTTCAGATCAGAGTGTTATTTAGAACAGAGCTCCTTCCTTTTAGCGACTCACTCGGCTTAAAATTTGAGAATCTTCATTTGGAACAATGCTTCAAAAATTATTGGAAATCAGACGAAAAAGAATAGAAATCAGAGTTCAGATTGGCCTCTGAACCAGGCTAGTTTATTCAATACAGAATAGGATATAAGAATATAGAATATACAAGAGATTCTCGGTTACGAGTTCGAGATTCTCGTACGACACTCCCAGTCCGGTCTCTAGAATACAAATATTAACAAAGAGACACAGACAGAAGAACTTGTAGAAGGGCTTATAAATTAGTTCAATTCCCAACAAGAACGATGTCGGAGTTCTGTGAACAATCTAATTAAAGGACGACGGATTTTTGAATTTTTTAAAAGCAAAACGTCTTTAATTGTTTGCCAAAACATTTAATTGTTTGCCAAAATTTAGACAAAACATTGACTAGCCAACTAAATTGCGTAATCCTAAATAAATTTTTAAAAATAAAACAAAATTAAAAACAAATTTTCCAAAGTGCAAATAAAAACGTCAATTAAATGTCTGATAGAAAGGGCAACTTAAAAAAGATGCCGAGTGCTTCCGCGTATTTTGACTGCCCTTTTACAACCCTTGTCTATCTAAAAAATTTTTTTATTAAATTTTTTCTCTATTAATTTTTTTTAATTTTATTTTTAGCTATTATAATTGATTTAATTTATTGCCATTTAAATTAATTTGTATATTCCCTCTCCATTTTTGTTTTTAAATTTGCATTAATTTTTTATAAATTTTTATTTAATTTAAATTTGCTATTTAATTAAAATTATAAATTATATTAAAAAATAATATTATAATAATTTATTGGTTAATTATAGAGCTGTCCAATCCTCTTGGGCTTTAATCTTGCCTCAAAACCTTTTCTTGTGGCATTATCCTTACTTTGTCCTAGTCTCGACTTTTTGAGATTTTTGAAATTACCCTAGGTAGGGTAAAAGTCAAAATTTCTATTCCTTTATTTAAATTTAATTGTTAATCAAAATTATATTAAAAATAATTTTAAATTTTCTGGCATAGATTCAGAGAAAATCACGAATAAAATATTTTTTTATTGGCTCGATTTAATTTTTATTGTTCAAAAATTATTTTTGTTTTAATTGGCTCTATACACCGCTAGGTTTTATAAAAAATTTTTTATGCATCCAGTCGGCTCTCGATATAACGAACTTGAAGTGCCTGAAGATATAGTTTGTTATATATCATTATATCGTGAGCCAGTCACGATCTTGCCTGGGACAATAAAAAAGAGTCTGGACACCCGAAAAGGGTCTGGGACTTTGTCTGTGACACTCTAAAAGTTTTGTTATACATCGAGAGTCAACTAAATAATTATTTCAGAAATTTAAATGTTTATAAAATCAAATCAACTCCTCATCCCTGTAATTATTTTATTTTTTCTATATTTTCACCGCTCAACTGGAGCTGGTTTCAAAAAGTTTATTAGAAAAATAACAGACAAAATATCATTGAATAAAGCCACATTACTCTATGAAAGAGAAAAATTAAATGAAAAATTTAAAGAAATTAAGCCGAAAATAATTAATTTTGCAAAGGATTTGAGAGATAATTTAAAAAGTAATTCTAAAAATGTTAATAATTTTACAATAAAAAATGTTATGTTTTCTGGAAGGATTATGCCAGAAATTATAAATGAGGAGCCGGAAATTATAAATGATGAGTATTATGAGGTATAATAATATAATAAATAATTGATCAAAAGGCTACAATAGGATTGCCGGTTTTTGGAAGATCTTCGGATATATGGAATCGAAACGTAGAACCGAAAGATCCTCGGTTTTTCGGTTCAATTCGGTTCGGTCCAAAACCGAATTAACTTCTAGGCTATAAGGTTTCGGTTCCTTGCTATTCCAAATTCTTGAAGTAGAATTCATTTCTTCTACTATAGTACCTGCGGGCGTGTCGTGTCACACAAAACCCCACACAAAACCCCCAACTTTAAACCAGGTTCGAGAAGTTTTTAACTTGACCCTTCGTTTCTTTAAGCTCGACCCGTCCCTCAATTTTTGTTTTTATGAATTTTTGGACAGTTCGTAAATCATCCTTCTCTTGATAAAATTTAACCATATCTAGCTCTAAAAATTTTTAGATTCGTGTTAAATGTTTATATGAAAATTATATATTTGCTAATGATAAATATTGTTCTCTTCCTTATTTGGTTAAAAGTAGATTTAATGTAAATCTGGAAATTATACAAGAAAAATTAACTCAAAATGAGGAATTACCTGGAATTCTTGTGAATATAAGGACAAATGGATTTAGTAAAAGAGTAAATTTATTTAATTTTTATTTTATGTTTGAAGGTTCATAATTTATGAATCAGGTCCCGGCGTTTAGATTCCCAAAAATTTTTTATTAAAATTTTCTATGGAATCCAAGATTCACTTTATAGGGAAGTTAAATTTTTCAGCTAAATCCTGGGGGGGGGGGGTAATTAAATTTAATTCAACGCGTTTCTTAAATTCTTAGACACACCTCAATATATGTGGGTTAGAAGATATATGTATGTTAACATAAAAATTCAATTCACGATTTCGGGAATCGGGTCGGGAATCGGGTCGGCTAAATCACTGGTATGTGGTGTGAATTGAATATACTTCTTCACAGAATATACTGCTTCTTATAACACTAATGAGACATCTTGAGTATAAGAAAAATATTTTTAAATTTATTTAATTTTATTCAATTTTAAGCGTTTTTGGAAGATTTACAAGCCCGATTTTAATCTCTACTACCAAATAGAATATGGCGCTTCTTCGATGGATGAAATGAAAATTAATTTAAATATAGCTTTACCTGTAAATTCCCGAAATATTTTTCAATGCAAAAAACAATTTGAAGCGCTCTTGAGAAACGCTAAAGTTAAAGAAGATGATGCGAAGTTAGAGGGAGATGATTATTGGGTTTTAAAGTAATCATATTTTAAATAACTTAAGCGTATTTGATGGAGATAGCTTGGCATAAGAGAGATAGCTTGGCACATCTTGGCACAGAGAGAGACAGATTAATATTTACAGACTTTTATTATCAAAGTATCCAGGCCTTTCAGTAGTTCTCGACACTTTTTTTATTTCTAGTATTCACATGTTCCTTATGAACAACCCGGACTTCTCACATTAGATTTTGTCACTAAGGTTGTCGGATAGTTGGAAATCTTTGGATACCGAATCGGATCTGAACCTAAAATTTCCGGATATCCAGCCTTTTTACGGATTCGAATATCCGAATCCGACGATATTAATTTGCCACACCATTAGTTAAGTGGTGCGGCCTAGTATATCGGTATTATACCTATATCGTTATTAATCCTATAGAGAGATTATCGGCATTAAATTGAATGAATTTAATAATAGATCAATTTTTAGAAAAGAATTAAAAATTAACAAAAATGAATTTGAACAAAAATATTTTGAATTTAAAACAAGATTGCCAAATTATAATTGTGAAGGCAAAATGCAACAATGCCCAATTTGTCAAGACAATATGTATTTAGAAACCAAAAAATATGGAGACTGCGGGGTTGGATTTTTACGGAGCTTATAAATCATAGAATTTTTTTAAATTTTAGCATGAATTCCATCAAACATGTCTTGCTAAATGGTACATATCACTCATATTTTTATCCAGTCCTTTTTATCAAGTCCTCCCATATCGTTCGGGTTAAACACCTAATTGTCTAACTCTTAATGTTTACCATGTATAGTACAAACGACACTCTATTTGGAACCAGGGTCAAAGTAAAGCCAGTAAATGTCATCTTGAGGCTAATAAAGCTAAGCTATAGCGGCTGGGATATAATACCAGCTAGCTATTTTTCTATGATCAGTGGAGCTACTTGTCCTAGCCTGGAATCCAAGCAGTAAGAGATATCCAAGCTTCAAATACATGATCTTTAAATATTATATTTTATCTTCAACACTTCCAAGGATATCAAGAAATGCAACAACTCCTTCATGCCCCGTATGCCGTAATACTGCAATATTAAGAGAAAATAATGATGAATGTTTGTTTTGTGATTTGGATACTACAGATGATGAAAAAGATGAAATAAGAGAGATCGAACAAAAAAATAAAATTAAAGCAATGAATAGGGATAAAGGTAAAAATGTTGTGGAAGATTGTGAAGATGAAAAGGGAAGTACTGAAATTGTTGTTAACATTGAAGATCCCGTCTTCTCTGATAAAAGTTATGAGTTTGAGGTAATATTTAAAATTTTAATATTAAAAAAAGTGATAAATAAGACTTCGGGAACTAGCTCCTAAGCTTAATTATGGGCCGGAGCCAAAACCAGAAGTATCCAATGCCAGGAACCTTATCCCAAAAATTCGGAAACCCTGGAGCACAAAACGACATAATTATTCCATAACGTAAGTTAAAATGAGCAGTCATTTGGCGGAACTTAGGGCACTCTTTTATTAATTAAATCCATAGAATATTCGAAAAGTTTCCTCGAATTAACATCGAAAAAATTAAAAATTTAAAGTGCTAACACATTATATTAAATTAAGTATTTCTTCGAATTCGGCAATTTCAATAATTTCTTTAAAAATGACGAGAACAAGTTGAATAAGACGTTTTTACGTGGTCAGGTTATATCAATGGAAGAGGCTGGAATATTAAAAACGAATAATAAAGAATTTTGCTATGCTTTAAGTAAAATACAAACAATTGAAGTTTACAAAATGGAGATCAATGAGGGGATCAATGAGGGGATCAATGATTAATAAGGAAATTCTGATTTAGGGTGTAGAAGAAGCCCCAAAAAATTTTCAAAATTAATTAGAGACCGGAGTTGAGAATACATCTAACTTGTCGATATCTAGAAAAAGACGGATCAACCTTCGAGTTTTGAAAGAGATCTCGTCTCGGTCTGTTCTCTAGTCTCTAATTAAAGCCCTGGGCGTATATTTTCAATGGGTCTCGTTGGGTGGGCACATATTAGATATGAGCTTCTATGTATTAAGGAATGGGCGTTTATTTTTTTATAGGCCTCCTTGGGTGGGCTTGTACTATTAGATATGGGCTTCTAATAGAGCCAGCCTTTAATTAGAGCGAGGGAATGACAAATGAGAGGGAATGACAATTGAGACCTTTAAATTTTAAGAAATCAAATCTGATAGTTATTAGTATCTTGTATTATAAAGCCACTTATTTCTATATACGAAAATTTCTAAACAAAAGTTTATTTAACTAATTTCATTAAGATTTTTCATTAAATTAGACATTTAAATTGTAAGAATTATTTAACTTGAGAATTTTGATTGATAATTTTTTAATTATAGTAGTCTTTTGTATGCTTATAAGTAATATAAAATTGCGATTTTATTTATTGTTTTGAATTTATTTGAATTATTTAAATTATATTTTCACTATAGATATTTTATTGTTATCCGATACAATTTTAATTTATTATAAAATTGAAAATTATTTTAAAATTAATTTTGTATCTAAAATAAATGGAATATTCCCGAAATGTTAGTGGACTGATTTTAAACAAGTAGATTAATGTTTGTGAAATAAAAATATTTTTCGATTATTATCGTTAAGTGAAAATTTTATGTTAATAAAGCTGTGACTTCTAGACTCAATCTAATATAAAAATTGGTTCGAGAAGAGATCTTATTCAAATATTTTACTCACTAAAATAGACCTAGATCAATCTAGATCGCTTCTCAATTTTTATTAAATTTAAAATAATATTTTCTGAAAGTTTATTTATTTTTAAAGTTTAAAATGCTTTAACAACTAAAAAAGTTTAACATTAAAAATAGCATTTCATAGGGCTGAAACTTTAAAAAATTCTTACTAAGCGACATATTAAATATTTTTTGGTGTTAAATGTTTTTTAAAAAAGTTTAAAATTTTTTGGTATTAAATAAATAACGAACAATGAATAGTAAAAAAATTGTGAGTATAAAAATTGCCCAAAATTAGCTTATCAACATTCAATTCAAACAGTCTAAAATTTAAAAATATTAAAACATCAACTGATCAACATGCAAAAGGTTGATATTTATTTTTAAATAAAAAATTAGGAAAAATATAAAGTCCACATTGAATGAGTAAGGTTTTATCAGAGGATTTAGTGGGGATAAATTCCTAGATATCTCCTTTAAAGTTGACCTAATCTCGCTATATCCATCTATATCCCCCTTTTATGTTCCTCTAAGATTTGGTGAGCTATCTGAGGAATAGGGCATATATCAGAAATATTCATAGATATCTCCTCGAAATCCTTATTAATCCCTCAATATCTACTTAATCCACAAAACCTTAAATAATTTTGTTTTCTCAACTGTGCATGGGAGGGGGCTACTAATAAGTAGGGGGTAAATAGCCATCAGGGATTAGAAGGATGAAGATATTATTTAGAGAGGAGGTTATTATTTAGGAGGATTATTAAGAGTAGTAGGGTATTATTTGAAGAGTGGGGGGGGGGGTAATTATTTGAGTAACTACAATATTTCAGTTTCTTCCCGTTCTCCTCGTTCTCCTTTTGGCTACAGAATTTATCTTAGTCTCCACTCGCGGCACAAAGACCAAGAAACCAAAACATGAAACAACAACTCCAGCTATTAATGCTACAACAGAAGAAATAGAGAACGACCCAGCTCCAAAAAAATGTAACAAGTGTCACAACTATTGTGAATGCGGATATTATGTTGAAAATTTTTAATTATTTTTGAAAATTAAATTTTTTTATAGCAATGCAAAGGTTGCTGGTGCAATGAATGCGATAGTTGGTAAGAAAATGTAGAAGATGGAAAATAAAAAAAAAATTTAAAATGAAAGATAATGAAAAATTAAATGTGTTAACAATAAATATTAAATAAAATAAATATTAACGGGAAAGTGATTTGATATTTAAATAAGATCAGGGCTCACTATGAAGCAAGGTTCGAGTATCAATATAAGATACATCTAGATACTTCCCATTTTTGGATACTAATTTAATTGTGTTCGTTATAAGGTGGGGGTACAATTAACTAAATACCCCCTATTTAAATTACTCCCTCTCAATTGATCCCAAGTAATTGATCTCAAATAATTTAACGGATCATAAGACGGATCATTTTCTTTTTTCAAATGTATTAATTTTAATTTTAAATAATTTTTAGAAAAATTTTACTAGAATTATTAATTTAAAAAATATTTAGAAGATAAAGGCAAAGGATAAAAATTGTTAAAAATAAATATTAATGGGAAATTTATTTGATAGTTAAAGATGTTTGAGTGTCAAAATTTAAACTAGTCCCCGCATTAAAATGAAAAATTTTTCGGTTACAAGTGTGTATATTAGTGGAAGGAAAAATCCGGGAAACGGGAGTCGTTCGGGAAATGGCCTCGGGAGGCCAAAAACTCGGGAAATTTTCCCAAGTCATGAGTCGGGATACCCGAACATCACTAATGTGTATCTTATAATTGAGTTTTGAATAATATAGACCCATAAAAAATAAAGACCCATAAAAAATAAATTAAAGATAAATTTAAGGAAATTTAGCTTATTCTTCGTATTTTCCACCCATATTTGTCCTCAATTCGAATTATTTAAAAATTGATCAAGGATATATTCTGCTTGAACCGGCGCCCAACTCAATAACTTAAAATTAAATTATTTTTTAAAATTTATTTTTTATTTAATTTACCATATGTCCAACACCTTTAACTAAATTAAAAAAATTTTTTTTAATAATTTTTTAAAGTATCAACTAACCAGTTAAGAATTTAAGATTATTATAATTTGTTTCAAATCCTCCAACTTGGCCATTTAAAATCCAGGCTTCTTTGGGTGTTATTAACTGTTAAATAAATTATATTTTTGAATAGAATAGGGATCTCAGAGAATTCCCCTTTTTTCGGCCCAAAATTTAGAGAGAATAATTTTAAGTTAATATTATTCGGATTGATGGTTCTATGGGATTATTTGGTTATCCAAAAAATTTCTGGTATCCTATGCCTAACCGAAAAAAGAACCAGAAAAATCGTCGGTTTCGCTTAGTTTCAAATTTGCAGGAAGGATATGAGGTGGCAAAATTAGGAGAAATATTCGAATAGGTAGTACTTGTCTGACAGAATTTTAAATTCAAGTCTAAATTCTCACAGGAAACAGACGATATCTAGTTATAGCTCTCGGTTATGCAATCAAAATTGTTAGAGATTGGGCCTCAATAGAGATCTCCGAGACTCTTGGTCTTGTATTGGTTTTATTTTTTGTCTTGGTTTTTCTCTAGGCCTCAAGTTCCGTCTCTAATTATACGTGGACTTTTTAACAATGGGTTTTTTATTAGAAATATAGTACATATTTTTGTCTACAAGGATTAGAAATAAAATTTTTAATATCTGCCAGAGATTTACCTTCAATCCAAGCCCCTCTACAAATTTTTGCCCAAGCAAATAATTACAAACGGCATCAGTATCTCCGTAAAAGAAAGTAATTGGAATTTTTGCTGCCAGAATATTTTTAATAAATATACTCATATCATCTTGAAAAAAATTTTTTTTTATTTTAAATAAATTTTAAACCATATTGTTTAATATAATTTTTAAAAACATCATCACTACAAGATTTCCAAGTAAAGGTATGATTAGTAGGGATATGTAAAGCTTTTCTGACTTTAAAATAAATTTTTGTTTTTTAAATTTAGCTTGATTATATTTAAAATACCATCGGGTCTATTCATGTAATTATTTATTCCAGTGTCTGAAAATTTTGATAAATTGATAGATTAATAATGTTTATTTTAGCTAAAAAGTATTTGGGGCTATAGCTTTAAGGGTTTCCAAGTGATCTGCTTTGGGGATATGGAAAAAGTTCTATTCTGATCCAAATTAAATCCAAAAAATATCGTTTATTTTATATTTAATTAATCCCCTCTTGACGGGCACGAAATGTATGCCAACAGTAGAGATAGGAAAAATGCAACTTCGAGTTTCAAATGAATAATTTAAATTCAAAAATTATTCGAATTTTACAGATAATATCGAATTCGAATGGAGGTATTCGATGTATCCTATCTCTCACTAAAACCACTTTTCTCTCACGAAAAGCTATAATTAAAAATAAAAATTTCCAACCATCAATACAAGGTAACGAGGTACACGTTTCTGGTGCGCAAGACATTGGTTGTCCGAGATTTAAATTTTGAGCTTTAGGGAAACGATGTTTAAACATCCATCTAAGAATAGAAGAACGCTTTGGCGTCTCTATAATAAATTTAAAAATGCGAATATTATTTAGATAATTACCACAATCCCTGTAATAATCATAGGGATTAAGTCGCTGACTATTCCAAGCTATATTTAACATATCAGCAACCTTAAATATTTAATTTATTTTGTTTTAATAAAAGTTAGAACCATTTGTGCGCATGTATCGTTTAATGAATCTATCTTGCAGCCATCTAAATTTTAAATTCTTGATGAATTATTAAAGAGAAGATCATATGTAATAAAAATAATTTTCAAGAGATATCTAATTAAAACTAGTCACACTTTTCCATTTACAAATATAGTAACAACCGAAAGAAAAATAACTAAAGACTAGAAGGATATCGATACGTGATCATGATGATGATTTTGAAATGACTCTCTCTCACACAACCCTCACAGTCATATCTTTAACAGTGGTCTAGCCGACCCGATTCCCGAAAATCGGAAGTTCCCGACGTTTTTTGGGGCAGTAATCCCGATCCCGTAAATCGGTAATTGAATTTTTCTCATGAATCCCGATTCCCGAAAATCGCAATTTCCGATTCACGAAAATCGGGAATTGGTTTTTATGTCAACTAGATCCCTGGCGCTTTACCTCCCTCACATTCCAGTCACGTTTCTGGGATTTCTTAAAATAAAAAATCACTCACCAACACATCCTTTGCAACATTGTTTCGAAAACAATCGCCATGTTTCTTCGTCCAGAATACCATGGCCATAGGCAAATTGTAATGTTGTATCAATACTCATATTCCAATTCAATAATCCATTTCCTATTGATAACCCCTTTATTTTTTAAAATTAAACTATTAATTTAAATTTTTATCACCTTTAAATTAATTGGAAAAACTTTTTGCTTTTTAATAATTCGATCAACAACCATTGGGGCATAAACACCTGCGTAAGATTCTCCAGCTATGTACAGCTTGCTTTTTCGGAACATTGGAAATTTTGTTAGGAATAATTTAATTGCTTCATAGTTAGCATCAGCTGTCTTAAAATAATTCAAATTTTATGGAAGGGATGGTTAAAAGAGGGGCTGGTTGGATTAAGGTGATAATAATCCAGTTATCGAGACCGGGATTCTCAAAATATGTTCTATTTTGATAGATCCTCAATTGCCAAATCCTCAATTGCCCCAATATCGTCTAATCAAGAAATTAGTTTAACATACTTGATCATCATTTATCGTAATATTTCCATTGAGAGCATATGAATACCCAACACCTATTGGAGACTCCATATAAACTATTGAAGCATTTTTATTCCAATTATTTTCATTTTTGATAAGAGTTTTTTTATCAGGGCTTAAAATGTATGGACCCATTCCTTCCAATAATCCATTAAGTGATGAACATCCGGGACCGCCATTGAACCAGAAGAGCTAGAAAATTTTTTTAGTTTATAATTTTTAAAGTGGTTAAGACCAGTGGATCAGTTGCTGGATTTGATTGGGACTTTACTAGCCAATAATGAAGTATATAATTGTTCTTCACTTGAAGATAACCTTAAAAATTTATTTAATTAGTTTTCATAATCTTCTATCAACTCCCTACTCAAATAATGAAAATTATAAATAAAAATTAATTTCCAACGAGAATCGAGTGATTATGTAACAGAGCTTTCCGTTTGCTCCGCTTTCCAATTATATTATTTCCCGGCTTTTAAGCTCTTCCCATGAGAGAGCTCTTACCATATTTCCCCCCCCCCCTTCCCACCTTCCTCCCCCCCCCCCTTCAGAGAGCTCTTCATTATATTTTATTTATTAGTCCCCTCCCGTTTTTCTTTCTTGCGGGTTTCAGTTACTCCTCCACCATCTTCCTTTCTATTTTAATTTAATAATAAGGATACCTGAATAATGCTTAAAATTTATATCAAAGTTAATTAAGGGTAGTTTATCAGTAATTTCATCCTTCTCTCCATTCGACAAATCCATTCCTTCTCCCAATGATTTTTCAGGCAAATAAGCCAAAAATAAAACGAGGGTGCAATAAAATTTAAAAATATTTAATCTCATTTTGAGGGGGTTAGAAGGAGTAAAGAAAGGTATAAGAATGAAGGATCTCTCCAATATTCTAGGGATATTTATGTACAGAATTTTACCTTAATTCTCGGGTTTTATTAAATTAACGGCTAATAAAATATTAAAAAAAAGCAAAAATCGAAGCAAAAATTAAAAGAATAAACCCTCCTTTTTTAGCTATAAAGCCTCACATGTTAATACGAAATCTAACAAAAAGCAGAGATCAAAGCTTATTGCCAGCAATAAAAAATATGACAACCCTTCTATTTTAAATAAATCTGGCTTGAAAGTTAAGCCAGGAAAAGAATACTAATTTTATTATTAAAAAAATTTAATAAAAATAGAATAAATTGAATAAACATTTTAAGGGGAAAAATTTTTTTTATTCAATTTTCTTTTTTTATTTCAAGGTTAGCAAACATTAACCCACGTAATGTTGATGCTAAGCCATTGGGTAATCATTTTCTATAGAGCCACTTTTCTATTTTCATTTTTATAGCTTAAAAAATTCTCTTGGATCTCCTTTGATCTTGCATATTAGGGAATAATTAATGAATATTTGAGAAAGTTTATATGTATACTTAGACACCCAAAAACAATAAAAAAGTGGAGTAAAACAATATGGAGCTCCCCCTTATAATGAGAATTTTAAAAAATATTTTTTACTATTTCAATACAAAACACAAGAATAGACTTCTTAAATTATAATTCTACTTATTGGCCTTATCTTACATTAATATTGTTTCAAAAAAGTATTTGCATATCAAATTATTTTTTGAACAATTCATTAACAATGCGACTCGTCTCACAACATTTTTAGTAATATTTGTAACGTGCCTATTTTTAACAAGTTTAAAGAATTTTCTAACAATAGTGTCTGTTGATAACAGGGAACTACCCAAACCGATTCCCACTTCACGAAATAGGAATATAAATAAAAATAAAATCGGGATTTCACGATTCGGAAGCCAAAATTCCCATTCTTGTAATCGTGACTTTTTATTTGATGTGTGCAAAGAGTTGGGTACGATCAGTCAAAGGTGTCGGAAATCGGAATTCCGAGCCACCTCTGCTCCACGGAATACTTTAAGAAACCTTTTTAAAACCAAATACTTTCTTATGATGAGGTGTATCTTAAATCGAGGGTTTTGCTTAGCGAGCTCCCTCTTATATTGTAAACACAAAATTGAAAATACGTGTTTCACATTGACGTCCCTATTTATATTGAGTTCTAGCTTTATTAAAAAAATTTTTTTGAATAATAAAAGTCTAAAGCAACTATTATTTATTTAATTTCCAGTTACTTTTATATAAAATTTTAATTTAATCTTTTATTAAAATAAAAATGTTGACTTTTAAAAAATGTTTGCTTAATAGAGTAACAAATAGAAATGCTTGCGTACTTAAAATTTAAAAAGTAAATAAAAATTTTTTTTAAATTTCGATAAAGTTTAAGTCAAAGCTTTTTATTTCTATTTTCAGAAAAAATTAAAATTTATTTTTGAAAAAAATAATAATAAATTATTCAAATAAAAATAAATTTTTGCGTGATTTTATTGTTTGCTCTTTATTTTTAGGTATATCTTACATACATATGTATGTATATTTAACTTTTTTTTTAAATAATTTATTTTTGAATAGATTTTAGTTAAATTTTGTCATTTTTTCTTTATTTAATTTCAATTAAAAAATCTCAGAAATAGGGCCAAGATTTCAAAATATGAAAATAATCATTTGATAATGGGTGGTTGATCGGATAACCTTGCATGTTAAAGCCCTCAGCAGCTCGCCCATGCTCTCTCTCGACTTTTATATTCATTCCTCTTTAACCTTTTGGTACTTTTTGGGGTGAGTCTGGGTTGTGTGGTTAACAATACTCTCATCGAAGACCTCTCACTATCAAGTAGCAAAAAGATGTATTAAATCAAGTTCCATTCTCAATATCAGATCATTTCCTATTCATAAATGTGCTTCCCTTTTTCTTAATTTAAAATTATTAAAGACACATTGTATCAATTATTAATTTTAAAAGTCACAACATAACTAAAAACAGGTGAATTTTACTGTTGGCACGAAGTAAAAATTAAAATTAACTTTCATAAAAATCTTAGAAAACATCTGTTTAAAAGGAAAAAATTTACTTAAAATTTATATGTATTAATTTTATAAAATTGATGTTTATTAATTTATCTAATAAAATATTAAAAATAATTTGATTAATACGCAACACAAATTAAGAACGATAATATATCTCGATAAATATAACGATAATATATCTTTACTTTTCCTTCTTGTGTTAAACCTTTGGTAGCACCCGCGCCTTCGGGGCGGGTTTGCCGGGGATGGCATGTCGAAGTTTTGGGTTGGGGTTTTTTGCCAAAAAAATCGTCAAGGTGGATCAGGGTTTCGGGGGACGGGGTGCTACCCTCTTCCTGGTTCAACCTCTTCCTGGTTTTGTATTCAAGGAGCATTTAATATTTCCTCGACGAGCAGAGCTTTAATAATCTTTTTATATAAGACTGTGGGTAATATGAATATTTTTTCCAACCAAAAAATTTTCCAACCAAAAAAACGTCGGAAATTGATGATTTTCGGGAACCTAGTCGGCTAGAACCTTGCTCGTACATCTTTAGATTTCTATAATTAAAGCCTATGTGATGCATTCAATTCTACGAATATCTAACAATCTTCTTACATTTTTCTAACAAATTATTAAATTTAGATAAATGGAATTTACTCCGTTATCATTAATTTTCCAGTATATTGAACTAATACCTCTAACAATTTTAATTCCCTGTACTTTTTTAAATTTATTTTTATTATGGAAAAGTAGTGTTTTACACAATAATTCAAAAATTATTCTCATTTCACAAAGCATAGCTATTTTCATATATTCATCAAACCGTTTATTTATGTAAGTCTAAAGAAAAATACGAAACTTAAATTTTAATTTTAAGGATTTTTTTAATCTGCTTTAAGCAAAAAAATTTATTAAATAATTTATTATTTTATTTAACGAGTCTTGGATTAGCCTGTATAAATTTTGGTAATTTAATTGGGCATGTGTTAATAATGGAGAGAACAATAGCTACTTTATGTGATAAAAAATATGGCCAAACAAGAGTTCCTATATTTGGAATTTGTTGTATTTTGAGTTTGGTAGGGAATATTTTATTTGTATTAATATATTAAATTGAGAATTCACTGATAGGGATTTTGTATGATACATCAAGAGCGAGGAAAAAGTACGATCCCGGACAGGCTTCGATCCTGCGACCTCCTGGCAGTTATTGCTAGGCGCTTTCGCTCACCACGTACATGTGATCTACCATCTGAGCTACCGGGACGCTGCTTTCACCCTCTCTTTTAATAGATCTTAAACCCACGCGTAGTGAGCGTTTTAAATGCTAGCCAGCTGGATCATTCTTTCCCTTACAATATATTACATTAAATGTCGAATCCCGATGATCGTGAAAATCTATTGGGAAACGCAACAGTTAAAAATAAATCCAAAAAATACAAAAACACAATCTTAACACAATCGTAATACGTCAAATTAAATGACGGCCATTAAATCAGTCCGTACCAGGGTTGTGCCTTATACAATGCCAAAGGGGTCCTCCTGCCCTCGCCAAATTTTTTTTGGTCTTCTAGTTTCAATATTTGGGATTTTGTAATTAAATTTTGTCTGGAATATTCTTTAATTTAAATATTATAATCCAAAAAATTTCAGATATGTTTTGCAATATTGACACAATTATTCAACAGTAGTAGTCAAAGTTTGAGCTTAATTGTTTTTATTGCAGTTCATTTATCTCTATTATTCAGCGTATTAGAATTAATTGTATGGGTTATTTGAAAAATATTTTTTAAATAAAAAATATTTCTAGGCATTTTCTAGACTGATATCATTCAATAAAAAAATTTATAAAAAATTTTTAAATAACCAATCTGGGCATGCCAATAATTATAGATTAAACGAACGATATCAGGTTGGAGTTTTTGATTGATATTTTTGGACATTAGGAGATCCAGTGAATTAATTGGCTCGTATTTAATAGGGTTAGCGAATCCTGTCAAATCTCCGGATATCTGAGAGGGAAAAGTCTTACAAGAGTAGAGGAGTTGGGTAATAATCTTTGCTCAGTGTCTGGAACCGATGGCATTTTGGCGCCTTATTTTTATTTTTTTCGGGACCCGTCAATCCTATTCATGACATAATTATCATTTTTCCCATTTCAATCAACTTTTGTTTTGACAATGAAAACAGAAAAGCATTACCTTCATGCTTCACCATGCCCATGCTTTAAAATTTTTAACACTGTTAAATTAAATTTAAGCAATTAGAAAATGTTTACACCGGAAAACAATTGGCACCCTCATTTTTCTTCCATTTTATTAATATTTTGTGTTCAAATATTATCGTAATTATTACAAATTATTATGTAATACCAATAGAATTATCTGTTAATATACTTTATTTTATTTTTGTGATACACGCATTTTGTAAATTATTTATTGAAGTGACCGTGATAACGTAAATTTAATTTATTTTGCCAAAAAAATTTTTTCAAAATTTTTTTCAGATTCCATCCAGTCTTAAATCGCAACCTAAACAAACTTTTCTCTTCAATATTTATCCATTTTAAATGTTTAAGATCCTCAAAAGTATACACGGATAAAGGAAATGACTTAAACATTTTAGCAAGTATGGCAACTAAACAACAGCAAGTACACTTTGAAATGCTTGGAAAACTTTGGGAATAATTAAACAGAAAATTTTTTTATAATTATACAAGTATTTGGAAAATTTTCTACAAACTGTAGATAAAAAATTATTATAAAAATATTTACACTTTAAGTTATATATAAATATTTTTTAGTTTATTTTCTTGAACAGAAAAGTAAAAAGTATAGTTTATTGAAATTATACATGTAAGGTCGGAAGCTTAATGAGTTTCACATGATCGGTAGTTAGATCAAGGCTTGATCTAGTTACACGGCATCTTCTATGTTTTTTTAGCATAAGCAAGTAGAAGGAATTTGTATGCTCCAAGCTAGCATAAAGTTGGATCAAAATCAGTTTCGGTTCTCAGAATCAGTTAATTTCCTATTCATAAATGCCTTTCCATTTTTAATTTTAAAATTATTAAAGATACATTTTAGTAATCTTTAATTCTAAGGGCCATAAAAACAGGTGAATTTTACCATTTATTGGAAAGTAAATATATTTACGGGCTTAAAATGCTTAAAACATCTGTTTAAAAGAATGTTAACTTCAATTTAGAAATTTATTCTAAATTTATTTTATATTTTAATTTTATAAAATCGAGCTTTGTTAATTTATAAAAAGCAGAAAAGTTTGCTTTATAGCCAACACAAATTCAGTCCAATGATACCTCTTAATTAGGGTTTCACAGGAAGTTTCGTTTCCGGAAAGTTTCCTACACTTAATACACTCTATTACCTTCATATGTCCCTCCTCTAACGTTCACACTGTTTATGCTTTTCTTATGCTTCCACATCAGGAACATTTATTACCTCATGATTCTGATCGTTTTAAGGATTCTGATATCGTTGGCACAAAACGGTTCGAGAATACTGATTTTATGAAACGAGTCGGCTGTAAATCCATTATGACATTCATGTTTACGTACACGCTCTATTATACGTAGAAATTTCTTCAAAGTTGAGCTTGAGGGATTTAACCCCCCACCCTCTCTTGAGGGACTTAACTTTCCACACTGAGGGACTAAACCTCCTCCTCTTGAGGTACTAAACTAAGTGATCCCCCCCCCCCCCCCCGATTCTACGCATACATATTTCAAATTCTTCCAACATTTTTCTGTCATTTTCATACACTTCAACTCTTAAAATTTAGGTAAATGGAATTCCCTACATTATCATTAATTTTCCAATATATTGAACTAGTACCGATAACAATTTTAATTCCCTGTTCTATTTTAAATTTATTTTTATTATGGAAAAGTAGTGTTTTACACAATAATTCAAAAATTATTCTCATTTCACAAAGCATTGTTATTTTTATATATTCAACAACACGTGTGTTTTTGTAAGTCGATAATTAAATTAAAGAAAAATATAGAATAAATTTCAAGGATTTTTCTAATTAACTTTAAACAAGAATTCTTAAATATATTATCACCTTATGTTAATAGTCTCATGCTTGTCTGTATATATTTCGGTAACTTAATTGGGCATGTGTTAATAATGGAGAGAACAATAGCTACTTTATTTTCTACAAAATATGGACAAACTAAAGTTCCTATATTTGGAATTTGTTGTATTTTAAGTTTGGTATGGAATATTTTTAAAATTAAATAATATCTAAAATTATCTCGTATTGAATAATTTATTATATTATATTATATAATAATATTAATAATATTAATAATATTATAATATCATATATAATAATAATATTATTATTATTATATAGTATACCGTATTATCTCTAATAGAATGCCCGGGCATTCTATTTTTCAATCACCTTCCAAAGGGGCATTCTATTGGAAGGGGGCATTCAAATGGAGGGGGGCATTGTATTTTTCGATGACTAAATTTAAAAATTATAAAAAAATTTACTTGCTAAGTATATCGAAACAACTAAAATGTGAAAAGCGACCAGCATTTTTTACAACAAATTTCGGTTAAAATTCGAATCGAATACCTAATTTGGAAAGTATTTTCGAATATTTCGACAAAAATATCGAGTATTCGATCGAATTTCGAGTATAATTTAAGAATTTCAACAAATTCGTTGATTTAGAAGTATTAAGAGTAGGGATTAATGAGGAATCAATCATCATCGGATTAAGAATGATTATGGCGGATATTCCTTTATCCCCTCTAAATCACGGTTATTCCGTTAACTACACTATCACTCCAAATTCCCATAATCCCTCTTTATACATTTTCTTCTAATACTTATTGTTAGAATTCAAATCCGCCTTAATATCCAATATCCCTCCAGATCCCCTAATATCCCCAATATCTATTGCGTAAAATTTTTTGTGCAACTACCAAATCAATGCTGGATACCGGTAAATTTGCCAACTGTATTAATGGGATTTACGAGATTATACCGCGCCCCTTCCAGTCGGTATTTTGGAAAAATCTGTTCGATATCTCGGATTTGCGAATACATGTTACAATAATACTGAAATAACAAGAGAAATAAGAAAAGAGAATAAAAATAGCGTTGGTTTGAATCTTTTTTACATTAGGAAGGATTTATATAATTAAAAGGGGGGGGCATTCTAATAGAGGGGGGCATTCAATTGGAAGGGGGCATTCTATATTTCGATTATTCTCCAGAGGGGCATTCTATTAGAGGGGGAGGGGCATTCTATTAGAATGCCCCTCTAATGGAGAGGGGCATTCTAATAGAGATAATACGGTATATATAATTTATATAATATATTAATATTATATAATAACAATATTATAGAATAATAATAATATTGTAATATTAATAATAATATTATAATATTAATAATAATAATATTATAATAATAATATATTAATAATAATAATATTTATATTATTAATATTATCTCGTATTATCTCTAATAGAATGGCTCCCTGGAGGGTGATTGAAATTAGGCAGGCGATTCTATCTGAGATAATACGTTATTTTAAAAAAAATTTCCATTTTATAGCTGTGTTTAGTAACACTGGCACAATTATTCAATAATTCTGAAAAGTATAGCTTATTTGCTGTTATTTCAGTTCATTTGTCTCTATTATTAAGTATATTAGAACTAATTGTATGTTTTGTTTTTTTAATATTTTTTAATTAAAAAATCGTTTTCTAGGCATTTTCTAAGCTGTCATCATTTAATAAAAAAATTTATAAACAATTTTTAAGTAAAAAATCTGAGCATGTCCAAAATTATAAATTAAATGAACGATATCAGGCTGGTTTTTTAAAATAATATTTTGAAGATTATGAGGTTCCCTGCTAAGATCCTCGAATAGTATGTCGTATTTCTACAGACAAATGAGAGAGCATTCTCATTTTAACACCAATTTTTCATTTTTAAAATACGCGAAACGTAAAACGCCAAAAATTAGCCACAAATGGGATCTAAACGCAGTGACGCTCAGCCGTGTTTCATATTACAATAAATTATATTGTAAGAATGAGTATCATAGCAGCATTTAAAACGCTTTGGCGGGGGTTAAACGATCTAAAAAGGAAAAAGAGAAAGCATTAGTCGATGCCCCGGTAGCTCTGTGGTAGAGCTCTCCTGTATATGGTGAGCGAAAACGCCTAGCAACAACTAGCAGTTGGTCGCAGGTGGCTAAGCTTTGCTCGGTGGCTACTCTTTCTATATATTACTTCTTTACTAGTAGACATGACTTGATTTTCTTCCAGCTTAATTAGCATCTGTTTCTTGCGTGAAAGCGTGATGCCAAAATCCTTCCATGCCAAAAACTTTTACTTATATGTACATAATTAAAATTTAAGCAATTAGAAAATGTTTACACCGGAAAACAATTGGCACCCTCATTTTTCTTCCATTTTATTAATATTTTGTGTTCAAATATTCTTGTAACTGTTACAAATTATTATGTAATACCTGTAGAATTATTTATTGATACAATTTGTTTTTTCCTTCTGATCCACGCATTTTGTAAATTATTTATTGAAGTGACCGTGATAACGTAAATTTGATTTATTTTGCCAAAAATTATTTTTTTCAAAAATTTTTTCAGATTCCACCCAGTCTTAAATCGCAACCTAAACAAACTTTTCTCTTCAATATTTATCCAATTTAAATGCCTAAGATCCTCAAAAATATGTGCGGATAAAGGAAATGACATAAACATTTTAGCAAGTATGGCAACTAAACAACAGCAAGTACACTTTGAAATGCTTGGAAAACTTTGGGAATAATTGGAAAATTTTTTTGGCTATAATAAACAAAAAATAAAACCTTTTACATGACTTTTTAATTTTTAAAAATAATTAAAAATGTGGGAAAAAATTTAATAAAAATTTTTTTATAAAGTTGTTTACATTTAAAATTTGTATTTTTTTAACTTAAAATTTTTTATGAGAAAATTTTTAGCCTATGAGAATATCTAGAATTCTTAGAAAATTTTCTTAGAAACTGATAGAGTGCACTTTTTCAATTATAAATATTTTTTCACTTTTATTTTTTAAAAAATAAGTTAAAACAAAGTAAGGCAGCTGGGCTATGGCAATTGCTATCCTTTAGCTAGTCCTAAATGTTATTCGGCGGCTGGGAGCGAACCAGCATCTTCAGTAGAACGGACGGATGTGTTATCCGTAATTAAATGTGTTATCCATTACTATATGCTATAAGCTTGAATAATTTCTCTTACTCAAATAATTGCCCTCTCTCGATTAATTAGTCCCTCAAGAGGGATGTATAATTAAAAATTTCAATTTAGGCGGACCTCAAAAACATAGACATACAAAAAATTTTGTTTATCTATTATTACGAAGAGAGCATCAATTATCGTTTGAATTTCGTTGAGTTCAGAGTTTCCTTTGAAAATTAATATGCCTTTATAGTTCTAAGGTCGCGTATAGTGGATAAAGTTGTATAACAAAAATATACATATACATATATCTGTCAAATTTTTTAGAACAACTTTATAATTTTTATTTAATTAAGAGTAACATAAAATTTTATATGACAACTAAAAATTAATTTATAAGAAATTTCCAGCAAAGTTACATATGGAAATAACTCCAATAACTTACCTGGCTGGTTGTTTTGAACTTGTAGTACCTCTAACAATTTTAATTCCCTGTTCTCTTCTAAATTTATTTTTATTATGGAAAAGCAGTGTTTTACACAATAATTCAAAAATTATTCTCATTTCTCAAAGCATTGTTATTTTTATATTCAACAACACGTGAATTTGAGTAAGTTAATCATAGCTAACAATAAGAGATAAAATTATAAAATTTTAAGGCTTTTTCTAATAATCACTAAACAATATAATTTATATAATTCATTATTTCTTTTGCTTGCGGGTATTATGTTTGCCAGTATAAATTTTGGCAACTTAATCGAGCATGTGTTAATAATGGAAAGAACAATAGCCACTTTATATGGTACAAAATATGGACAAACTAGAGTTCCTTTATTTGGAATTTGTTGTATTGTGATTTTGGTAGGTAATATTTTTCTCGATTAATACAATAACAAAAGATTTTCCACAAAATTTTTTTGTGTTCCAATTCCAAGCAGTGCTTGGATATTACTGATTTGCCCATGCTAATACCTCGTATTAACCCTATTCTTAGTCAAGATCCGATCTGGTTCTGTTTTAAAGTTTTAAGACCCTTCTCTAAAGTTAAAAGTTTATCGAAAGCACCGACACCTGGCAAGATTCGAATCTTTCTTTTTCTTTATGATCGTTTAATCCTCGCCTAATCCTTACATTAAGTATTTAATTAATTTTCGAATTATGAGAAGATCCTTGTATTATTTGTTGTCAATAAGCAAAGCTACATATAAGTTTGAAACCGAGTCAGTTAGATGAAAAATGGAACTAAAAAGGAATTTAGAGAGATTGAGAGAACTGACTCTATCCTTCAATCCCCTCTTAAGTGCCACTCTATTGGAGACCGCCATTCAACTAGGTAGAGGCCGCCGCTCAATTAGAGAGAATACGGTATGAATTTCCAACAAAGCCGAAAAAATTCGGAAACGAGAACAGGTTCATGATTCGGATGGAATTATCATTTGCTTCTTATAGAGAGTCTCATCTTTATTATATTTTAGTTATTATTGACAATACTTGAAAGATTAATACCTACAAATACTACAGGCCTCAATATATTGAATTTATTTATTTAGTATTATTTTAGTAGGTGTTTCGCTGTTGCTAAGCATATTAGAATTAATTGTATGTTTAAAGCAGAAAATGTTTTTTTAATTAAAAAAATTTCTAGGCATTTTCTAGACTAACAGCATTCAATAAAAAAATTTATAAACAATTTTTAAATAACAAATATAAAGGTGCACATAATTATAAATTAAACGACCGATATCAGGTTGGTGTTGATTTAGAGGAAAGCCTGGGCGGTACATTACTACTAGAGATCGGCCTAGATCTGGACCAAGGCCTGAGTTTTTCCTGTACCCAGAGTTCAGGTCTAGGCATTTTTTGACCATCCTGAGTTTCCTAGGCCTGGGTTTTCCTGGACTACAGGCCTAGGATCCGGCCCAGGTCAATAAATAAACCACGGAAACCAAGAACAGGCTCAGGCTTTTCAAAAATTCCGACCTCTAATTACTACTCTAGATATTTTGTATTTACCGTTTTTCTTCAATGAGTAAGGTAGGAATGCGGCCAATATGATTTTGAGGTTTTTTCATATTTTACGGCATTAGTCCCTAGCCTTGTACTAACACAAGAAAAAATTTAATTATAATGAAATTTAAGCAATTAGAAAATGTTTACACCGGAAAACAATTGGCACCCTCATTTTTCTTCCATTTTATTAATATTTTGTGCGCAAATATTTTAGTTGCAATGTTAACCTACATCCAATTACCAACTGATATTTTTATTGATATTAGTAGTTTTATTTTAATAATACATTCAATTTGTAAGCTAGGCATTGAAATAACTGTGATAACGTAAGTAGAGTTTATCTAGAAATTATTTATGGAATTGTGCTGTTTCCCCCACATGGGTGCTCTTTAGGGATGGTCTATTCCGCCTTGCGTAGAATTCCCTTTTTTCGGCACTTCCGCCTTATTATGTTACGCTCTCTTACGCCCTCAATCTTTTAAAATGTGGCAGAGCCCAACCATTTCCATACAAAATGTGATAAGTACCCAGTCATGAGTTGTAGATCTATGACCCGGTATTGAGTGTATATCACATCTTTGGATGAGTTAGAAGAGCTTTGGATAAGCTAGATGAGTTAGAGGATGAGTTTGAGCTTTTGATGCGCTCTCTAGTGCTATGTATAATTTGGAATCCCTTTTTTGGGAGGTGTGGGGTGGGAGGTGTACAATTTACATAATTTATTTTTAAAAAATAATAATTTTTTTTTTCAAGTTTCCACCCAGTTTTGAACAAAAATTTTAATAAAATAATTACAAAATTATTTAATTTTGTAAAATGTGGACACTCTAATAGAATAAATGTTGAAGGACAAAATGCAGTTACTGTTTCATTACAAAATTTACGAACAAAAGAACAAGATTTGCATTTTGAAATGCTTGGACAAATGTGGAAGTGATTGAAATAAAAAAAGATTTTTTTGAAAATACATATGTATATATGTAAATTCTGAAATTAATTAAAAATATTGTAATAAATTTTTTTAAATTAAATTTTAGATATTTTTTAAATAAAAAAACTTGAAAAAGTTATTACTAGAGATTAATTAATTTATAAATTTTTATTTTAATTAATAGATACATAAATCTAATTTTAAATTATAATTTAGATTAGAGTTGCGCGAGTTTGAGGTTTTTGAAAAAGCTAGGCCGAGGATTACCGAGGCTTAGAAAGCCGAGGTCGAGGGGCTAATTTGGACCCGAGAACGAGGACCGAGGATAACCGTGGAAACTTTTTAATTTTTAAAAGTTTATTAAAAATGTGAGAAAAAATTTAATAAAATTTTATTATTCAGTTTGTTTACGTTTATAATTTGAATTTTTTGTAACAGAAAATTTTTATATGAGAAAATTTTTAGCTCGTGAGAATAACTAGAAACATTAAAAAATTTTTCTTAGAAACCTGATAGAGTACACTGCTTCAATTATAATTTTACTTTTATTTTTCAAATTTAAGTCTATTAGCTAGTTAGAGCTCATATATGCTTGAAACATTACTATTGTTAAAATAATTTATTACTCCCCGATTAATTAAACACTCCAGGGAGAGGTCTGATAAAAATATCAATCCAAGCGACCTCAATATGATAGACAAAACAAAATTTTTGGCTAATTTATAATTACGAAGCTGCCCCTATAATTCCAAAGTTTAATCAGTTAATCGTTCTGATTTAGTTGAGTTTATGGTTTCTCTCGGAAGTTAAAATTAATTTAAAGATATAAGCTCGGATATAGAAGAAAGAGTTTGAATTACGCGGGAATTACGTGAATTTTGTTAGTCCTTAACTGGGTGTCAATGTTGGACATTGAAGCTAAGATAGATCATAGGCTAATGCATGCTTATCATCCAAGAGTTGTAGAACAGAAATCTATATCCGTCTTCAACTAAAAATTAATTTAAGAAATTTCTTGTAGATTTAAATATGGAAATAACTCCATTAATTTATTCGACTGGTATTTTTGAACTAGTACCAATAACAATTTTAATTCCCTGTTCTCTTTTAAATTTATTTTTATTATGGAAAAGTAGTGTTTTACACAATAATTCAAAAATTATTCTCATTTCTCAAAGCATAGCTATTTTTATATATTCAACAACACGTGTGTTTGTGTAAGTTGGCAATTATTAAATATGTATCAGGGATCTTCGTAGCCTAAAAATAAATTCCCAAATTATCACGGGTCTGAATCCCCCTCCCCCCCCCCCCCCCCCGCCCCCAAACATTGAGAGTTCGCGATTTTTGGGACTTTAGTGATTTTTGCTAGTCTTTAGCTGGGTGTCGACGTTGGACATTGAGGCTATGATAGAGATGATAAGCCATCATCCAAGCCTCTGGGATTTAAATCCAGAATCAATCTCTCAATACCAGCATTACCGAGTTTCTCCTTTCAAGCTCACTCTTCCTGCTTTTTTCTTTGTATCTTCATAACCGGCAACTGAGTTTCCTTGACTGGCAACCCTTAAATAACTCTTTATTAAAATTTTTTAAGGCTTTTCCCTTTTTAAAGGCTCTTCCTAATCACCTTTAAACAGTCTAATCTATTCAATTCATTATTTGTTCCGACTTCAAATATTATGTTTGCATGTATAGACTTCGGTAATTTAATTGGGCATGTGTTAATAATGGAGAGAACAATAGCTACTTTATGTACTAAAAATTATGGCCAAACTACAGTTCCTAAATTTGGAATTTGTTGTATTTTGATTTTGGTAGGAGTATTTTTGCTTGATAGTACATATTGATATAATATAATAATAAGATTTCAAAGTTACAGTCTAGCTGTAGAAAGAGTTTAGCAAATGTTTAGCCACCGGGCAGAATTCTAACCCGCGATCATACTATTTTGATTGATCAGGATCAGGCTGTTTCTCGGCCAATTTCACGCCTTTTTGGAAGTAATTGTATGAAAGTGGAAACGATAATTCGGTTTGGATACTTGACGTTTTCCTATAAAAATCAGGAAACGAGAGAGGGTCCCTCTTTATCTTCAGGATCATAGCTTTTTTGTATAACACTTTATTATTTTTCAGCTATTTTTAACAATACTAGAAAGATTAATACCTACAAATAATACTGGTGTCAACAATCTAAATCTAGCTAGTATTATTTTGGTAAACATTTCGCTGTTGCTAAGCATATTAGAATTAATTGTATGTTTAAAAAATGTATAAGAAATATTTTTTAATTAAAAATTCTAGGCATTTTATAGACTGACAGCATTCAATAAAAAAATTTATAAACAATTTTTAAATTGTAAACGTAAGGGTGTGCATAATTATAAATTAAATGAACGTTATCAGGTTGGTGTTGTACAAGAAAAAATTCAATTAGAATAAAATTTAAGCAATTAGAAAATGTTTATACCGGAAAGCAATTGGCACCCTCATTTTTCTTCCATTTTATTAATATTTTGTGTACAAATATTGTAATTGTAATTACAATCTACTTTAAATTACCAGTTGAAATGCTTTATAATATCATTAGTTTTGTCCTAATAATACATTCGATTTGTAAGCTAAGCATTGAAATTACTGTAATAACGTAAGTAGAGTTTATTTTATTATATTAAGATACTTGTGGCTTTCCTATAATTATGGGCTAGGCTCTAAGGGTTAGAACTAGAAACTGGGAGCAAAAAAATAGACTGGGAGGGGTTACGAGAATTTTACGAGGTACCTTACGAGGTACCACGATTATCGAAATTTTTTGATCGATATATCTCAATCCAGCCTCTAGTTAAGACAATGGTCAGGCAAAGCTCCGGTAAGTATACCATAAATCTGGATGAGTAGAGCTCTCCGATTGAAGATCTTGTGTAAATACAGTGAGAAATAGGGCTCTTATGAGAGGAGAGCACTAGTGCCATTATTTATTCTAACAAATTTTTTTTCAAGTTTCCACCCAGTTTTGAACAAAAATTTAAATAAAATAATTACAAAATTATATAATTTTGTAAAATGTGGACACTCTAATAGAATAAATGTTGAGGGACAAACTGTAGTTACTAATTCATTACAAAATTTACGAACAAAAGAACAAGATTTGCATTTTGAAATGCTTGGACAAATGTGGAAGTGATTGAAAACGGAAAATTTTAATTAAATTTGAGATAATATTTTTTGACTTCAAAAAACCTGAAAAATTTATTAGTGAAGCTTAACTGATTTTTAAATTTTTAAAATTATTTTTCCATATAAATTTTTATTTTAATTGTTAAATATGTACATTAAGCTGGGTTTGAATGATAATAATTTAAATAGAGAAAAATTATTTAACTTTAAATAAAGTCGAATTTTGTTTTTAAAACACTCTCAAGGTCAAAAGTTGTACCTTTTAATGACTGTAACTTAAATAGAGGTTTTCGCTTAAGCAGCTCCACACTTGAGCAGCCCCACACTGAGCAGCCCCACACTCTAAAAGTATATTAAATTTAGGTGTTATAATAAGAAACGAATGTATCTAAAATAGATTGGGTAGATGGTAAAGTTGTCGGATAATTGGAAAGCTCGTAGGGTAGATGCTAAGGTGTCGGATAAACGGAAAGCTCGGATAACCGGATCCGGTATCCGAACCGAAAATTTCCGAATATCCGTCCGCTCTTTTCGGATCCGGATCCGACAATCTTAGTAGATGCTGTCTGTAGACTCAGTGTTAACCACGCTTAAAAATGTGTAAAATAGAGATGCATATATTACCGTATATGCTCGAATAATTACCCTGGGTAATTATTGTTTCGACCTCTCTCTGGAGGGGTAATTAATCGAGAGGGTGGGCTAAATTTGGGGTATATCCCAATAAATCGAAGAGGAAATCCATTTATTTTTTGCTATTGATACTTACAATGTTCAATAATTGAGATTGACAATGATTTTTTCAATATTTTTAAAATTAGAGAAGGAAAGGGAGGGGGTAATTATTACAGAGGGTAATTATTTGAGAGAGGGGGTAGCTACAGAATAGTTTATTATTGTATCATATAGTTTAAGGCGGAATCTTAATTTCGAAATTAAAAGTATTAAAGTGCAACTTATAAAATTTAAAAAATGCCGACAAAAATGTCAGACATCGGAAACAAAAAATAAGCATCGGAAACATTAAAGCATATAAACATTAAGAAATAATTTAAATAAAAGGGCAATTTCATTAAGAAATAAAAAAAATTATCGTCTCAATTTTTATTATTTATTTAAAAATAAATAAAAATTATACGAGTCTATTATTTTTAAATTTAATTTAATATAAAATAATTTTTAAAATTAATTTTTAATTTTTATAAAAAATTAATTAAAATAAAAATATCGAAAAATATGAAAATATTTTTTAAACTTTTATTTCTAAATTTATTTTTAACTGAATTTGCTGAAAATGCTCTAATTAATGGTATGCTATAAATATAATAAAATAAATTTTAGCTGATAATGTTTTATACCTATTTAAATTTAATTTTAAATTAAAAAGTCCACATTACCATAATCTAATGGAGACGAATGTCTTACAGACATAGGTATCTGAGCCCCATTACACGCAAATCCGGGATTTGGATAGTAATTTAATTAATACGATCATCTACCCAATTTTGTTTTCTATCCTTTTTGGACTGAATAATGCGTTGATCAGCCCTTGATACGATCAGGCCATTATCAGGAAGCTTTGAAGGACGGTACTATTAAGGACGAATTAGGCCCAGGTTAGGCCCCCTAACTGTGTCTTTTTTAATGACCTGTCCGTATACCCTACTCTAATTTAGAGATTGTAATTTAGAGATTACAATTTATAGAAATTAATTAGAAAATTATTGTAATAAATATATTATATTTAGAAGATTACTCAACACGAATCAACGATGTTTATACCAAAATATTTTCCTCTGAAGACAACAACGATCCTCAAAAACTAACTTCAAATATCTGTAAAGCTAATCATTTGGTATTAAAAACTGAAATTAGCAATGAAATGTCTGAAATAGAACAACTATCTCAGGAAAAGAAAATTAATTTGAATGAAGATGGACATTGGGAAAGTACAATGAGCGCAGTGAGATCAATGAATGGGGCCGTTATAAATAATAATAAAGAAAGCGTTGATTTAGACTGGAAATTATTTAATACATTTAGGTATTATAATAGTTTTTGAAATAAAAAATTCTCAATGGAATTTTTCGAGAAATATTTAACAATAATATCGATGGCCAGATTTTTCTCAAAAATTATTAGATCGCAGAAATTCACATTAGTCCTCTATTAGTCCTCTCCTCTTAACGAGCGGTCTTTGGGCGAACTAACTTTTGGTTGTCTTAATTTTGTTCTTGATTTCGAAATTCACTTCGACTTCCAATCTTTTGTACTACGATTTATAGAATGCGGCAGATCCAACCCTAGGTAGAACTGATCAGGGGTTAGTCCTGATCAGTCCTGATCAAATACCCTAATTAGTCCTAATCAAATAAACACGTAATTTTACGCAATTCGCAATTGCGTCCAGCCTTGGTCCTGGTTTTCAGATGAAATATATAATCCATATAAGTCTCTACCCATTTTTGGTTATTTTGTGATAATTTCGGCTAACTAAAATCGTTCAAATCCGAATAGCTATGATTTAAAAATTCACAAAAATGCATTAAGTGTATATTTTACAGACAAATTAAAAAAGGAATCGAAAAAGGTAAAACAAAAATTCATAATATGAATTTTGTAATGGGCTACCCAAATGCTTCTCAACAAGAATATGATATAATTATTGGACACTTTAATTTTATTAAAAAAGGGATTTTGAATAATGGAGGAGGGATTAGTAGATTTGGAGAAAGAATTGAACGAGAATTGGAAAAACAATTAAATGATAAACATATTTTTGATTCAAATATAATTTTTAAATCTGCAAGTGAACAAAAATGTAAGAATATTAAACAATATTTTTTTGATAATATGAATCGGATTACGTGTTTTAATGTGAATTAAATTGCTAAATGTGATATGATAGTGATCGAAATTAAATGGAAAATTATGAGCTGCACAAGAGTCATTTATTCGGACTATAAGTAATAGGGTCATTTATTCGGAATATAAGTAATAGGGTCAGAATGACCGAGTCGAGTATCAAATTTTCACAAAAAGACTCGGTCGGTTAGGTCCGATAAAAATGAATGAATCGAACGTCGGCCTTTTGAATTACTCGACCCCCCCCCCTCAGACGACGTTCGATGACTCGAATCGAACCATATCAGGACAATTCTGAACAAAGATATAGCTCTGTTGTACCTTGGACCTGCGGTACCTTGGGGTGTACCCAGAAAATGTATGACTCGAACGTCGGCCCGACTCGAAAACCTTAACCCTAATAAGTAACTCTGCAGGTCCAATACTTTCGAGGGGGAAGAAAACTCCTAGATTCTAGATCATTACGGTCTTTTAAGCTTAAACAGACATTTCAAAGGGATAATAACTTCGAGATGCTCGACCCAACGAACTTAAAAAATCTCTATAATATGTATAATTACAAAATCTCTTATAAATCTCTATAATTTGATCATTTATTTAATTCAGATCAACTAATCAAACCATTACCCTACTACATCAAACTATTAAACAATAAATATAAAGAAGGCGAAACCATATTTGCCGAATTTAATTTAACCTACCCAATATTATTAAAAATAATTGATCAAATATTAGAAGTTATGGGAAATGATAATTTTAAAAATCAGTTTAAAATATTAATAAATATTGGAGAAAAATACATATTTAATAAAATAAATGAGGATAAAAAATGGTCAAATAACGAGCTTTTTGAAATTATTTGTGAATTATACGAATTAATTCAAATAATTAATGGGAATGAAATTGGTATAAATTTAATTGAAACTGATAAATTAATTGAAGCCAGAATGTTAATTTTGTCAGAACATTTGAAAGAAATTTTGAATTATGAGAGAAGAGTGCATTTAAAGTTGCTGAAGCAGTGGGGGGCTAAACATAGACTTGTGGAATTTTTTCTTGGATTGGAAAATGTGGAGATTAATTATAAGGAATTGTTAGGAATTTTTGATTTTAGTAAGTTTGTTTAAGATCTCATAATTAGTTTAAAGCTCCTTCAAGAGTTATAATCCACAGAAGATTTAGTTGACTTAAAAATAGTGAAACATCCCTATTTTATTGGACAACGAACTGTTAAGGGTTAACAATGATCAAAATGAATTCTTGAATTATTCCGAAAGCCGTTGTATTGACACCCTACGTGGGTGTCTATCTCCTCTACTATTTTTCCTAATTAGGTAGATCATTCACATGACGATCAAATTGAAGATGTTATAATTCCATTCTCGAATGGTTAATTACTCGAGGGGCTAATTGGTCGAGAAAATATAAAATCTGGTGTTTATAAAAGGGAGACATAAGATGGGGGAGACATAAGCTGGACAAAAGCTCAATTAAAAAATAAAATTTTAAGATGTTGATGAACTTAAAGATCAGATATACTATTTTTACAATGAGTGGAATACGGCCAAAGATTATGATGTTACAGCAAATTCAATAAGCATTTTGAATTTTCTGTATTCATTAGAATTGCAAGGAGGACTGAAAGGAAACGTAGAATGGAGAAATTATAAAATTCGGAATTTAATTTTTGCGGATTCTACAAAGGATGTAGTAAATTTAAATATGTCGGCGAAGCAAATAGGTGTGGCTAAAGTTTATATAAATTGTATAGAAAGAAAGATATGCAATTTTGAAGAAGAAAAAATTATTAAAATTAAAGAAGATAAAGAAAAATTTTCAAAAATATATTTTGAATACATTGAGAATATGAATGTCAGCATACTTGGCGATTATGTGGATGACAATGATGGTTAGTAAATAGGGGTGGCTGATACGTGGATATATATATACCCAATATCCGTGGATATTCGGACATATTTAGACCCAATATCCAATTGGGTCATAACCCAATATCCAGATGAGGCCCCCCCCCAAAACCAATCATGTCATTTCTCTTTTCGATTTGTGCCTTTTAAGATAAATTTCAGGAAATTTTATCGAACATAGCATAAGTTCTAATTCAGAAAACTTCAGATATTTTTGAAAATTTTCTGAAAAATTCGTTCAGAAAAAAATCGAGCACTGAGTCTAGGTCAAATTTGAATAAAATATCATAGTAAAAAATTATTTAAAATATTTTAGCAGCAAAAGGAATTAAAAAAGGAAGCTTAGAAGCATCAACATTCATTGGAGGCTATAACTTTCTTAAAATGTTACGTAAAAAATTAAATGAATATGATATTCCTTTGACTAAATATAATGCAAGATTCTTTAAAATATTTGAAGATATTGAAAAAATGCAGGTACTTAAAAATACCTTAACTATAATAATAAAATCAAATCTATGACGGGAAGGCGGTACGGGGATCAGGGCGAAGTCTTAGGGGGAAGTCTTATAGAAAGACTTCCCCCTAAGACTTATAGTTCGGTGGAAGTCTTATAGAAATTAAAGTTGATTAAATATGCGTGGATAAATGGATTAATTCGGCTATATCAAACCTAGATCTGTCCAAATAGGGAACTAGGACCAAAGAATTTTTGAGCAAAATTTTAGTATTTAAATTATACAAAATAATATTTTGGTTTATAGAATGCTAATGAACATGAAAGTAAAGTTGATAGTGAGTTGAAAGAAATGATTAAAGAAAATAAGAATCTTGGTGAATACTTTGAAAAAAATCCTGAGAATTTTATTAAGGTAATTAAACAATATTAAGATTGATATAACCTTGAGTAAAAAATCACAGACCTCAGGTCTTTTACTAGAATAACACTTTATTAGAATGTTTTCAGGCTTGATACAAGACCCATATTTTATAATCCTTTACTATGATTCATGTCATTATGCATTACCTACTCTTTATGCTCAAATAATTACCAATGGGTGATTATAGTTTAAATCACTTGCAGGAAAGAGTAATTAATAGAGAGGGTAATTTTTGAGAGAGAGTAAAAAAGGGTAATTTTTGAGAGAGAGTATACTGTATTTAAAAGAAAAGGATTTAAGTTTCTTAGGCTACAAGGTTTAATGTAAGAGGGCTAATGTAAGATGATTAGCTGTTCAAGTAAAACTTCCTTAGAAATTTTCCCTTATGAAGAGTCGAAGGAAAGTCAAAAATTAAATTTAAATTTGAAAAATTTAAAGCTAACCATCGCCGACATGTGTGAAACACCAACCGATAAACACACACTTAATTTAATTCATTTATATCAACATAAACTGGAAAATCCAACTTCATCAGAAAGCGAAATAACAGAAGAAAATGAATTAAATTTTGAAATTAAATATAATAATTCGTTTATATTGGAAGCAGTTTTTTGGCGTTATAGAAGCTTTATAGAAGATTTTACGGTTGGTGGAAATGAGGTTATAACAGATAATGACGTTATAGAACATTTTGGTGAATTACTCAATACTTCGGGTTATCGAGGGGAAATTAAGATAACTGATAAAATAGCTGAACGATATAAAGAATTTTTACTGAACGGCCAAAAATTGTTAAATATAAAGGAGCTTAATGAGGAAAATTTGCGTAAAAGACTTTGTTTAGTACACTCTTTTGTTACTAAATGGGCAAATGATTCAATTTTAAGCGAAAGTTTAATGTGGAGTTCAATCATGAATACGACGTTGGGATTGCCAATTATTGTAGGTTTTTACTGAATATTTATATGTTCAGAGAGTTCGAATGTTGGGAGAATCTGTCGAGGTTCTTGACTTTAACCTAAGAGAGAAAAATTTTTTTTTCTCACGTCTTACTATACGTAGGAAACACAAAGATACAAAAACAAATTTCTAGGGAAAAAGATGATTTACTTCAGCAGTAATTAAATTACGGTTGGACCACACTTGTGCTAGTATGGCTCCAGTGCTGGGTATGGCTCAGCTAGAATTTGAAATGCCATAAGCCAGAGCCGGAGTCCAGTTTTGAAAAAATGTTGTAGAGGGGTGCGCAAAATGTCCAATGCCCTCTAATGTTCGTTACCTCGTACATACTCACTCACACATTAACGTCTGTAGTACAAAAGACTTATAATGTACATATAAAATTTTAACACTACTTTTTAAGGAAGCCGATTCGTCAATTTTTCACCAATTACAACCATTTGAAATTAATTGCTCAAATAAAAAACAAGTAAAAAAGATAGCCGAACTCTATATTATCGGGAATGACCGTCTTGAACAAATACAAGAAATACACAGAAAAAATATAGAAGAATTAATAGGGTTGTCAGGCTCATTTGTTGAATTTTTGCGTGAAAGTTTATCAAAAACCAAACTTTTTCATTTACTTGGGCCAAGAAATTTTGGGGAATTTGAGACAGAATTTGCAGAAATTTTGGAAATATGTAAGGGAATTTAAAGATTTATTTATTGAGTTGAGTAATTAGAGGGAGGCACTCTTAAACTTTGTAAGAATAGTTTAAAGGTTGGTAGTCACTCAGCCATCCTCCGTTATTAATCACGCCCGACTGATGGTAAAACACCCTGCCTTCAAGTCTACAGTAAACTTAAGCACTTAATGGTTTACAGGAAACAAACACTCAAACCGAGTTTTATAGAAACTAGAGTTAGACATTTACAATTTGTCGGGCCGGTATCCGGGTTTTTCCTTCCAATAGACCGGGACCGGTTTTCCGGGCTAAAGCCCCAAAAATCCGGTTTTTTAACCTGGTCCTGGGCCCGGCCCGGGATCGAACCCTAATAGAAACTACATAATTATAACTATTAAAGGGGCGGGGAAATTATTATGTAGAGGGGGAGGGGGCAATTATTTGAGGGATTGCAACATAATCAAGTTATTTATAGGGAATATGGAGGAGAATTATCGTTGGTATCTATATAAAGAATTACTTGGTCTCAATTATGAGATTATTAATGATGATCTGGAAAATGGGGAAAATAAAGAAATGGAGAGAAGAAGCAACAGCGAAGACATTAATCTCGAAATTAGACTGGCAAAATCACTATTATTTAACAAATTAGTTACATATGAGGAAACCTTGATATTAACTTTGCGTCACGCTAATAATGATGAAGTATTAAAAATAGTAGAACAATTAATTGGGAATATTAAATATTATATTTATATGACATTGCCTCATATGTGCTCCCTAAATATTTTGGTTGAAGCCATAAACTTATTTAAAAACAAAATATTTGATTTGGTCGTAAAAGGAGATTGGGATAAAATAATAGCTTTATTAGGGAATAGTATAACAATGAAAGACTTAAATGATGACGATGAGCTTAGACAAAGGATAAGACAATACAGAGAAATTCTTATAGAAGAGCATGTCAGATATTTATCTGATAAAATTGAAAAGGATCCGGAATTGAAAAAAAGATTGACGAATGAGCTTGGCCATAAAATTAGGATATACTATTTGTTAGACGATGATAAAGAATATAGAAAATTTTGTGATAAGTATGGACTTATTGACTACAAAAGTATGTTAATCTTAATTCGAGATTATCAGTTATGGTTTTCGCTGTCCGAAAGTACAAAAAGTCTAGCAACTCGATTAAAAAAGCTTATAATATTTGACTCAATTTAGAATCCTACAGTTTACAAGTCATCCATACATAGTCTAGGGGAGGGGGAGGGGGGGGGGGAGAATCGGGTCATCGCGATCTTCGAGAATCGTGTCAGATTAATCAGTGTTACATAATGTAAGCATACACATCAGAGGTGAATCGGGAATGACGAATGTGCCGGAAATCGAAACTGTCGGAAATCAAAAGTGGCTTGAAAGCCTGAACTCGGAAACCGGAAGGAAAAAACGTCGGAAATTGGAATTCCGATCAGGGATCCAGTAGACATTTCAAAAATCGAGAATCCACGAGAAAATTCTAATTCTCAATTTCAAGAATAATGATTCCTGAACCAATAAAAAGTCAAGAATTCCCAATCTTTGGGAATCGGGTCAGATAAATCAGTGTTACACATGCATACTTAACCCCTCTAACCGTTTTATTACAATTCTATTTTTAAACTAATTAAGTTTATCGAAGTAAAGAACAATTAGCAATGCACTATCAGGCCTCATTGGGCACAAGAAATCGTATGATAAAAGGAAAAAATCAGTTATCTGCACATTTATTTGTGTGGTATACCTGGATGGATAATAAAATTCATGAAAAATGCTGCAATAAACGTGGAAAAAATCAAACATGGGGATGTTGTAAAATTAGAAATCAAATAAAGACGGCATGGGAAAGTTCTAAACTTAAAATTCATAGACGATATGACACAATATTTTATATTGATAATACTTTTGAATTAGCTGATGGGATCCATATATTTTTAGGGTGGTTCGAAGCTCAAAAATATTTATTGGAGTTAAAAATGTCAGAAAGTGTGGATCCTGGTCAGAAGGTATGCAAATGTATTAAAGCTTAACTCTAGGTAAACCTTTAACTTTAGGTAAACGGAGATAATTTAACGGATCTCTCAACTGAACACCCTTAGCTGATTAAGAAAGAATTAAAAATATGTCGAGAGTCATTGTGACCTTCTCGGCCGTTTCCTAGGGATGACTATAAAGAAATTCAACATATCTAGTCAATATCCTATAGCCTACTAATTAGGTACCATTAGGAGGCTGATAAGGCGAAGATAGGGAATGCCTGCTGTCAGAATTCACAGGAGATTCTGTCAGAATTCGATGTTCTAGCCGTACTATATTTTTTAAAAGATAATTTATTATAATTTTATCTAGAAACTATTGAATGAAAAAATAACTGATCCAAAGCAATTTGTCATAGAATTCGTGAACATAATTGAATATGGACGTTGGAAAGCAAGGGATACCGAAGCAAACACGGAAGAATTTATAAAATGGTTAAAGATTCAACATTTAATACAGATAAAAGAGTTTATGAAGAAGGACGCCTATGCTGATTTTCGGAAAAAATTGGCAAAAAGTAAATTTTGCATATAATAGAGCTTTAAACTGAATTAAAGCCCCACTCCTATAAATCTTATTATAGTTACTACGATATTTTGATTTTCGAAAGTGAAAATATGTACTATATCCTTTACATTAAAAATCTACAACAAAAGACTAATTGCTGTATTTCCTCTGATCAAACGCTCTGAAATATATTTTCAGCACAGAACTTCCAAAGGGGGACAACCACCTTCCAAAGAGGGACAACCACCTTCCGAAGGGGCATCTAAGTGGAGGGAGTCATCAAAGGAACTACGTTATATTATTTTAGAAATGGAACTAGTCGGTGAATCTCGACTATATGATGATCTATCCATATTTATCCCTCAAGATGCTATATTTGAAATTCTGGAGATAATCAAAAAGGAAATGAATATTGCCTCAGATAAAAATGATAAAAAATGGGAAAATGTATTAAACGATAAAATGTGGGATAAAAAGGATGAAGTAGCAACCAAAAAACAAAAATTAATAAAAAAGGTAAAAAGAAGGAGATAAAGACGATAGTGGAAGTGAGCACACAGGATGATGATAATCAAGAGGATAATTCAATTAAATTAATTGAAAGTGATCAAAAGGAAAAAGAATGTGATAGCCAACAAAATGAGCAAGAAAAATTAAACAGAATGACCAAAAATGAAATTTTGGTGTTAAAAAATAACCAAGATTTAGAGGAATCTGAAGAATCCGAACAATCACAAATTAGTAAAAATAACGGCCAAAATTTCAAAAAATCAAAAAGAAATTTACAAAAAAGAATAAATCAAAAAGCTAGAAGAGAAAATAAAACCAAAAATGATAGCTTGGTGTTAAAAGAAAGTTTGGAAAGTTTTGTGGAAAAAAGAAATTTGATAAAATTGTATGGCGAATTTATAAAGGTGGAGAATTTTTAACTGATTTTTGGCGAATTATTTTTGGTATTTTTGTGCTTCAGTTGCATCAAGATTAGAGTCCGGACTGGGAGTGTCGTACGAGAATAGAAATCTCGCAAAATCTAGATCTCTATAACCGAGATGTTACATCGAGTTCTCGTCCAGGCCTGGGCTCTAATCTAGATTCACTCATACATATTCTAATTTAATTCTTTCACTAACTTAATCTGTAAGTTTTCCTACCCGACAGTAAATGAACAGTAAATAACGTTATTATACCTTAGTATCCCAATATTATTTGATCAAATAGGATAATAAACCCTAAAAAATTTAAGGCCCCATCAGATGAACTGCGTAAACAATTAAATATAGTCGTTTATATTTATGAAATCTCAAATCGTTTTAAATGGTTAGAAGAAGTAAAAAATAAATGGCCTATAATATACGAAGCAATGTTTTTATTAAAAGGGGAAAATAAAGATAATAAAGCTTTGAACAAATTAATGGAAAAATTAAATAAATTTAAAGAAAGTGTGCTTTCATTAAATTTAATAGAAAATTTAAATGAATTTGAGATTAATTTACACAAATTACTAAAAGAATTAATTTATGTTGTAGAAGGTATTTGGGATGGAAGGCATAATGGACGTGTTGATTTGGAGGAAATTAAAATTGTTAGAAAACAATTAAATTATAAAATGCTTGTGGAAAGTGCTAATCAAGCTTATGATCAAGTAAATGATGAATATTATTCGATTTGGGAAGGTATTGGAAAGGTGGAGAAAAATAAAATTGTTGGCATACTTTTCGATAAAGGGCTAATTTTGGAGCAAAATAAAATAATTGAAAATGTTGATAAATATTTGAGTGATTGGAAAATGATGAAAAATCAGAGATTTATAGGTTAATTTATTTTTTCTGAAATAATAAATATATTATTAATAAATAGAGGCTATGTTTTGGCTTATTTATTTAGCTTAAATAAAGGATATGTAGAAAAATTATGACCCACCTCTGCTAGAAAGGACTGAAGGGAATAACAATTTTTATTCGCTAGCTTTAAGCTGACCAAATAAATTAATTTGCTAAAATAATATACAGAAAGCTCATGCATTAAGTATATGAGAGTTACATTAGAGCTCATGCATAATACTACTTAGAGGTTACTTCGTAACATGATCAAGAGAATTTGATTTAGTATAGAACAGTCGTAATGACAGTCGAACCTCAAGGTCACAATTGAAGACATTCAGGTTCTCTTTTGTAGTATGGGCCCAGATTATTAAAAAAATCTTGGGAGTGCTCTAGGATCGACCAACGTTGGAATGACAAGCATAAGCTCATGAATTGAAAAAATAAAGTGATATATTAATTGAAATATTTAGATAATCAAGACATTCTTAATTATGATAATCCAAATTATGTCCAACCAGAACCGTTACAACAAATTAACTTTGATGACAAAAATGAAGATATCACAAGTGAAGAGGTTCAAATATATTTTTTAATATATTTATTTATTAAATTTTAGTTGGAATATTTATTAGAGACCCAAATTAGAGATCCGGAATTAGTTAAAAATTGTTTAACATCCATCAGATCAACTATCTTTGAATGGTCAAGAAATATTCAGAGAAAAATAAAATTATTAGTTGGGGGTTCTTATATGTTTGGAATTGATACTATCGATGCAGATGTAGATTTAATGATTGTTTTAAATGAAAATGATTTTGAAGGAATGGTGAAATTTATTGGAGCAGAAAAATCCATTTGTAAGGATAAAAAATGCCCTGATCAATCTTTATATTGCTTATTATGCAAGGTAGTATATTTAAAAATATTAAGTGAGGACTGAAAATTGGGCGATTTGTGGCTAGCTTCGGTTCTCGCCTCGGATTGAGCTAGCTCTAAGAGACAAACACAGGTTTCGGGAGCTCAAATAGTACCCTATCAAAAGGCCTCTCCTGAATAGGCAGTTAAGTAGGCAAATAACTGCTAGGAATTTGATGGATCTCATTATTCTAAAGTACACTCTGTAACAAAATGATAGGACTCCCTAGTTTTTTATCGATATCCTATCAAATATTGAATGGATTTGTTTTAAATTTTGGTAGAATACAGGTAAGGATATTATGTATCAATATTGAAAAGAAAAAGTTAAAAGCAATTTTTAAAAAAATTTTATGATAATAAATTTGATTTTGAAGTGTAACAAAATGATAGGACCCCATTTAGTTTTCGACCTTAGGGGTGGTCCGAAAAATCTACAAAATTTCCTGCAAACATATCTATTGATATCTATAGTAAATACAAAAGAAACGAAGTTCCAATATAATTCCTTCATTGAGATCTGAAAACCCGAAAATCAACGGAAAACCGGGGGTAGACGTCTTTAAAAAATATTTTCGGCACCTTACAGGTGAAATAAAAATTTTATTTTAGGCTTATTTGAAAGCCCTTGAAATTTGCTACAAGATAGCATCAATTTTATTTTCCGGAAAAAATTCACCTTTATTCACCCCCCGGTTTTCCGTTGATTTTCGGGTTTTCAGATCTCAATGAAGGAATTATATTGGAACTTCGTTTCTTTTTTATTTACTATAGATATCAATAGATATGTTTGCAGGAAATTTTGTAGATTTTTCGGACCACCCCTAAGGTCGAAAACTAAATGGGGTCCTATCATTTTGTTACACTTCAAAATCAAATTTATTATCATAAAATTTTTTTAAAAATTGCTTTTAACTTTTTCTTTTCAATATTGATACATAATATCCTTACCTGTATTCTACCAAAATTTAAAACAAATCCATTCAATATTTGGTAGGATATCGATAAAAAACTAGGGGGTCCTATCATTTTGTTACAGAGTGTACTACATATTTGATTAAATTTGACCTAATTTTACTCCAAACTTGTAGAATATAGATATTAATGATGGGATTATAATGGATTAGATAAATTAATAATAATTTAAATTTAATTTTAAAAATATTTATTTAGTTGGATAATGTAAAGAATATTCAAAAAGTCAATACAAGAATTCCATTAATCGAACTAAATTATTCAAACATTGACTTTGATATTGCCTTGATATTACTGCCTACAGAAATCCCAAATACTCCAAATTGGATTGAAAAAGTTTTGGAAGATGAAAAGAATTTAGCTATTGGAGACAGAAAAATATTACCTTTAGCTAGTTATAAAGCAAATGAATTTATTTTGGAAAAAATTCCAAAAGAAGATTTGAGGACTAAAAATTTTCGTTTTGCAATTATTGCTATGAAAATATGGGCAAAAAGTAAAAAAAAATAATTTTTTTATGAATTTTTAATTAAAAAAATTTTTAGACAGTTCAATTTATGGAAATAAATTTGGTTTTCTAAGTGGATCAATTCTCTCAATTTTTATTTCAAAAATTTATTTATTATATCCAAATGCGAATTTACATGTTCTTTTACAAAGAATTTTTCTGACATTTTTAACGTGGTTGGGAAATTTTACAAATTATTTTATAAAAAAGTGCAGATTATGGGTCCATTCGCACTACATCCAATTAACCTTTATACGCACATGAAAATCACAAACAAATTTTTATGCGTCGAATCAAAGGCGGTCTGTACACGATTCTGCACTCTAGTAATATAAGATCTATGGGAATAGACAGCTCTATCAATAGAGTTATAGTAACATGTAGAACTTCCTTCAGATTGGGTTTGTGGTAGAAAAAAGTCCGGGCTTCGGGTGACACATGATATCCCTGGTATAAACCGTTTATTGGATGCATACTTGATTGGATGCGTAATCGTTGGATGTGTAACTTGTCAAGAGCCAAAATTACAATTTAAAAGAATAATTTTAAGGAATTGGCCAGCAATATTTCATTTAAATAAAATTAACTTAAAAGAACCCGGATGGATACCAATAAAAGAACGAGTAGATCGTTCAGACTTTTACAATAAATTGATAGATATTGAAAGTAAAGAGTGGTTAGGGTTGAATGCTAATAGATTAACTAAACACATGAACCTTGTTATTCCAATAATATCAAGTGCTTTTCCTGAACAATCTGTTGGTTTCAATATAAATAATTCTACAAAACAAATAATCATGAAAACAATGACTTTAGGTTAATTTAATTATTGAAAGTTAATGTTAGATATTAAAAAAATGACTATGCACAAAGCTCCTTCATAGTGTGAAGGAGTACACAAGGATCCCATTATCCTCCGTATATATCAATGGTCTAGCCAACAAAAATTTAATTCCCGATTTTTGGGAATCGGGAGGCCTAGATCCCTGTTATACATCCTGGCCTTTGTGTATTCACATTGTCTAAACTTATATATTAACTGGATTTGCTAACACTGGGTCTTATCTCACCATTACTTTCTTGGTGAGAGGTTAAAAATGAGTGATCACTAAATTATACATTTATTACGAAACCAAGTAATCTAATTTAAAAAATAAAAATTTAGGCCTAAAACAGCTTAGAGATATATACAATGCAGGACAAAAAAGAAAGGCGATCAAAGGATATTGGGAAAAGTGGCTTTCGGGGATTGATTTCAAATTGAATGTAATTATTAATTAATCAAATTGAAATTAAATTCATTTTAAGTATGAACATTTTATTATAATTGAATGTGCAGCAATTCATAAAAATGTTGGGGATAAATTTTGTAATAATGTTGAGAGTAGATTACGGATACAATTAATTACTACAATTGAAGAAGAGCCTCAATTAATTAATTATTCTCATATAGGGCATTCTTGGACTACTCAAGATTGCAAAAGGAAAAATACAAAGTAAAGAAGATTTAATAAATCGTAAAATGTTGAAATATAGGATGGCATGTCTTCCTAATCCCTTTATCCCATTTAATCCAACCAAATCCACCGATATCGCACTTAATCCTTCCAGGTCACTCTTTGTCCTTCTTAATCATCCGATTAAGATTGAAAAGAAATAAAAAATCTGTGTTGACAAAAAGTTGTTGGTCTTCAGGGTAATTCGCATTGAGGATGTAGATCTTCAAGATCAATAGGTCTTCAGTGTGTAGGTCTTCAGGGGTGGACTCGCCTAACCACCCTGTTAGGGTGTTCTGTGTTTTTCAGTGTGTCTCCCTTTAAGTGAATTTTTGTGTGTTAAACTTAAATTTTTATTTAAATCAAATTAAAAATATTTATAAATTTTAAGAAATCTCAAGCTTCAATATTGTAAATATTGGTTAGTTGGTCTAAAACTTTTTAATAATAATCATCAGAAAGTTTCTGAAAAGGAATTTACAGAATTAATACAAAAAAGGATGGAAATTTTTACTTCAAGGATATTGAAAGCAAATAATATTAAAAAGATGAATTTAAAACAATTAGCTTTAAATTTATTTTATGTGAAGAGAGAAGGATTGAATAAATGGTTTGGATTTAATAGTCTGAAGTAGGGTTGTTCCCAGTTTCCCCGTCCACGCCCCGCACCGTGGCGCTTACACCCCGAAGATTTATCTCCGTGCCCCGTCCGTCGGGGAACAACGCTAATCTGAAGTAATCCTTAGTTGACCCTTGTGGTTGAAAAATTAGCAATCTACTAGATATCGGCCATTATTGTGACGATTTAAGTAACTCCTCCGTCGGGTGGCCTACCAAGTTGATTTTAGTCTTGGTGGCCTATCAAGACTAAACTCAAGGTGATCTAATAATAAGGGTAATTTGGTTCATTTTGGCAACCCTCTTGAAAATTGAGTTCTAACTATAAATATTTACTAAAAATTTAAAAAATTTTAGGATACAAAACTGAAGTACTTTTTGATGGTTTGTATCCGTGCCATTTTAATTTTGTAAATATTATTGTAGTTTAGAATAAAATTGACAAACATAGAATTTAATTTTCAACTCTTGATTAAAAATTACAAACTAAATTAATATTTTTATTCTCCATATTGTATTATTATTGTCTTAGATTTTTAACTATTTATTGGATTTTGAAATTTTAATTGTATCATATCCTTGCGATAATTTGACGTGAATATTAGCACTGAATTTTATAAATTATACTTTTTTATAAATAAATATATTTGTCTACATGAATGCAAAATTTCACATAAAATTAGTCTTAAAAATCTTCAGTATATTACGCATTAAAGTTTATAGTTTACGTACTTGGCAATTAGTGTAAGGATCTGTAGATATAGATTTGAATGTATGCGAGTACGTGCTGCTAGTATTCCTAGCCGGCCAAAGTGCCTTAAGCCCAAGGAACCGCAGGCTATATTCAGCTCATCAAGATGCATCGAACCATACACAGATTCGATGATTTGAAACATTGTTAAGCTCTGGGTACCATGTGCTTGCGGTACCTTGGGGTATACCCTTCCATCCAAATTCATCAAAAAGTATGAATTAATAATGAGATTAGAATGATTGTGTAGGAAATGGAACTTATAATTGGAACAAATAGTATTACATGTAACAAATTTAATCATAAAATTTAACTGATAATTGATATAGATTAAGAGGAGGAATAGAATGATGATTGGAGTTATAACAAAGCATATAATTTTATCATAGATTTTTAAGAATCTTTTTACGAAATAATTATTTTTAAAGATAAATTTAGCTTAAAATATATTCCAACTTTCTACTAACATTCTAAAATGTTCATCAATATTTGTTTTACTTATAAGTTGTTCGCCTTGAATATTTTTTATAGAATTGAGAATGTGGGAATTTTTAGTATTTGTATTTGTTGTTGTTGATGGACGAATCTTTGCGAGTTTAAATGATGTTAAACGTTTAATACGCGAAAGTAACGTTTTTCTTAGTGCTGGATGATGTCTTAAATTAATGATGAAATGAATTATAGTCTGAATTCATTTAGATACATACGGATTGGATTAAATTTTATCTTATAATGAGGAGTTTGATAAACTGGGGAGATCGTTTAGCTTATGGATTCTATAAAACATTTTTAGCGAAACAAAACGAAACTGACAACGATACGAAGCGTTTCGGGCACGTGGTTCCCCTACCTATGTAGTGCATCACCATACCAAGTGGCCAACTTTGTTTTAAAAATTTAACTTAAATTGGGTAAAAATAATTTTAGGTTATTTATAAGTAAATATGAGGATAGGCTTATTATTCAAGAAAAAATTTTTTTAATTTCTTTAAAGATAAATTATTACGTCAAAACAGTTATTTCAATCAGTCCTTCTATTATCGAAGTAAAAACGAACAGAACAGCATAGCATAAACTCAGAATATAAGGTGGTTTTGTAACAATATTAAAATAAATAAAATAAGTAAGAATTGTATAAAATAAATTATTTATTAAATGACAGATGAAGACTGGAGCAAGTTGTCTACTTGTACGAATATTTTCTGTCAGCTTTTTAAATAAAAAATATTAATTCGTTGAATTTTATTTTTGATTCATTTTTATATTTAATTATGAGGGTGTTTTTCGTCCATAACTTTTTCCTTAGGTTAGCGATAAATTTTATTCATACTTCATTTTGTAGCTAATTTAATTCTCTATCGAATGATACCAGGAACTTGTAAAGATACTTTAAATTAGCTGGATTATATAAGTCGGAATACATCAATGTTGGATGCTTCTACTAACGCATGTATTATTAGAATTATTAGTTATTTAGCTAATAATTAAATATTGTAAGGAGTAGAAATACAGCTGGCTAGAATTTAAAACGCTCACTAGGCGGGGATTTAAGATCTATTAAAAGAGAAGGTGAATGCTTTGTTCCGGTAGCTCAGTCGGTAGAGCACCTGTACGGGGTGAGCGAAAGCGCCTAGCAATAACTGCTAGAAGGTCTCAGGATCGAAGACTGTCCGGGATTAAACTTTTACCTCGCTCTTACTATACATATAACCAAAAATTAAATTTAATTTGAAAGCTGATATTATTAGTTAACATGCTTATAAAAAGCTGCTACCTGATATTTTTCACTCAAAGAATAACCTTCTGTATTAGGCAATAATTTCTTATATTTCTTTAAATTTTTAACGCCAATAGAACCAATAATCTTAAAAATACATTAAAATGGTTAATATATATTTAAAATATACTAAAAATTCAAAAGATGAACAGAAAAGAAGAAATGAATTTGAAACCAGATTAATTAATGTTGTATTCCAGGATTTTCCATTTGTAAGAACGTTTAGTGAGGAAAATATAAACTGTAGAAATTTTGTATTATTGAAGATTCATTTTTCAAGAACCCCAAGGGATCACGTAACGTGATTTTTTTCAACATTTCGTACGGGACTGTAATGAGCTCCCCTCTCAAGCCGCAATCTAAATGGGAACCCTTTCTTGTATAAAAAAGATGCACTCTCCTTCCCAGGTCCAAATGAATTTTAAAAAAAGTATTTGAAATTGAAGGTGGCGTAATTTCGAGGGATTTATAATTAAAGTTGATTGTGATAAAAATAATAAAATTACCAAAATTAAAAGAGAAATACAACTAAAGTACGGCTTACGCCAATTTTCATATTTTCTAACCATAAAATTAGCCAGCATCCTTTCAATCAAAAGGATATGTCCAATAATGTTACGGGCTGTGTTTGTGAACAAAGAAATATCCTGTTAAATTATTTATTCCTAGAGAGATATCTACAGAAGTCATAATGCACCAAAATTATTGAAGTTTTTGGTAATACTATGAAGTGCCCCCCGTTTTTCCACATTTCGCGTACGTTATGAGCTTCTTTGCAATCCTTATCCCCGATAAATGATTTTATTTTTATGTTAGCTTGATACCTTATGTATATTGAACTGATAAAGATTAAGCTTAAAACCAGATCTACCACCTATTTAAAATAATTTGTTCGAGATCTTGAAAGGGAGACAAGGATGTGTCAATTTAAAAAATTATTTCCTCTGAGTATGGTCTTTTCAGAAATTTAATTTTAGGCTCATTAGAAAGCCCAATAAATTTTCTAAAAATTTAGGCCTCAGTTTTCCTCAAAATTTACTCAAAGTAAAATTTAACTACTTGCAAAATTTGATCTCCAGGTCGGAAAATGTCTCCCCCAGTAAATTTCAACAAAACCATAGTCCAACGCTGAATTTCAAAAGTCGAAATAATTGAGGATTGAAAGATAAGTAAAAGCCATAAATTTGGGTGTAATATATTTGAAGTAATTAAAATTGAAAGGTTAATTAACGAAATACAAATAATTATTGGATGTGTAATTAATTCTATAACACCCATAAAATACCCAAAAAATATAATTTCTGGGGGTAGAAGTGTTGTTATTTGTGTAGAGTTGGTAAGAGATGAGGAGGACATTTCTAAGGGAACTAAATTAAAAAATTTTTAAATTTAAAAAAACGCTGAAACATGTCAAACGAGATACGTATCAAGCTTTTGAATAGTATATAGATGAGTACGTCGAGTATCGAGTAATTGGAAAAAAACCCGAACTCGAGTAATCCGAAAGCTGCAGACAAAAATTTTGAGAAATTTAAAATCCTTAAGCCAAAAATCTTCCTTGCTGCGCCGCAGATAGACGCATAAAAATACTAGGTTTTAACGAATAAGAGTATTATAATCCCAAGTTCCGAGTCTAGTAATTACTCAAATAACTCGAACTCGCTCGACTCGGACGTACTCTAGTATATAGAACATGTATATCCATGAAGCGACATACATAAAAACCTTCACACAGCATAACTTATGCAACACCCTAATAATATATAAGCATATAATTTATTAGCAGTTTTCAGTAGAGATCGTTCCAAGTCAAGATCTCTAACAAAATTTTTGTTTATCAAAACTGTATGTTTAATGTGTCTAAGTAAGATGTGTACTTTCAAACTAATAATTTCAATCTACGGTTATTCTAAGCCAAAATGAGCCAATAAGCAGACTTTGGCTTAAACCAAAAGTTTATAAGCGTGACTAGAATTATGAATTATTAATTTATTAATCATGTTTGCTAAGAAAATGTCTGTAAATACCAAACCAAAAATCTTTTATAAAAAAGTGTAAAGCTTTTTGCTTTCGACTTTATTGTTTCACTGAAACTTATTCGTTATCTTGTCACGAAATATATCGTGTAATTATGTAATCCTTTTAAAATATGAAAGATAAATATTTATGTTGCTATGAGCTTCATTTTCTAGAAAATTTTAAAAAATTGCTTAGAGAATTTAGCTTAATAAATAAACAGATTTTAAATATTTTCTTAAAATTCGCATAAAAATATTTTATACATATGAGAAAATAAAACTAAAATAAAATAATAAATAAAAATACTCAATAAATTAGGGAGTTGAGAAAATTTTGAGGAAATTTTCTAAATTTGAGAATTTCTCACGAAAAATGAACAAAAATCTAAATAAAAAAATTAACAATGAAAATTCTATAAATATTGAATATGTGTGTTATACATAAAAAATATAAATAAATATTCAAGCTACAAAATGAGTATAAAATAAATATTAAAAAATATGAATATTAAAAAGTTATGATGAAATTAAATGTGTCACGTATCTTTTATGCTCCCTATACATTAAAATGTTTTTAAAAAGTTTAAATACGGAAATGAGTTCTTGATAAAGGGTGTGTCACTAATTCAAGAACACACCCTTACTGAAATAAAATAATAAGTTAAAATTGCTGCCAAGTTGTATATAAATACATGTGGTTAACCGGAGGAAGCAGGATGCGTGCTTACGTTTGGTTGGCTAAATCATAATGTCTACTATTGTGCAATAATAAAAAATATTGTTACATTAAATTTGAGGTTTTTGTGAGAATAATAATTTTGGAAAGAAATTAAAAAAAATTTTTCGAAGTCGTATCTCAAAACTAGACGTGTACTATTTTTATTCTCGATTGTTCTCGTCTCGCCCCTTCTCATAAATCAAATTTAACCCAACACAATCCTCTTCAATTTTATTTTTCTTTTTAATTCCTTCCATTATTCTTTCTCCAAACTTTATAAAACGTTCTTCTAATAAATTAATTTCTGCTTTCTCAAAATCCTTTTTTCCGTGCGGCAATTTTAATCCGACAGACCAATACTTGCAAAATACATTATCCGTATTTTTGAGCTTTTTTCCAAGCAAGTTTTGCTTTGGTCTACATTTTTCTTTGTCCCAATAATGTCCAATATGTGAGTATTCAACTAGTTTAGGGTCTTCCTCTATTGTAGTAATTAATTGTATTCTAAGTCTGTTTTCAACTTTGATACAAAAATCTTCCCCTATTTGTTTATCTATTCCAATACATTCGATTAAAATGAAATGGTTATACTTAAAATATTTTAAATTTAGAAATTTTTGGTAAGGAACCTGTTTCTGAAAATCTACTCCTTTTAACCATTTTTCCCATTCACTTTTCAAATTTGATTTTGAGGCATTATGTACTTGCCTAAGCATTTTTAAGCCTGAAATATACAGCAAGTTTTTAAAAAATATTTCCGACACATTATTTAAAAAGAATTCATTTGTCCCATAATAATATATGATTAGGGCACACTTATGTTGAACACCTCCCCAGACAGCATTGGAGGGGATAATGTCCAGAGTTGGCAAATCCAATTAGCATATATGCAATTAACATAAAAATTTTCCTGTATTCACTATGAGGTGTCTATCGAGGATAATGGGTTTCCAGTAAATGCCCACATTCTGAAGGGATATTTATTTTTATTTAAATTAACCTAAAGTCATTGTTTCCATAATTATTTGCTTTGTAGAATTATTTATATTAAAACCAACAGATTGTTCAGGAAAAGAACTTGATATTATTGGAATTTTAAGGTTAAAGTGTTCAGTTAATCTATTAGTATTTAAATCCAACCACTCTTTACTTTCAATATTTATTAATTTATTGTAAAAGTCTGAACGATCTACGCGTTCTTTTATTGGTGTCCATCCGGGTTCTTTTAATTTAATTTCATTTAAATGAAATATTGCTGGCCAATTCCTTAAAATTATTATTATAAATAGTTTTTGAAAATTTCCAAACCACGTTAAAAATGTCAGAAAAATTCTTTGTAAAAGGCTATGTAAATTCGCATTTGGATATAATAAATAAATTTTTTGAATAAAAATTGTGAGAATTGATCCACTTAGCAAACCAAATTTATTTCCATAAATTGAACTGTCTAAAAAATTTTTGATTAAAAATTCAGAAAAAAATATCTTTTACTTTTTGCCCATATTTTCATAGCAATAATTGCAAAACGAAAATTTTTAGTCCTCATATCTTCTTTTGGAATTTTTTCCAAAATAAATTCATTTGCTTTATAACTAGCTAAAGGTAATATTTTTCTGTCTCCAATAGCTAAATTCTTTTCATCTTCCAAAACTTTTTCAATCCAATTTGGAGTATTTGGGATTTCTGAAGGCAGTAATATCAATGCAATATCAAAGTCAATGTTTGAATAATTTAGTTCGATTAATGGAATTCTTGTATTGACCTTTTGTATATTCTTTACATTATCCAACTAAATAAATTTTTTTATTAGGTTTAAAAATATTTTTATTATAGCACTGCAAATCCACTAATAAACTCTAAATTGCAACAAAACCAAGCTACCTTTCCCAGACTATTGGACGGAAGAAAGAATATGACTGCCCAACCCACAAGCCGCCGTTCAATATATAAGGAAATTGTTTAACCGTTTTATGTTCACATTATTCATTTTAAATTTCTATTTTATTTATTTTAAATAAATAAATTTTTGTTATTAGATTTATCTTATAACTAAATCGTATATTTCGAACATACTAGGGCAAATTAATATTTAAACTTCGGAATACAACAGTGACTAATTTATTTAATCTTGGTATGTAACCAAAAAAATTTAAAAAATATTATAAATTTTATAATATTATACTTTCAAAAGATGATAGTACAACGCCTTTTCTTCATCTCCAAAAAATTCACTTATTATATCAAACTTCTGTTTAGTATTTCGTTCGTATTCCTCAACAATTAAAATCAAATCTATATCTGATCCAATTGTATTAATTCCTAACATGTAAGAACCTCCAATTAATATTTTGCATGTTCTATCAGAATTATTTTTATTTATCCATTCTCTTATAGTTCTTTTAATTGTATTTATTTTCTTATTTACTGGAGCCTCATCTCGTAAATTTTTAATTAATATTTCTTCAAGCTTTAAATTAGGGTTGCGCCCCGACCCCGACTAACCCCGACCCCGACCCCGAACCCCGACACTTTTTGACCTAAAACCCCGACCCCGACCCCGACATTCCCAACCCCGAAAACCCCGACCCCCGAAAGTTCGACCCCGACGACCCCGAACCCCGAAAAATTTTTATGACCCCGACTCAAACTGCATTAATTAACTAGAGATCGGAACGGGATCGGGACTTTGATGTTAAATATATGAAGGAAAAGGGAAATGAATATTTATATTTTCTCCTATTTCCTTTTGTTGGTCGGTGGGCGAGTGGTTAGGTTAACTGACTTCACCCATCTAGCTATTTTGATAGGTATGGTGTTCGAATACATCGATTGAAATGAGACTGAGAAAATTTTTCTTCTCAAAAATAAATATTTTTAAACTTTGATCTTGATTTTAAATATGCAAATTTATTTTTTTTAATATTTTAAACCTGAAAAAATTTTAGAAATTTTAAACTAGTCATGAATTTTCCAAAATTTTCACCTGTTGCGTAGAAAATGGAAGAAATCTGTCTCTTGGCCTTCCTAAATTCTAAAAATTTTCGCCTGCGGCGCAGAAAATGGAAGAGATCTGGCTCTTGACCTTCCAAAATTCTCAAAATTTTTGCCTGCGGCGCTAAACTCAATGAAGGGATACAGAGGCTTTAGGAGAAATTGATGGATAGATGGATTTCTCCAGTTATACTTGCAAATCCCCGATATCTCTTCAAATCCCTCTAAATCCCATTATATCCATCTTAATCCTCTGATATGCCTTCATATCCCCTCACTCCCTTTAAGAGGGGGAGTAAGAGTTACCTTGTGGGTTTGGGGATTATGAAGGATAACTTGGATAAAGTACTTCTTGCGCCTTCAACTAATAACGAATTAGATTTAGAAAGTGAAGATAATGAAGATTAAGTTGATTTTTTAATAAAAATGTTGATTTTGCACAGTAATATTGGATAAAAATGCTGGATTTTGTAAATTTTCACTTCAACCCCGACCCCCGACCCCGACCCCGAACCCCGACATGATTTTCAGCCCCGACCCCGACCCCGAACAATTTGAGCAACCCCGACCCCGACCCCGACTTTGTCAACCCCGAAAACCCCGACCCCCGACTTTTTCAACCCCGAAGGCTCGGGGCGCAACCCTACTTTAAATAGATAGTTATAAATTTAAATAAAAATTATTAACCTCCAAACTAGTAGAATTTTCTATTTTATTTGTAAATTCAATTTGTTGGAATGGTTCAGGTGGAATATAATTGGGCACCTCGAATTTTTCAACGATTACATGAGAATCTTAAATTTATTAAGATAATAATTAAGAATTAGTTTATGTAATGTTCTTTTCGTGTTTAAGTCCGCAGGTTTTTGAATCTAAGGCCTAATACTATTTTCATTAAGTATTGAGCTCATAACCGAGAAGCAGCAAAGCTTTATTGTCATTTTATTAGCTTTATCAATTTGCATTTGCTAATAAGAAAAATCTTAGTTATATGAACGCCTCCTCTACCCCTCCCATAATTTCAACTATAGTAAGGTTGTCGGATAGTTGGGAATCTTCGGATATGCGGATCAGATATCCGAAAATTTCGGTATCCGGACTTTTTTGGATCCTGATCCGACAACCTTACGCCATAGCTAAGTTTTCCCTTGGTTAATTACCACACTTATTAGATCCCACAGCACAAAAAAATATTATAATATATTAACTTAATATTTTTTAAAAATAATAAACCAATAAATCGCTGTTCTTTAAATTTATTCCAATCCACAGAAAATGCTTCAAATTCTGTATTATAATTAAATATTTCTGCATATGTTTCAGCTCCAAAAATTAACTGAACAATTTTACTGTTTCCGTTCCCACCAGAATTGTTCCTATCTTCTTCAATGCCTTCATTTTTCTCATAAAATATTTTCATAATCATTTTATAATTTAATTGTTTTCTAACAATTTTAATTTCTTCCAAATCAACATGGTAATTATGCCTTCCATCCCAAATACCTTCTACAACATAAATTAATTCTTTTAGTAATTTGTGTAGATTAATCTCAAATTCATTTAAATTTTCTATTAAATTTAAGGAAAGAACACTTTCTTTAAATTTATTTAATTTTTCTATTAATTTGTTCAAAGCTTTATTTTGCTTATTTTCTCCTTTTAATAAAAACATTGCTTCATATATTATCGGCCATTCATTTTTTACTTGTTCTAACCATTTAAAACGATTTGAGATTTCATAAATATAAACGGCTACATTTAATTGTTTACGCATTTCATCTGACGGTGCCTTCAAAGTTTTTTTAGAGGTTAATTTATTATTTTATTCAATAATTTCTGGCATACTATAAAAGCGTTAGCTTTTAGTCATTCTCCATCTTAGTCAAATCAATAAACGACAACTTATTCTTATTCATGACAACTGGTCTATTTCATTGCTTGTGTACAAGTTTATTTCTGCTACATATTGGTCAAGTATATTCAACATGACACAAGAAAATTACGGAAAAAGCTTATACATATTTAAATAGAAAGAAAAAGGATAGTAAGGGAGAAATGGTGAGGTAATTTTAAAAAGTTGTCTCTAGATCATTTAACATTTAATTTTAGTTAATGTAAGGAAATAGGACTCTTCCTAAAAAGCAAAAGCAGAGAATGGACGCAATGCCCTATTAATCACAATTTGCAATGAATGACTAATGAACAGATGTTTTTAAAGTTAGCGAAAAAGAATAAATGATATTATTTGATCAACCACGTTATTTCTCATAAAAACTAATTACTTATATTTCTATTATACATACATATTTACATACCTCAATAAATTGTTTATAAAATTCAACTAAATATTTTTCTTCTGTAAATTTTCCAAGTTTTTCTTTAAACATTAATCCTTCAATTTTAGGTTCTTTTTTCTCGTTCTTCGATTTTTTAGGCTTTTTCTTTTTATTTTTAGTTATTTTTTCTTTATCTTCCTCAATGTTATCCTCTCCCTTTATATTAGTTAAGGAACCTTCATTATTAATAGATTGCTCTGACATAGAATATAAACTTTCTTCCTTTATACTTTCTGGGTCTACAATTTCTTGGTCTATATTTTCTTGTTGCCCTATGCTTCCTTGACCTATACTTTCTTGATCAACATTTTTGTTTTTCTTTTTGTTGGATTTTTTAGAATTTGTTTTTCCTTTTTTAGTCTGTTTAGGATTTTCTTTAAATTCCTTTAAAAGATTAGCTAAATCATTTTTTTCTTTTTCTTCCGTTTCTTTTTTAATTATTTCATTCTCTTTATTTATTTTCTCAATAATTTCATCAATTTTATCGTTGGGGAGAAACATTTCCATTTTTATCTTCATTTCATTCTTCCCACATTTGTTCATAACTTTTAATTTTTAAAATGAATTAGGTAATTATAACTAAATTTGAAAGTTGCATCTGGTGATTGGACTCGTACCTCTCCCTCGAACATTCCCCTGCTTGTATCTCTCCCCTGTTTTTAGCCTCGTACTCGTAAAATTTACTCACGAGATACAGTACAAATTTGGAACGACTGTCAAACCATTGGATACACCCCTAATGTTTGGAGTGATTTCAAAATAATTCCAAAAAATATTTTATGAAACGATTTTCGAAGTGCAACTCTATTTAATTAACAATAAACTCACTCAATGCCAGCTCTCTCAAAAAATTAATTTCCCCAATCTTTTGCTTCATTTTGAATATTTCATTGAATTTATTATAATGCAAATTTGAAAGCCAAATTTTGTAAGAATCTGCTTGATTAATTTCATCACTATATTTAACTAGCATGTTCGTCAAATTTTTTCCAGTATCATTTTGGTCATCATTTTCTCGAGCTTGATCCACTTCATCATTCGCATTATTATATACGTCCATCCATTCCTTATATCGTTCTTTAGCAGGCATTTCATCCAAGTAATCAACTTCATAATCTGGTTGCTCCTCTTCTTTCATTTTTTGTTCCAAGAATGCTTTTAGTGCTATAGTCCGCCTCGTAAATCTTTTTCCTATTTTCTTCAAGTCTTCCTGACTTTCTTTTACAAAAATAACGTCATAAACGTGATAAAACTGTGCTTTGCTATAATTCCAAGCACCCATTGTCCAGTCTCGAGCAGAACAGCTTTTCCATACTTTTTTATTTTTCTTTCCTTTCTTTTGACCACACTCTGAATTTATTGTATTTTCCATCCAAGCATACGAAACAAAAACATGGGAAGCTAATTCATTCCCTATTTGATTAACTATATTATTCTCATCCTTCATTGAGTTTATATAATGTTTGATTAACTGTCCATTATTGAGAAATACTAAAAAAATAATAATTTTGTAAGGACATAAGACGAGGGTCCTAGAGCTGGGAAACACTGGCCAAATATTTTAGTTATTTATTTAAAAACAATTTTCTCGTAAGAGGGCTAACGTACATCGTTGAACAAAAATAATTGCCCGAATTTATGATAAATGACAGTATAAGTCTATTATTATTAAGGGTTTATTTATTAAGGGGTATATTATATTATTAAGGGTTATAACCTTAAGGGTTATAAGGTTAAGGGTTAGTATTAAGGGTTATATTATATTATTAAGGGTTATATTATATTATTAAGGGTTAAATATTATTAAGGGTTATTATAAACCCTTAATTATTATTAAGGGTTTATATTATTATTAAGGGTTTATTATTATCATAACAGTATAAGTCTATTATCATTCACAGTGAGTGGTTATTACTTATCATTTTATTAATCTAAAATAATTTAGTCTTTAGTATCTATTATTAACACTCAAATCCGATTTTTTCTCTAAAATAGATGTGAACATCTCTAATATGTATTAGGGATCTTATGTTTTATTACACTTCAAATAAACATTAAATTAATGATATCCTTAAGTTTATAGCTAATTATACTCATTTTAATTTTTGTTTATAACTTTAATTTCTTGTTTATAACTTACAATTATAATCAGTCACTTCATCTTCAATTTGTCCATATAACTCAATACCGATCAGATTTGCAATTTTTACTTTTATGCCTAAACCATTTCTTATTTTTTCCTTAAATCCAGGTTCATTCTCCATTCTTTCCATTATATAGTTATAATGCTTTTCATTAACAATATTTTGTAATTCAGTGTTGATGTCATCTTCTTTAATACTTTTAGGGTCACAAACAACTTTGGCCTTATCCATTGTTTTTTTCAATAAATTTGCCTTGGTAGCTAAATTATCCTCGTTTAACTCTTCAAATTCTTCATCAAATAATTCAATTATTTTGTGAAGAATACATCTAGTGTAGGCATTAATTATTATTTCACTCTCAATTTCCATCAGACAAATTACATTTTTTGATATAGACTTGTAAATTTCTCGTCCTACATTTTTTAACTCGTTTTCAAGTCCGTTGACTTCGTCCCCTTGACAATTTTTAATTTGATTTTTAATTTTATTTTCGTGCTCAAGATACATTTTCATTAATATTGCTATTGTTATCCTCAAATTAGAATATATAGTAATATTGTTAGTATTTTCCTGATTTTCTTTTGTATTTAATGCCAAAGCTTGATCATAAAGGTATTTTTGATAATTCTCTTCCATCTCCGCTTAAAATAAAAATTTTTTTTGTAGATTTTTCCTAACGTTGGAAATAATTTTTGGGAAGTGAAAGTATAGTTATGTGGAGTTGTTTTCCAACAAAATATTAGAACTCTAGTAATTTTAAGCCGAATTTAAATATTAATTTTTTATTAGTCTTTTAGTTACTTGGGGACAATAAATATTTAAACGATAATCTAATAAAATTTTGGGGTCGAACAGGAAAAAACACGAAAATAGGGGTGGAAGTATAGTTATGTAGCGCTAGGTACTTATTTTAATTTTTAAAAAATTATCTAATATGTATTTACAAATTCTCAAAAGTTCAGGAAATTCATCCTCAAGTTTCCCAAAATTCTTTGCGCCCAGTAAATCAAAAAGTTTTGTTTTACTTTCGATTTCCCCTATAAAGTTTCTGAAAGAATTTGATCTTTTAATTAAAAGTTTAATGTTTGTTCTGTGTATTTCCAAAATTTGATCATCACGAGTCCCGTCAAAATAACTCTCAAAAATTTTGTTGAGATTTGCCGGGATTGAACAAATTTGTTTTGCTTGTTTTACAACAGTTTTTGGAAATACTCTCTAAAATAAATTTAAAGTTTTTAATTAACAAGTGAATAAAAATTTATAATTATGATATCAGATTATTGGATGGTATGATATTTAGAATTCTAAATATTATTATTATCGAGCATATTCAAGATAAATATACTATTAATTTGCCATAAATTTTTCAGTTGCCTTTAAAATATTATCTACTAAAAATCCAAATCTTAATCATATTAAGTAAGGCATCAGGTTGTCAGTTCGTAATCAGACTAGAGAACCGAGGATTAGACTAAAGAACCGAGATATCTTAAGGTTTTCGAAGAAAGTAATTCAGCGCTGAGTTTACGGATCCAGGAAAATCTCTTTTAAATGATCCGATATCCGGATTTTTCTAACCTATATCTAAATTTTTTAATTCTAATATTAAATGGGTATTATCTAGTATTATCTTTTAGCTCTATAGTATTAAATCCACTGTCAAGTAAATTGAATCTTAGAAGGTGATATTCAATGATTGGTATCATTAAACATTCCAATCACTAGAGTGGATGCTTCTCAATTTCATGATCTCGCGTCATAACTAACTCTTATTATAGTGAGATATTAATAACAGGCATAATAATTTTTAAAATATGCTTGATAAAATATTTTAATGAATACCATTATTCCAAATCTTCCTTTAATAAGAATTTGCAGATAATCATTTTTCATCAATTCTTCATTATTTATCCATTTATCCACAAATTCGTGTAATAAACAAAGCTTATGTTTATTATCCAAATTTTGATTTTCTTTTTTAGTTACGTCTTTTCCATCCAATATAAAGTTGTTATAGACTTTTTCATATGGTTCTGTCCATCCTAGTTGGTATCTTTTCATTATTCTTTTAAACCCATATGTTGAAACAGTCTTCATAAAATGATAAAATACTGAATCAACTTCTTCCGATTTTTCATTAAATATTGTAAATTTATTTAAAAAATCTTTATAGTTCCAAATAATTACTGATAAAATAAAATTTTCGTGTAAATCATTTATTCGGTCATTTTTTCCTTTTTCGGCGAGAAATGGCAAATTATCAGTCAAATAATTTTTATAATTATCAATTAATTCAATAGTAAGTTGATCTGTTGGTTCTTCATTATTT